AAACAGACTGGTAAAATACAAGACAGCTTTCAGTACAATCAGAAACAGCTTTGTAAAATACAAGACAGCTTTCAGTACAATCAGTAAACAGCTTGGTAAAATACAAGACAGCTTTCAGTTCATTCAGTAAACAGACTGGTAAAATACAAGACAGCTTTCAGTACATTCAGCAAACAGACTGGTAAGAGACAAGACAGCTTTCAGTACAATTAGTAAACAGCTTGGTAAAATACAGGACAGCTTTCAGTACAATCAGAAACAGCTTTGTAAAATACAAGACAGCTTTCAGTACAATCAGTAAACAGCTTGGTAAAATACAAGACAGCTTTGAGTACATTCAGTAAACAGACTGGTAAAATACAAGACAGCTTTCAGTACAATCAGAAACAGCTTTGTAAAATACAAGACAGCTTTCAGTACACTCAGGAAACAGACTGGTAAAATACAAGACAGCTTTCAGTACAATCAGTAAACTGCTTGGTAAAATAAAAGACAGCTTTCAGTACAATCAGAAACAGCTTTGTAAAATACAAGACAGCTTTCAGTACAATCAGTAAACAGCTTGGTAAAATACAAGACAGCTTTCAGTACAATCAGAAACAGCTTTGTAAAATACAAGACAGCTTTCAGTACAATCAGTAAACAGCTTGGTAAAATACAAGACAGCTTTCAGTACACTCAGAAAACAGACTGGTAAAATACAAGACAGCTTTGAAACATTCAGTAAACAACAGTAAATAGACTGGTAAAATACACGACAGCTTTAGTCCATTCAGTAAACAGATTGGGAAAATACGCGACAGCTTTAGTCAATTTAGTAAACAGATTGGGAAAAATTATTATTTTTACCATCAATATGAATGATGTTAAAATCATTATTAGTTCTAGTTTTTTTTTAATATTATTCTTAGGAATTACTGTTATTCTTATTGTTCATCATATAGTGAAACCCATAAAACTGTGGAATAGAGAGACGACATTTAACCAATCTGTATTTTATGTTAGCGTAAAGCAAATAGCTACACTAATTACCAATAGCTTAAAAATTAAAAAAATTCGGTAGATTGATCTTTGTATCCTGTTTCCTTGGATTTTCTACAGTTCTAACTATAATCTAAAAGTCGTTTTTCTGTTGCACAGTGTTTAGGTCTCACTGTAGTAGTGCAGTTCATAGTTGTAACTCACTCATCTCTTTTTAAAAGGAAGAAGTCCTCAGCATCACAGCTACAGGTCTAAAATATAATCAAAATCTTTAAATGTGAAAGTGTCGATAAAAGATAAAAATTAAAATTTCACAAAGAAAAAATCATTTCCAGATTTTCTGACATGGGTTTGATAAATCATTGAATAGCGAACCCACAATCTTCTTGGATTTAACCTTGAAGGGACTACCGACATTATTTCAAGTAAATTATAGCCCCCCCCCCAACGTTGAGGAACAATGAGATAGATAACGTCATTTTACTACTTAGAGAGTGTTGAAATCTGAAAATTTCATTGTTTGCTTCTGCTGCTATATCCACGTGTCAACTCTCTCTAGTAAATTTTCAATTTAAAAAAAAAGAATATATCATACATATTTGATGAGAATAAGGCTAAAGGGTACTCTATGTACTCTATGTACTCTATGTACTCTATGTACTCTATGTACTCTATGTACTCTATGTAGTACTCTATGTACTCTATGAATTGGCGACTCACTTGAATTAATAAACAGTCCTTCAGACAAAATTCTTGTTTAAGGACAGAGTTTCAAAACATTTGTTTTTCTATTTCTATTTCTACTTTACCCAAAATAATACCCGGAGGGAGGAGGGTTTAATTCATGCCATTTCACACAGTAGGAATATGGTTAAGATATAGGCTTAATATTCACATGATGTTTAGCAAATATATGTATAAATGTTTAAGTATAGTTACAGGTCCACAATTGATACAGCAGGCTTCAGGGAGAGAATTTTTCTTTACATATGTCACATTCACACTGTCAAACGCAAACTTGTTCCAATCTAAACATAAAACCTGGATCTTGGGCCGAATTCAAAGAGTTTGAGCCGCGTCTCAAACATGGTTGGTTCCACTTGAAATTGTGTTCAGTTTTTTGCAAGGAGAATTGAATAGAAGGAGGGGGCGATAATTTACGCTTCGCAGGAAGTAAAAGAAATCTTCTTACACGATAGTATTCTGATACAAATTAGTGATTCCAGATTTTTTTCAAAAACTTTTTTCCATTAAATTTCTTACATAGATTCATTAACAGTGAGAGCCAGAAAACAGTGAAATAGGAAGACGACATTAGCGTAATAATAAAGTGCTTAATTGAAGTTTAAAAGTCATCTTCCTTTCTGGTTCCCACTGTATGTACAGTACACTGTACACTGTACAGTTCTAGGAGTTGTCATTTTTGTCATTATTTTCTGTAAACCTTCGAATTGGTTAAAAGTGTTCTCTATCTGTAGAATACACAACTTCAAAAAAAGAAGCATATTTCGATGTTTTTTAACAGACAAATTTTACCAATAGATTACAAAGTAATTGAAAAGGCAATTATTACAAAATTTGTAAAATTAAATACTCTTCTCTGTGTTTTAATAAAGTATTTTCTTTGTTAAGTTAATTTGAGGGTTTGATAAGAATAATTTTAACTTACAATCAAACCCTGGCTGGGAGTTGATACCACAGCAGTGAAAATCCACCTAAACGAGCAAGTAATTCAAAAATACATATTCTTGATTAGTTCTAGAACTTGCAAACTAGGCAATCATGAAAGGAAGTCACAAAAAAAAAATATTTTCTTTTCAAAATTTGCCGAACATGATGGATGCAGGATGAGGCGCGAACAACAAAAAGAAATGTCAAAAAATGTCAAAATATTTTCAGCTGATACATATCATCTACATTTACATAGGATTTTGTCAAAATTTTAAAGTTAAAAACATATTTTGAATTTCTGAAGCAAATAATATTCAGGATTTTGTCTTCTAAACTAAAGGGGTGTAGAAAAACACGTGTTTTGCAGATTTAAAATTTGTATTTCTAGGGATGCACATAAACGTTCAAGTAAGATCAAACTGCAAGATTTAAGTCGGTATAACGGTTTCAATGGTATTGTATTGTGGACATAACATTGTTTAAATAAAGTGTTACCCACAAAGTATGAAATTTCGGAGACAAATGTACGGAAATTAATTAATTTGAACTGCCTACCCTACCACCGGTTTAAATTTGAATCACAGATTCAAATCATTTCTTAATCTTTAACTTTGAATCAGTGGTTCAAATTTCAACCGGCAGTAGGTAGTTAAGCGACGTAGCTCAAATTCATCAAATTCGGTCTCCGGTCTCCATGTAATATGTATATCATAGTAAACTCCTAATATTTATGATAGTACGCCATTAGAAGACTGCATTCAAGGCCGCGAAGACTTGATTTAAACTTAAAGTCGTAATATTTTACATCTCTTTACATGATACACTTTTACCCTTTGAGGGTAACCCTGCAAGTACAGGTTGTTCCAATAAAAATGGAAATTTAGTTACGGATTCAAGATCGTCTTTGTTAGGAATTAGCATTGGTTTGGTATACCTGAGCTTAAAGGTCATAATATTATTAAGTCTGCTAGAGTTTATTTTATTAAAACGGTACGTGGCTGTAAAGATGTGTCTGTATTGGCTCTGCAAGATAAACAGTGAAGACGGACTGCAAGTTTACTTTGTTTGTATTCAGTAATTTTCTTGTTTTACTTAGAACAACCGTATATGCAGTCAAAACATAAACAAACAAATTGTAAACATAGCAGACGAAAATATTACAGATTCAAAAATTCAAATTCAAATTCAAAAAAAATTCAATTCCCGCGTCTATTAGGACTCTTAGGACACCAGAAATTCAAAAATTAAAAATAAAACAACAATGTATGTTTTTATGCTCGACAATTCTCTTGTTGAAGAAGTATTGATTAAACACAAATATACGTTGAATTCATAATTTCAATTAAACGATTTAGCGCACTGTTAAAATTCATAAACTACATGAGTCGCAAAATCTGGGATCGGTTTACCTGAATTTTATCAAAATCTTGCATTTTCTTCCAATCATTTGCTTGGATAGCTGTTACAATATGGGTGTCCATTTTATCCTAAAGAATATCAATAATAAATTTCAATATTTCATTTTCAACATGATAACATAAATAGCAGACATTGCTTTTTCTTTCAATATAAAATACCACTAAACGATTTTATAATTAATAAGAATGGATTTGTGCCCTGGGCTGGGACCAGATTTAATAAATAGAAAAAGTAGTTGAACCACGTGCCACCGGCTCAACCAATTTTTTTGTTCAGCTGAAGAAATGTGGTTCAATTAAGTCTGAATAGTTCAACTACTTCTTATATTCATTAAATCTGGTCATTTTTAGCAAAACATTTCAACTAAAACTGTTACAAATTCAACATTCAGATTACCCATATGAATTAATAAAATTATTCTGCACTTATATTTTTTTATAACTTTAAGTCATACAATAATTGCTTAAAGGGAGTGTTCGCGAAAAATGAAAGGGGGTATAGGCTTAATGCGATAAAAAAGCGCTTTTGATTGCTACTAATCTTACTTCTATCTGTTGCGTCTATAAGGAGAAACTTGTTTAAGACGTCTCATACCGAATAACTTAGCGCCCATACAAATTCAGAAAATTACAACATACGACTTAGACCGTAAAAAATCCATTTAATTTCAAACAAATCATTCAGATAGTACAACAGGGATAGTCATCGATTATCTTTCGCCACATTTGTATATAGTTTATATTTTATAATATTTTATTTTTTTAGAAAACGTTTTAACTGATTTCGAAAAATGTGAGTGGTCCGCGGCATTCTTAGATAGTTGCGCAAGCCGCAAGAGAAATAATCAAATTCAAAACAAATTAATTAAAAAATATTATAAAATATAAACTATATACAAATGTGGCGAAAGATAATCGATGACTATAGGTTGTAATATCTGAATGATTTGTTTGAAATTAAATTGATTTTTTACGGTCTAAGTAGTATGTTGCAATTTTCTCAATTTGTATGGCCGCTAAGTTATTCGGTATGAGACGTCTTTAACAATTTTCTCCTTATAGACGCAACAGATAGAAGTAAGATTAGTAGCGATCAAAAGCGCTTTTATATCGCATTAAGCCTATACCCCCTTTCATTTTTCGCGAACACTCCCTTTAAAGAATAAGAAGTCTCCCTCCCAAGGCTCTCTGGAAGTAAGGAGAAGAAGTGATGCATATGTTACAACAAAAGAAAATACAAGCTTTATTAAGCTATAGCTTGCTCAGATATACAACAACAGTACCCATCAAACTGTGGAATGTTGAAGAAAGCACACTACACATATAAAAAATTACAACTTGAGTCTTACAGACGAGTGTTCATATTTCACAATTTTATGGGTCCTACTGTATCTTACATATTGTTCTGTTATTCCCTTTCTGATCTCAGAAGTCACTTTTCCTATAGTAGTAAAGTCACGTGGTTTTTAATTCAATCAATCATGGTTTTCTTTCCAGAAGAATTATTAAATTTGAAATGAAGTCATTGGATAATGATCATTAAATCCTTTCAAACTTGAAAATATTTTGACCAGGAATTGTAATCTCTGATTGGATCTAATTCTTAAAGGGACTGATGACATAACTTCAAGTGGCCGTTCAATTGAAGAGTTACATGTCTGTTTCACTACAATACCAGGCAAACCTCTATTCAATATCGTCGGGTATTTTATCTTAAAATGTGTTTAATCTTAAACAATTTCCTAAAAAACTGAACTGTTGAGATATAAACCCGACCTGCTAAGGAATAAAACCGACCTGATAACCTATTAAGGTCTATCAACGAACTGCCAAGGAATAAAACCGACTTGCTAAGGAATAAAACCGACCTGCTAAGGATTAAAACCGACCTGATAAGGTATAAAACCAACCTACTAAGATCTATAACCGACCTGCTAAGGAATAAAACCGACTTCCTAATATATAAAACCGACCTGCTTAGGTATAAAAACTGCGCAGCTAAGGTATAAAACCGACCTGCTAAGGTATAAAAATTATATGCTAAGGTATGAAACCAACCTGCTAAGGTATAAAACCGACCTGTCAAGGTAATAAAATCGAACCGCTAAGAAAATAAAACAGATCAGTTAAGTAATAAAACCGACCTGCTAAGTAATAAAACAAAAGTATGACCGCCCGCTAAGCTATAAACAGACCTGATTAGGTATAAAAACAACCTGCTAAGTCAAGAAACCGACCAATTAAGGTGTAAAACTCAATTGAGAAGGTATAAAATCGACCTGGTAATGTATTGCATTGACCTTCTCAGGTATAAAACTGATCTGCTAAGGTTTGCCGATATGCCAAGGTCTATAAACCGACCTGCTAAGTTATTGAAACCAACCTGCTAAGGACTAAAACTGACATGCTAAGGTAAAAAAACCGAACTGCTAAGGTAGATCACCGACCTGCTAAAGAATAAAACTGACATGCTAAGGTAAAAACAGACCTGCTAAGGTAGACCACCGACCTGCTAAGGTATAATACTGACCTGCCAGATAAATGTTTACGAGTTGTGGTATTATAATGAGGAGAATGGAAGCTGTAAAAATCCTCATACCAGTACTAAATAATAAGTTTATATAATAAAGCTCTTCGCTACATTTATATAATAACATGTAATTGCTATTGCTGGCCAAACGGCTTAACCAAATTGGCTGAAATTTTTTCAGGGATAACACAGGCTAAAAAATTGATTTTTTGTTCAAGATAAAAATGTTAAAAAAATTATTCAACAGGCGACGTCGGCCATTTTAGCTAGTAATAAAAAATAAATTATGAAATCTCTGTTTTTAATATTAATAATATTAAATAGATTTTTTTTACAGGATGTTAGAATCTGTTATAATTATGAATATCATAATAACAAATTGTGAAAAGGGTGTTAAATCCACACGTTTTGAAAGACATCATGGCTTTTGGAGATTTTGACGCCATACATGTGATTTATTTCAAATTTATCAAGTTTGTAAATTTAAATATTCTTAAAGAATGTCATTTTTTTTAGCTTACTTCATGTAAGATGTGCGTATATTTATCTTTTTATAATCATGAAAAGTCCCAGATTGTAATTGTGTTATTTTCTACTGAAAACTGAAAAAGCCGGAGAAATTTGAAATTTCGCGCGCAATTAAAGAAGAGAACTCTTAATGGTCGGAATCTGCAGTGGGTCTATAAATAAGAGGGTAAAATAGTGGATTAAGCAGAAATCAAAAGTGTCCACAGTGAATATTCAGATTTAGCAATAGTTATTAAGTGTATCTATAAATTCTAAATTTTCAGCTCTGAAGTCAAAACTTATGTTTTGTGAATCTCAAGACAACCTTTTTTTAACAATATTTTTTTATATAAAAATTTTTGTTTTCACAAAATTTTAAAAAGAATGCAGAGGCAAGCATTGATTTCCATCCTCTTCGATGTTCCTGGTGGTCACCCGCGTGCGCATGCGAAGGGATAACTATGATCAAGAATTTATTCTCAAAATTAAAAGTGTTTACATTGGATATGGAGATCAAGCGTTCAAGATTAATAACAATGAACGAGAAAATATCAGTTACCACAATTACAAATTAAAACCCTTAGCGACATTTCTACAGTTTAAGAGAGCCGGAAAAAAAGACAATTTTCTGGTTTTTACTGTGTGTAAGAAAAATATTTTAAAACTAGCAATTGGACACCCAGCGTTGCCCAGGGTACCCATGCTCATGATTAAAAATCTCATTACAAAGCCAAGAACATTACTGTGGTTCTCCTGAGTTCCCCAATCAAAATGTTAGGCAAATCGGTCCAGGTTTAGGATCGGAGATATACAAACAAACAAACAGAGTTTACTACTTCTATATATAAATTTGGCTTGTCTGCCTGGGTGTCTGTCTGTTTGTATCCAATAAACGTCAAAACGACTGAACCGATCGGGCCCAAATTTTTTGTGGGACATCACGTGACCACAGGGAAGGTTTATGAATGATAAAAATTTAAAAATATGTTTTTTAAGGTTTTTAATTTTGTAAAAAATTTAAATTCTTGAAACTCCACGATTTTTTAAAAAATCCGCGAAATTTGTTCTTCTTTGTTTTAAAATGTATACAAAAAAAACATGTTCACAATTTAAATAGAAGATGGGCGCGAAGCGCCCTAAAAGCCTAGTTTTATATATAATATATATAGATACCAATTTCTGAAGATGAGAGAGAGAATGCCGAAGAAAGAAATGAGGATAAGAAAAATACCCAGGCTGAGTGTAACAATAGGGTAGTAGTAGAACCTGAAGAAACAACCATAATGGACTTTAAGTGTAATTTCAAGTGACCCTTCATGCAAAGATGGCAATGCCCAATTTACAACGATGTCATTAAAAACTTTTTCTGATCTAGAAAGAATTTATTATCCATGATTTGGTTTCTTTAAACTGTTTATTTTAATTTGCGGTTTCTCAGCGAAAGTAACTTGCACATTCCTTGCTTTCAAAAAGCAATGGAGAAAATTATAGTAATGAATACTTTTCTAGTCAGAAAAAAAAAACAATTATTTTCTCCACATTTTTGCTCAAATAAATGTTCCAAATCCAAGGGGACTGTTGTGAACTTGTGAATCGTGCAATAAAATCTTTGCTTGGAGAGTCACTTGAAATTACGCTTATGCAGTCTCTTATGCAAGGATTAAATGAAAGGAAAGTTATTTCAGAGGTGTACGCATCTTTTGTACTGAACACAAGACGGATGTCGAAGCCTAACATGGGATCCATCTTTCACATAAATAATCAATGAAATATTCTGGTCATAGGAAACTATTATGTGAATTATCAAAATTATCAAATTCAATGCTTTTAACCTCCTCGGATACTAAACGAACACTGAGGCATCTATTCTTGTTTACAAATTCCGCCCAGAGAGAACATGGTTTCAATATGTATGCAGAGTGTACGCAACTGCAATTAACTTTCCTTGCATTACATTCTTGCTCTCATGAAAATAAAAAAACGGTCAAAAGTTCTTTGATAGCTTTCAAATAGCAATATATGTTTTTCAGAGCTAATTGTATATTTTTCAGAACTAATTATATATTTTCCAGAACTAATTGTATATTTTCCAGAACTAATTGTATATTTTCCAGAACTAATTGTATATTTTCCAGAACTAATTGTACATTATCCAGAACTAATTTTATATTTTCCAGAACTAATTGTATATTTTCCAGAACTAATTGTATATTTTCCAGAACTAATTGTATATTTTCCAGAACTAATTATATATTTTCCAGAACTAATTGTATATTTTCAGAACTAATTGTACATTATCCAGAACTAATTGTTTATTTTCCAGAACTAATTATATATTTTCCAGAACTAATTGTACATTATCCAGAACTAATTGTATATTGTTATAGAACTAAATGTATATTTTCCAGAACTAATTGTATATTTTCCAGAACTAATTGTTTATTTATAGGTAATCTCAACCACCTCAATTTGTAATCACCGTAAATATTTTCTGAGATTTTAATTTAAGGCATTTTTAACACAATTTTCGACTTCTATCGGGGTTTCATGGCATCTGTATTGAACTAAATTTTCAATTTGTTTTCAGATTGGTTTGGTCAACAAAAACTGAAAAACAAGGCATGTTTATTTTAGGAGAATCTTAGATCCTATTTGCTTATTTAATGACTGCATTTCATGATTTGAGGTAAGATACTATAAAAGGTCGGGCTGCCTATTTACTAAAAATTAACTCATCCAGCCCAAAGTAATATCTATCTTCATTTAAAAGATATATTCAAAAAACCTTTCAAGTGTTTAGATTTTTGTTTTTCGAGTTCAAAATCTAGAACAAAACTAATAACATGCATAGAATAAACAATAATTAGAAAAATCAGTCTCATTGCGCCCACTAGTGAAAATGAAGTAGTAAGTTCACTAATTATTTCTAGCGCTAGATTGCTAATTGAGGAGAGCTTGTGGGCAAAGGTTCAAAACTGAGGAGCACCTACCAATAAAGAAAGCTTTAAGAATTTTGTATAACCATATCACCATAGGGCAATTAACAAAAGTCAATATGGTTTTATTTCTAAGAAATAAGCAATTTCTTGTTACCCTTTTTTTGCCTGATTACCAATTGAGGTAGTGGAAATTACAAATTGAGGAGCATGCATACCGAAAAGCACGTTTGGGTGGCGGTTTTTACAAATTGAGGACTTCTGCATACCCCCCTTCCCCCAGTAATTTTTTTCTTAGTAAGATAGATTCTGTTTCCGAATGTATCAAAGAGACCGCAAAAAAAAGACAGTTGTGTTGAATCGTTTAAAATCAAAAGTTTTAACATCGGGATTAAGCGTTGTAGATTAGCGCTTTCTTAAAATTTTGAACCTCAGAGACAAAGCTACAAACAATATAAAACAATATAATCCTGGTTGACCAAATACCTGCAATGCTTAGCATTATATTTGTAAACAGAAGAGCTATTTGCCATTTGTCTAACATTTTAGTTCAAATCTTTGAAAAATCCAAAATGTTGAGAAAATCTAAAACAAACTAAGGAATGTATAAGGGTGTATATATAACATATGCATATGATTAAAATTATATCATAAACTTGTCTATCACAAGTTTGCACTGATTCTCAAGTGAAATAAATAGAATGAAATAAAAGTGATTACTTCCGATTGATAAGAGATAGATACGCCACAATTGCAATACTTCTTAACCTAACATTCGCCAATGGCGTACAGGGGGGGGGGGCAAGGGGGCATTGCCCCACCATAGACCTTTATCTTACCATTGCATACCTATTAAGCTTGATTGCTTTGAGTTATTCATTAAAAAAATAAGTTTTCCTGATTAAAACTCAAGATGGGCCCAATTGATTCAGCCATTTTTAAGTTTATTGAATGCAAATAAACAAAAAAACAGACAGATTTATATTAGACTAGCTAAAGTGCTTGGCGTTGCCCATGGAATTTGATGCTTTGGAACCTATGTTAACCCCGGGGTTCTACAAACAAAACACAGGTTTTCAACGAGATTAGCATGATGGAGAACTGGTTGATAATTCACATGGTTAATTCACAGCCCCTCCTTGTGTTATACTCGTGGTAAATCTACTTTTCACAATCTTGAAGATTCCTCCTGTGTACAGCACGGGTAAGAAACGTGGAAACATTCTTTGAAAATTCCCGTCGTTTTTTCACATGATGTATACACGTAGCAAAATAAACCAGTGCAAGATCTTGCATATTCCTATCGTATTAAACATAAGTAATGCAATGCCAGAATTTTTAGATTTTAATTCTTGTAATTAACCCATGTAAGATATAACATGTAAGATATATGAGATAATTCAAGTTCAATTCTTGTCGTTTTTTCACATGTTGTGCTCGTAGCAAAGATACTAGTGCAAGATCTTGCATATTCCCAACGTGTTAATCATCAGTAATAATGTGATGTCAGAATATCTAGATTTTAATTCTTGTAAATATCCGGCGTAAAATATATAAGATATCACGAGAAGAACTTCATGTTCCATTTTTAATAAAGTTGCAAAATCACAACACTTGATGTCTCTCCACACCTTTTAGAAACTAAAAGTTTTTTGTAATAAAATGAAATTCTTTAATCGACATGAGCAAAGTATAGAAAAGTTTCATATTGAATTTTTGTATTGTATTTCTCAACTTAACCCCTTTTTGGAATATCCATCTTTTAGATATATAAAGGAAAGAACATTCATGTAATTATGAACACATTAACATAGTTGAACATTACTAAAACTTGAAGTATCACTTTGTGATAATAATAGTTTAAAGTTTACTGTTCAAGATGTTCATTGTGAAAGATGTAAACTAAAATGTTTAATTTCTAAACATTTTGTAATGATTATATACTTTTACGCAGTATTTTTTATAATATATTTATCAGAAATCAATTATGTGTCTCCCCCCCCCCTTTCCCAGGTTTTTATAAAAATGTAATTTAAATACAGTTAAACCCTAAATCAGCCATACATCATAAGAATTTATCAACCATCGTCTTAACAATTTTTCAATGGGTTTAATACCATTTTACGTAAATCTCAGTATTTGTGAAAATAAATAAATAGCTTTGAATATGCGGGAACAGTTTTAAAGAGCTCCATATAATCATTTAATTAAAAAAACTAAATATTTGCAACATTCCATTATTAGAAAGTGAAGAATACGACATTTGATGAATTCTTTTGACGTATGGTTTATTTAGGATTTATCTGTAGATGGGAGAAAAAAAATGTTCTCATGTAAAAATCCCGTATTCATCTTGTGAAAGAAACTAAAGTTTTCCCTGTGTAAAAACTTGGTCCTAGACCCATGATCAAATCGTCGACATTCACACCTCGACAAAACGTGAATTATCACGGAATATTCACGGTTCACTCGTGTGAAATACACCAAATAATATTGTGTTCTTCATGGGATAGATTTTATAAAAATAATGATTTTGAGAGAAGAAGTGGCACCGCAGTCAAAAAAGTTTTTTAATCTATTCTTAAAAATCAAAAAAGGCTAATTTTTACAAAAGGGGGGGGGGACGTTTCCCCAATTTTTCATGGGATGGGGAAGTCCCCTCTTTCCCCCTCCATAAGCCGCCTCTAAGAACTTTATATATATGATGTAAATAATCATGCATGCATGTGCATTAATTACTATTTTCAAGAAAAATAAATCCTTGAAATTGTCATATCTAATGAGTTTTTGGTATCTTAAGAATAGATTCAACTTTCTTTTCATTCCCCCCTCCCCCTCAGAGGCGCGACTTGGGGGGCTAGGGGGGTTCAGCCCCCTCCCCGGATCTATTAAATGTGTACATTTAACCTACAAAAAAGGGTAACTATAATATTATATGGCTTTCTCTAACTCACAGAGCATCCCATATCATATTGGATTATATCCAAGAGTATAATGCCAGTATTTTGGCACATCTTGTATTTTTTGCAAGACAATTTTTCTAATAGACGTATACATTTTTATAGACTTTCTGATTATGTCCCTTAAATCTCAATTTAGACTATGAACAATCTAATAAGATGCAGGACGAGGGAGGGGTGCAGATGCGCCATGAGCCCCGTAAAAATGACCTACATGTCTCCATGGACAGATTTTCAGAATGACCTCCAGGCCCCTACTACTTGCTAGTTGCTACGTCTCCAAGACTCCACTGTTCTGTCTTAACGCCCCACATTTTGGTCTCCAATAAAAAATATTTGGTTTTCACATCCACTAAAAACCTTTTTTTTTGAAAAATCTCAACATAATAAAATAGTTTATAATGATATATTAATGATGTGTATGAAAAAGTCCATTTTAATTGAGATTAAAGGTTCTATTTTTGTTTCACAAATTTCACAAACTTCTTAAATTGTGAAGAACGATTGCAGTTTAATCTATAAAGATGACAAAGTTTTTTACATAAGTCTCATGTATGAATCAAATTCAACAACGGCAATTCAAAAACACAGTAGATTTTGTGAAATCCTTGAATTTGTGCATTTATTGTATGCTTTGAAAACATTATAAAGAACTATTTTTTAAAAAGTTAAAAAAAATTTTTAATATTAACTAAATATCTATAAAATGCTATACTAACAGAACAGGAGGGTCATGTCCCATACTTAAGTTTAACATACTATTAAATTGGGCTGAAAAATTATAAAATCTGGGGAATTAGGGCCTTGGAAAATAAAAATTGAAACATGAGGGGTGGGGGTGCAAAAACTTGTATACTATAAGACAAACCCTCATTAGTTTGTATTATTATGATTAAATTTGATATGCTACTGATTTTATAGAGTTAAAATAATCTTCAAAACATGAAGTCTTCAAAGATATTAAAGTTGCTTATAAAGGTCGTCTTTTTTGCATACCAACTTACAGTAAACTATTTACAAAAATACAACTTAATCAATTAAATGAATTGATATTTTAAATTTGTTGATTGAACAATTCTTTAAACCATCACGGAGTCTACTCTGAAGAGCATGGCTAAGACATGGAAAGATAAGCTTTAAAAAAAAACAGCAAGTACAGGATGTCCCAAAAAACATGGGAATTCAGTTACGAATTGGATATCGTCTTTGTTATGAATTAGCATTGTAATACCTAATTTCAAAAGCCATAATAGTATTATGTCCTCCAGAGTTTATTTCATGAAAAGGGTAAAAAGACTGTAAAGATGTGTCTATAATGTCTCCGTAAGATGAACAGTGAAGACGGACAAGTTTACTCTGTTTATATACTGCAAATTTCTTGTTTTACCAAGTACAACCCTATGCAGTCAAAACATAAACAAACAAAATGTGAACATAGTAGACGAAACTCTTACAGTTTACCTTTCTTAGTAGGTATCACTTCATCAACGAATTATTTAAAAAGACGATATCGAATTCGTCACTGAATTCAAATGTTTATTGGGACACCCTGTATCAAAATGGCATGGAGGCTCGGAGAGTGCGAGAGGCACGGCGACGGTTTCAGGGGGTCTGGAATTCTTTATGCAAATCTGGAGGCTTGGAGGTCATTTTTCCGGGGCTCATGGCGCCTTTGCACCCCCTCCCGATAACGTGGGACACCCTGTATAATTTACTCTAATTAAAGAGTAATCGGTGGCATGGTGCGGTGGGGAGGGGGGGGGGTAGAAGGAATGAGTATAGTCAACTCTCCCTCCCCCTTCCCCTACTGTACAATGTATAAGTTGTCGAATATATATGTAATTTCATGGAGGAGTGTGCAAAAAAGGTTTTCTGAATTTCTGTCTGCTTTTAATCTGTTTTTTACACCCTTATTCCTTCCTGTCTACTTTCCCTTTCAATCGCAGGGATAATTATATTTCAAATAATATGCAGTTTCGAAAATATTACTTTAAAAGTTTTCATGTTCAGAGGTCAACGACTTTTATTTTTTCAAATCTGAAATTGTTAAATTCAATTCTCGTATTTATTTTCGACGAAACTTAATGTGCGTGATATTAAGTCATAATCTCTAGAGCGACATTTTGTGACGACCATTTGCTTTGCCGGCTGTCTGCCAAAAAAAATTTGGGAAATTAGAAAAATCTTTCCTTTAAATCTATGAAACCCGCATCAGCTGATCCAAAATAGCCATCTTTGGATCCGGGAAACAAATTTAACGTTATAAACAAAACAAAATAAACATTATTAAACAATTACTTTTCATTTAATCTAATTGAATTGTCAGTTTATAAAAGTTTCTTTGAAATTCCGGAAAATATTTTTTTCTTAATATGTCCGAATTAAAAATAGGTTTTCCAGGGCCCACAACAAGCAGAATCTTTCCTTAGGTCTAGCTATGGCAGAAAGCTCAAGCCAACTTCCTCTCTCACTCTCAGCCATTTTCCCACTAGTCGTAGACAGAAGTTAAGATGGCCCAGGTGACTAAATTTTACATAAACAGAAGTTTAAACCCATGTTTTCCATAGACAACGTGTAAATATTCAAGATAATAACGCTATTATCTTCTAGAAGCCTTATTTTCATAAAAATGGGAAATTTTCTGCTATCAACGGACATTTTATCTCCCTCACTATCGTCATCAAATTTCTAACACAAGATATGATTAAATCTGTTAGAGGGCCTTTTTGATTGGAAAATGTACCATTTGAGAAGTAAATAAACCAATACGGGGTATTTCCCAGGAAAAGGTGTTTGGACCCCCTCCCCTTATTTTCTAAATTGTACATAAGTCTCATATTTAAAACAAAGTTAAAGTTGATCATATGACCGCAGTGTCCTAATCTTACCTTAAATATATACTAACTTTGTTAAAAATTTTGAAACTGAAGGTCTCCTGGCCGCAGCGCTCGGCCCAGAAGTTGTCTCAACCTTACCTAACCCTGAAATAATTAAAATTGTATAGTTTTTTGTCGAGTAAAGTTGTAATCTAGGTCATGTACAAAATTGATAAGAGCTCATACATCGCTCTGTAGGACAAACCCCTAATATGTCCTAATAGTCTGAAGTACAGAGCGTCCCATACATCAGATCTCCAAGCTTGAACGCCAAAACACGCGCATACAATACTCGAAAAATGGCATTTTCTGCTAGAAAACTTTTTAAGAAACCTTTTACATTTATAAAAATGATTCATTGTTTTTAGATTTTGATTTAGATTCTGATTAAGTTCCTTAAATCACAATTTGGTATATTCCTAGTATACGATTTTTGGACCCCCCCCGGGCCCCCCCCCCTCCTATCAATTTTGTACATGGGTCTGACAGGAAGTGTCTTAACTTATCCTAACCATTGGCCGCAGCGCTCGGCCCCCTAGCCTGTCCTAGCCGCAGCGCTCGGCCCAGAAAGTGTCTTAACTAACCTAACCCGTGGCCGCAGCGCTCGGTCCCCTAGCCCGTCCTAGCCGCAGCGCTCGGCCCAGAAAGTGTCTTAACTAACCTAACCCGTGGCCGCAGCGCTCGGTCCCCTAGCCCGTCCTAGCCGCAGCGCTCGGCCCAGAAATTTTCTTAACCTAACCTAACCCTAAATAACAAAAAAATAAATAATAATAAATTTGCTGAAAATTAAATGGTCATGTACTAAATTGATAGGAGGGGGGGGGGGGTCCAAAAATCGTTTACTAGGACCGAGCCCACAATTTTGAGATAGTCGATCTAATATGATGTGGGACACTCTGTAGGTCAAACTTTTTTTTAAGAGTTCATGTTCTCTAATTTTAGGTTTCTGCACGTATGGCCGCATTGGCCCGCCAAGGCCCCAAAGCTGCTCAGCTGAGCAAGCAGTCCGCTGCTCTCAGCGTTGCTTCCAGGAAGCTCTCAACATCTTCTCAGCAGGTTAGGCATTATAACGATTAAAAGGGTCTGTTAAGTTAAATCTTTAAAAATCCATGTCCAATTCACAATGGTACTTACATGATCACTCATTTGAAAAATGTCATGGTTGACCCCGTCGGCTAAAAACCCAACATATTTCTCATTCGAAGTCTTAGAGCCCATTCTTTCCCTTAAGACGTGTAAACAAAGCATTTTCCTAAAGACGTACTTTGGGGACGATAGTTTGGCCACTAGATGTCTCACGCTAAAATCTTAGATCGATAAATTATTTGTACGCAAACTTTTGGAGATTTTAGCTGATCGACCATTGTAAGGTAAAAAAAATAACGAGCTATTTTTCGTCATATCCAGTTTGCTAAAAACGATTCATACTTTTTCAATTTTCTTATTAGTTCCGAAAATCGTAATTAGAGCCATAAATGATCCTAAATGATGTGACACTCTGTAGTAAAACGTATTAGATAATTAATTACAAAATTATTTAGTGTGCCGCCAAGGCCTCCTCTGGCGAGATCTCCTCCATCCTGGAGGACAGAATTCTCGGAGCTGCCCCCGCCGCTAACCTCGAGGAGACTGGTCGTGTCCTCAGTATTGGAGACGGTATTGCTCGTGTCTATGGACTCAAGAACATCCAGGTAAGACGAGTCGGTCTAGGGCGTTTTCCCCAGGGGTAACATTTTCATGAACACCCCCTCTCCTCTCTTAGTACTGAAAACAAGGTTTTCAACACAAGTTTTTTATTGCTAAAGTGAGGTGAATATATTACTTTTGGGAGACGTAAATACATTTTGGAGGGAAAGTATCAATAAAAATGTCAGGAGGGTGGGGGCGGGGGAATTTTTAATAAAAATAAATGTCCCTGTACGTAAAGTTTATTTAACATTACTGTACTGAGATTGATTTAAAATTGTGTCCATTTTATAATCCGTAACTTTCTTATCTGAGTCGGCAGATGTATTAATGCGCTTTATTTTCTGTAATTGTGTGGAATGCGCACACACACACACACACCCCTCCCCCCACACCCTCTCCTTACACTTAAGAAATTGCATTACGGTTTTCCTGGCTTTTATAACGATTGTTTTTGTATCTTATATCAATAAAAATAATGAAAATTTGATATTGTAGGCCGAGGAGATGGTGGAGTTCAGCTCTGGACTCAAGGGTATGGCTCTCAACTTGGAGCCCGACAATGTCGGTGTTGTCGTCTTCGGTAACGACAAGCTCATCAAGGAAGGCGATGTCGTCAAGCGTACCGGAGCTATTGTCGACGTTCCCGTCGGTTACGAGCTTCTCGGTCGTGTCGTCGACGCTCTGGGAACACCCATCGACGGCAAGGGTCCCCTTGGAACCAAGGATAAGTTCAGGGTTGGACTTAAGGCCCCCGGTATCATCCCCAGGCAGTCCGTCAAGGAGCCTATGCAGACCGGTATCAAGGCTGTCGATTCCCTTGTCCCCATTGGTCGTGGACAGCGTGAGTTGATCATTGGTGACAGACAGACCGGTAAAACCGCTGTCGCCATCGACACCATCATCAACCAGAAGAGGTTCAACGAAGCTGACGACAACAAGAAGAAGCTTTTCTGCATTTACGTCGCCGTCGGACAGAAGAGATCCACCGTCGCCCAGATTGTCAAGCGTCTTACTGACGCTGACGCCATGAAGTACACCATTGTCGTCTCTGCCACAGCCTCTGACGCCGCTCCCCTGCAATACCTCGCCCCCTACTCTGGCTGCGCCATGGGAGAATTCTTCAGGGACAACGGCATGCACGCCGTCATCATCTTTGACGATCTTTCCAAGCAGGCTGTTGCTTACCGTCAGATGTCTCTCCTGCTCCGTCGTCCCCCTGGCCGTGAGGCTTACCCCGGAGACGTTTTCTATCTTCACTCCCGTCTTCTGGAGAGAGCAGCTAAGATGTCCGACGCAATGGGCGGTGGATCTCTGACAGCCCTTCCCATCATTGAGACCCAGGTTTTTAATTAGTTAAATTATTTTTATTATGAGACTTAAGTTTGTTTTTTTAACCTGGGGGCGGGGGTCAATTCAAATTGAAGTTGCTTATATATCCTTCTTTTTTCTCCTCCCCTTTTAATGTTTGTGTCAATCACTAATTTAACCTTGAATCCCCCTCCCCTCATAATTTTCCTAAAGAGTGAGTAAAAAATATTTTCAAGAAAAGTTGGTTAAAATTTAAGTTTTAACATTTGTTCTATACCAGGCTGGTGATGTGTCTGCATATATCCCAACCAACGTTATTTCCATCACTGATGGACAAATCTTCTTGGAGACAGAGCTTTTCTACAAAGGTGAGCAAAAGCGGTCATAACAGGGAAAGTTGTGAAAGAAAAATACGAAAACAAGGTTATATTTAAAATATTCCTTTTATGTTTATACATGAATAACTGATTTTTGGGAATTTAGGAATTATTGCAAAATGGTAATTAATAAATGTTGAAGCAAAAGGAAAAGTTAATTAACTTTCAAAATCTTTAGATAAGGATAAGAATGTTCGAAAAAATTAATCAGTTCTTATTTGAAAACTAAATTTTGTGTGTCTAGGTATCAGACCCGCCATTAACGTCGGTCTGTCTGTATCCAGAGTAGGATCTGCTGCCCAGACCAAATCCATGAAGCAGGTCAATTTTATTCAAATTTTTTGTTATATCGTTTTCTTTTCCAGTACTGATTTTCAAACTACTACACATAAACTTAGAGCTGAGTCCAAATTTTATGTATAGCAAGATGTAGCTCAACGTCGTCGTAGTTTAACCACAACTGTATTTAAGTGGTTTAACTTGGTACAGAGTCCAAACTACTTTAACTAAATAATTTTGTAACTTTGAAGAAGGGGGTCGGGGGGAGAACAGGATTGATAGTTTAAGTATAAAAGCAATAAATTTATTTTGATGGTTTGTTTAGGTGTCTGGTTCCATGAAGCTTGAGTTGGCCCAGTACAGAGAGGTTGCTGCTTTCGCTCAGTTTGGTTCCGATCTTGATGCTGCTACCCAGCAGCTCCTTAACAGGTAGGAAGCTCCCTTCGACCTGGTGGTAGGGGGAGGGGGGGGGGTCATGAAACCTTTTGCAGATTAACTTCTTATATTTCTTTGTCGATTTTCAGTTTTATGAAGTATTTAAATACCTAAAATTATTTTGCACTAAACTAGAAATGTCAGCTGACTCTAAAACTAGTTTCTATTCATGTGTTTTAAAACGATTAATATTGCTTTATCAGTGATAATATTTAGAGGTGTGAGGCTGACTGAACTGCTGAAGCAAGGACAGTATGTACCCATGCCTATTGAAGACCAGGTACAGAAAATAAAGTTATGAATGGTTTCCCTTCAAAAATGAGACTGAAGAGATCATCTGAAAACTCTTAAAATATGACAACCTCAAGGTTAATTGTATTTAGTAAATAAAAAATAAACAGGTTTACAGTTGCAGTGAATTTGGAATATAAGAAACTGTATTAATTCCTTGCAGTCGTCTCTTGAAGTCTCATCCTTGTGGGAAACAACTTTTAGTAGAAAAACTGTTCAAGGATTATTAAAATTAAATTAAAAAAATTCGATCGAAAATTTTCGGGAGCGAGTATTGTTATAACAATGCTGGAATTATTTTCTTCTTGGATGATAAAACTAGTTTTCCCAGAAAAGTTATTTTGTTCCGAGATGAGTTTAATGTCTGCGATAAAATAAATCTTAAATTGTTTTCGGGCAGAAATTATAGAGGAAAATATATTTCATTATTCCTTTAAGCACTTGTTTCATTCAATAAAAGAGTCGTCCTTTTAATAGAAATAATTGTTAAGGTTGCCGTTATCTACTGTGGAGTCCGTGGATTCCTTGACAAACTTGACCCCGCCAGGATTACCGAGTTCGAGAAAGCTTTCCTCGAGCACATCAGAGGTAATCAATCTCTATTCTCACCTGGAGGAAACAATCCCTTTTTTACCTGAATTGCAAGATATTCTTTTCTTACCTTGAATTATACAATCTTTCTCAGTTAACAATCCTCTTAAAAGCATTATCTCTTTTCGGAAAAGATGTAAAATCCCTTCTAGTCTCGAGTATAGAATTTATGATCTAGCCTAAAGTAAACAATCCTTTTTCTAATTAAGTATACAATCCCTGATCTATCCTTAGTATCAGTGCTTATGATCCATTTAATTTTGATACCGATTCGGAACCTGGATCCGCACTGGAAAAAATGAATCCGAATCCAACATTTTTTTAAGATTTACTGAATTTTTTTAACGAAAATAATTTTCAAATTTTTTTGTTTTTTTTTTCGCTTCTTTTTATCCTAAAACTTGATGAATCATTCAGAAATGAGGAAATTTTTAATAATTTTTTTTTTTTCATAAGTTCTGATTTGGATTTTAGGAGTAAAAAGTTTTTAAGCAGTTTTAGGTTGATATTTTACCCCTTAGATCCGAATCCAGGAAGCCAAAATCTTGCGGATCCAAAGGATCCCGATCCTAAGCACTACTTTGTATAAATCTCTTTTCTAACCTTAAGTATACAATCCCTTTATCACGCTTTCTTTCAATTTTTCTTTTGGTATCCTTCAATTGTGTCTGTTAATTCTCTGTGTTGCAGTATTTAATAATTTAGTTATCCCTGTCTTAATAATGTTGACTGCTCGTAGTAAAACTGACAAGAAGAAAAATCAAATTTAAAAGTATTATTATATTTTTTAAATCATTATTATTTTCAGCCTCCCAGAAGGATCTTCTGGCCACCATTGCTAAGGACGGACACCTGAGTGAGACCACAGACAAGGCCCTCCACAAGGTCGTCGTTGACTTCATGGCCTCATTCGTCTAAACCCACTCCTTTACCTCACGGGGACTAGACCGGGACCTCGAGACCTGCAAGGGAGTCGGGGACCCGGACCTAGTCACCTTCCTTCAATATAGACTTTAATTAGCACTTGCGTGAGATCTAGCGAGTGTCTTCAGGATTATAAAGAGTTGAATCTTTGTTAATTTAAATATTATATACGAGCTGACTTATGATGTATTGTGATCCTATTTCTGGAATAAAGGAATTGGAAATAGTCTCTTTTTATTTTTGTGTTTTACAAATAGAGACGAGAAATGATACTTTGTTGGTTTTTATTTTATCATGTTTTCTGCAGATATCTAGTGCTTTTAAGGACTTGTTATTTCAAGGGATCTTTTTCCGATTCACAACAGTATCCTTAGAATAGGCTTGATGTAAAGGACTTTGTTTTTATACCTTTTTTATTTAAGAAATCTTAATATGCACTTGAAAATTGCTGAAAATGAATTGGATTCTGATCCACAATGCTTCGGCTTCCTTGATCCAAAAGGCAAAATAGTATAGAAGTAATCCTGCAACAAAAATCTGTTTGCTCTCAAAACGCTAATCTGGGACACGGAGCAATTAATAAAACGGCATCCCTGTATGTTGCAAAATAAAATTGAGCCAAGAAGGAAAGAATAAAACAAAAGTGAAGGTACTTGGCGTTTACACCCACCAAAAGTCTTTTTTCGAAAATGATCAAAAAGATTTGAAAGTCGTAAAACCATTTTTATTAAAGTCTACTTTAATTGAGATCTAGACTTCTATTGTTGTCTACCTAAATTTTAAGAAAATTGAAAAAATCGTTGCACGAAAATCTTTAAATTTGTTAATCTATATAATGCTCTACTAATTCTACGTTTTGTATGTTCCTGTAAATTTCATTCACATGAGTCTGAATAATTATTGCTATAATGTGGATCATTTATATATTCATGATTCCCAGCTTCTGTAATCTTTCCTTCTTTGCCAAATATTTGAATAATCCAACAAAAAATTGAATTTATCACAGATGACTTAATTCAACCCCAGGATTACAATTTTTATAGGGTTTTTATTAATCTACATGTACAGTCTCACCCTGAAATTTTATCTTTATTTTCCTTGCGATCATTTTCCAGAAATAGAAGGACTTCAAAGCGATCTCCAAATTACATTTTCTTCGGCAAGTTTTTAAATATTCATGTTTTTGTTTCTTAAAACTATTTATTGTCTTTTGCGGTTGCTTCACGACTTTAACATTTCATGCTTAAAAGTAGGGTTGAAATTTTCTTAGAACGAAATTCCCGAAATTTTTGACGTAAGATAAATTAAACAAATGGCAGAATTTATTTACACATTTTGATGTAGATGCTAAATATATACCAAACCTTTATATATCTTCACATAATCTTGCGTTTTCCAAAATTCAGCCAACAAAAGTAATTGCGATCTGATCCGTTACCTAACATCTGCAGGGGATGGACATAAATAAATATTTTTATTTCGATGTTAGGTATTTTTAGTTCACTCGATCAGAGGCCATCTTTTCTTTATGTTTTATTCCCAGAAATGGAAATATTAAATGAATTTTAGAGTATAATGAAACGTATCCCAAAAATGTTGAAATACAAATCAGTTTGTGACCAATTTTTTTGTTTCTCCTTAGGATCAAAAGTAAGTTTACAATATATATACCCCCTGATGTTTTCTTTATAAGGATTTTTGGTTGATCTCAATTAATTCTATTGTTTGAGGTAGAAAATAAGCAAAAGAATATCTTGAAGCTGTGCTGTAGCCTGTACAGCGGAGGCTCACTCCACAGCAAATCTGAGAGGCTCGTGTATGTATGGTCGAGGCTCATGGCGGCCGGGGGTTCTCTCTAGGGCTGGGCACATTCAACTGTTTCTAGCAGGCTTGTTAACGTTTAGATTCAAATGTTAAAAAAGAACAATTTTAGGTAGCCGTCAATTTTAATGGTAAGAGCGGAACATTTGTTTCGTTTACGGTATTTACCGTTTTTTTTAATGACTGTTGGGTAATGATCTCAATTTTATTAAGAAAGTTAACGTAAAATTTTCAAAAATAATAAACGGCTTCAGTCGATAATGGTTAAAAAATTGTGAACAGTGCAGCCGTTAACGGTCTTTTGTAGTATTAACGGCGTTAACGGTTTGTGAAATAGTTAAGGGTACGTTGTAGTTGAACTATATTTTCCTTTACTGCTGACTGAGTAGTACCTTCCAAATCAACTATATTCATCCTATTCTGAGGAGAACCCAGAATCTTTCAAGGCTGGACAAACTCAAAATTGTCTATTTCAAAATTCAAAAGTTAACTCGATCTATTCTCTCTCAGCATTTAAGGTTGTGAACACAGAAGACGACATTAAAAACATCAAAACATGAAGAAAACAAATTTTCTTTGCAAGTTTAATTAAATTTTAAGCAGAGAAAAGAAATTCATCATTTAAAACAAAAACCGTTCCGATATCGTTTTCAACAGTCCATATAGCTCTTAGGGAAGCCCATAGTAACACAAGAAACCCGATTGCGCGAATTTACCTGAATTTCTAATAAACATATTGATTGAAAACACATATCCTTATCTAAAGGATATAAAGATAAAAGTGTATAGATAGGCTAATACTAGCTAGGTGTTATTGAGAAAGATAGTTAAATCGATAGAGGAGGATGGATAGATATATAGATAAATAGATTGATAGATGGATAAATAGACAGATAGATAGATATATAGATAGAAAGATGGACAGATAGATAAATAGATATATAGATAGATAGATCGATAGATAGAAAGATAGATAGATAAATAGATTGATATACAAATAGATAGATGAATAGATGAACAGATAGATTTAAAGATAAATAGATAGATAGATGGATAAATAAATAAATAGACAGATTTATGTATATAGAAAGACGGATAGATAAATAGATAGACATACATGTAAAAAAGTAAATACACAGATAGATAGATAGATAGATAGAAAGATAGACAGACTTACATATATATAGATAGATAGATAGTGGAGGATTGATATGGGAGTATTTTATTATTGAATGACATTTAGAGTTAGTTGATAAAACCAGGCAGGGTTATTAGGACTTTGAAGGCTTTATTAAAAAGAAGACTTAAGAGTGATTTTTGAATTACCTGAAATAAGTGGGAATTTGTAAAGATTACCCGCCCCCCCCCTCTATCTCTTCGATTTGGTCACTTTATCTTAGTCTCATCCGTTCATTTATTACTGTGCAAATTCAAATATAACATATCTATATTTAAGACAAAAACATTTACCATGAATGATAAAAAATGCATGATATGGGCGGACTCTTCGAAGCAAATTGGTTTTGATTTGATATTTTTTCTTTGCAATACACATACATGGCTAAATTTCATTTTACTTTACGATATGCACACATGGCTAAATTTCATTTTACTTTACGATATATACACATGGCTAAATTTCATTTTACTTTACGATATACACACATGGCTAAATTTCATTTTACTTTACCATATACACACATGGCTAAATTTCATTTTACTTTACAATATAGAAAGGGGGGGGGGGCAGAGTGAATTTTATTTCCAGCAATACTGAACATTGAAGCAGTATTTTAGAAACAAGAGGTGTGTCCGGGGGGGACATCCCTCCTGGAAAAGTGGATATTTCTAAGAAATTTCAAATTTTCATCTTACAAAGTTTGTTTGAGCACCGGCATCAAATTCACCTACGCAGAATCATTTTTCAAATTTTGTCGAATGACTCTGCTCTCTGCTCAGGTGAAAATTTGAAATTTCTTAGAGAGAAGCGAAATTTGGAAGAGGGACATCTTCTGGCTGATTTAAAATAGAGTATATGATTGAAGGATAAAGTAAGAATGGATAATTTATGGAGTAAGTATGGAAAAAGAATGGAGTAAGAATGGAGCAAAATTGGAGTAAGAATTGAGGAAGAACAATGGAGGAAGGAAGGAGTATATAGGGTGGAATAAGGATGGAATATCGATTGAGTATGGATGGAGTAAGGATGGAGTAAGGATGGAGTATGGATGGAATAAGTATGGAGTAAAGATGGAGTAAGAATGGAGGAAGGATGGAGTAAGGATGGAGTATTGATGAAGTAAGGATGGAATAAGTATGGAGTAAAGATGGAGTAAGTATGGAGTAAGTATGGAGTAAGAATGGAGTAAGCATGGAGTAAGGATGGAGTAAGGATGGAGTAAGGATTGAGTAAAAATGGAGTAAGAATGGAGTAAGGATAGAGTATGGATGGAGTAAGGATTGAGTATAAATGGAGTAAGAATGGAGTAAGGATGGAGTAAGGATGGAGTAAGGATGGTGTAAGGATGGAGTAAGGATGGAGTAAGGAAGGAGTAAGGATGGAGTAAGGATGGAGTAAGAATGGAGTAAGGAAGGAGTAAGGATGGAGTAAGGATGGTGTAAGGATGGAGTAAGGATGGAGTAAGGAAGGAGTAAGGATGGAGTAAGGATGGAGTAAGGATGGTGTAAGGATGGAGTAAGGATGGAGTAAGGAAGGAGTAAGGATGGAGTAAGGATGGAGTAAGAATGGAGTAAGGAAGGAGTAAGGATGGAGTAAGGATGGTGTAAGGATGGAGTAAGGATGGAGTAAGGAAGGAGTAAGGATGGAGTAAGGATGGAGTAAGGATGGAGTAAGGATGGAGTAAGGATGGANCCCCCTCCCAATACATAATCGGCTTTTATCACTCAGTATGCATGAAAAGCAGGCCTAAGCTTTTACATTATACATATTTTTCTAAGACAATACACTTAAAAAGTGTACATGCACATTAATTACTACAATTTTTCATAACAACCAGTTATTGTAGTTAAAATAAAACATTTATAAAGAGGTGTAAGTTTAAACCAGAATATCAATTTCATTCTTTTGAAGGTGACGCTATCGGAGGCAATAACTTTAACATAGGCATTGAAAATAGACATTTCAATTCTAATTGCTCTGATAAGTAATAATGGAACATATTTCCCTATTCCCTGGTATAATGAACAAATAAAAATGGAAAACAGGACGCTAATTACTTCATTGAAAGGAAAAAATTAGATGAATATTTGTCTACGAATGTTTTAAAAAGGTTTTTTTTACACTTAGATGATAATTGGTTTAATATTATGAATTGCAATGTTAATAATTTGAAGAGAATATATGTGTGAAGGTGATAAACAAAAATAACGTCCAAAATAGTGCACAAAAACATATTGTGTTGTGCCTTTTAATAAAATTGTTATTATTGTATAAAAATAAGCCTGTCCTAAATGAATCATAATTCAGTTCGAAAATATTATAGTTTTTTAATAACAGCAGTGAGATTGGTCAAAATGTTTGTACATGTATTTGGTAAAAGATGTTTCCTTTAAAAAAAAAACAATTTTTTGGTCAATTTCTTTTGGTTTGTTATATTTTTGTCTGCTTTGCTTTTTTATGGTTTTAAACAACATGTTTTTGTTTGACCAATTCTTAAAATTGAATTTTTTAACAAAATTATAGAAAAATTTTGTTTTTCAGATCTTCTGAATTGAGGCCTGTACAAGGGCTGGTAAACTCGGTAAACTCCATGGAGGAGGAAAGGTGGGTGTAGCAATGGGAGGTGTGTCAATTTCTCAATTTCAATTTTTATACAAAATCTGAAACCTTCAAAATCATATATGTAGATCCAGACAGCTATGGAAATTATGCATCAACTTTTAAGACCGCGGCGTCAAATTTGGAGCGTTGCAACGCCTTGATTTGTTCCTTATCTACCTCGAACACGTGATACAGGATAGTTTTTGGCTTCAGTTGAAAAGTAGTAATTGGCAAAATTCTGATCTATTTTTAAGTATGAGCTTGTACATTTAGGTACATTTTTCGATATTACTTATTCAAAATGTTAAAGTTTTTTCTGGCAGTGCGTCTAAAGTCGGCAAAAATAGCAATGCAAAAAGGTTTTATGAAATTGACACACCTCTGAGTGAAGAAAATTACAATTATGACATTATTGTTGTACAAGATTCTTTATGTACAGTCAGCTGCCCGAGGATGGAGTAATGACCAGCCCGGCCAGGCAGGTTAACTTAAGGTGAATAAAATTTAATTAAATTTTGCATGAAAGTTTTGAAACGGTACGGCCCATGAAATCTTTGAATGCTCAATAATGAGACTTCCACGTTTTTAACTTAAAAGATTGATAATTTACAACTGTGGGTTCTTTAGCATGTTGTAACTTCTGAATTGCTGTAAGCGAAACAATCGAATTTATCACGTTTCAACCTATAGATAAGATGCAAACGACGATATCTTTCATGACAGAAGTGAATTTTTTATTTTGATTCGTTTACGCTTATATACCGTGAGAGATATAAAACTGAAATATATTTTTAATGTTGTAATGAACCCCTTTACGATCCACTTTAGCTTATTTTGTGACATGATATCATAAGTTCATAACTAGAGTCTAAGAGTTTTAAGATTCCTACTTTATTTTGTTTTATCATTATTATCGTTATTATCCTCATTATTATCATTATTATTTTTGTTATGATAATCGTTATTATTGGTATAATTATTATTATTATTATTATTGTTGTTATTATCATTATTATTGTTATTATTTTTACTATTATTATTATTTTTATTATTATTATTATTATTATTATTATTTATTATTATGTTTATTATTATCATTATTATTATAATCATCATTATCTATTTATTAGTGTGACTGTCCCTCGAATTGATGGATTGGTTTCTTCTGTTAGTGTTGGCCAATATCTAAATAAAGCAGAGGATTTCCCAGATGGCAAGTTTGGTAAAAAAACTGAAAAAATATTTAATTGTTTTTATGACTCTACATTTAAAAAAAGAATGGTATGTATTTACAAAAGTAACCTGAAAACTTTGCCTGATCAAGATTAATGGATGAGATTTTCATTAACTTTTATTTGAAAATTGGTTTTTGGAAACGACGTAAATCAACATTGTTGAACAGATCGTTAAAACAAGTTGATTTTGTTCCTTTTCAAATTTTTCGTTCATTTTCCATCTATTTTTTTTGTGTTCTCATTGAACGATCGTTTCGTAAAAACAACTAACAAATGCTCAACGTTTGTTCGAAAAAATCGTTTAATCAGTAAAAAAAACGATAGTTTTTAAATCTATTGGAAAATTCGTTCGTTTAAAAAGATGATTTTTTAAAAGTTCGTTTTAACGATTTTAAATTGTTCGTTTTTCTCATTTGTTTTGGTAAACGATATTCTTTTAATTTCTCTGAACGATCCAAGTTGTTCGTTCATAGTTCGCTTTTTTTCTGAACGATAAATTCCGTCTTTCCCTCCAACTAGAAGTTTAAAGTAATCAGAAAGATAAAACAAAAATTCTTCAACTAATTTCTTGTTTTTGCAATTGATGTTTAGAAATTCATTTAATTTTACACAAGTTTACCAATTTTCACAAATAGCGAAAAAAATGTCGTTATTATTTTAGTTCTTTAGCTCATCTCTTCTATTCTTTCGTTAATGAACTCATACATGCCGTTTTTATAATGCATTTTACAATGTACACAATATTTTTAGGAATTCACAAGTCTCAATCTATAAATCATCTGACCAGTATAAATGAAACTGACCGCCTATACAGGAATGTGTTTTTTTTGTACTAAACGCTGAATGATACAATCATGTTTTGGGACAGAATTATTGGGTTTTCCTTTATCCATTGACACCAGCCACCAGCCACTGGGGTTCTGATCTCATTTTTCAGACGCCATTACTTATTCAAATTTTGTAAAAATATAATATATTATATAAATACAATTTATGAGACTATTGTGTACTTTATCATTCTTCCTCACTTCATCGTCAATTTCATAATAAACATAAGCTGTAAAGTAATCATCGTGCTATGTGCTATAAAATCAAATTAGCTCTACATTGTAGCACGTGTGCTATAAAGTTTGGATTGGCTCCCGGATTTTCTCCAAAATTTTTGGATATTTCCAAAATATGTTTTCGATTGAAATGGAAAAAAATTGAAATCAACTTTATATTTTCACTTCTGCTTTGTTTCAAAGCTTCTTTGATCTATGGAAATAGCCATTGAAATAAGACAAGTACACAAACGTTTCATAAAATTACCTATAACACTATTTTTTTGGCACGACGTGCTATAAAGTTTTTGGACTTAAATTTTCTCTATATCTCGAAGGTTCTCGCCTTTTTAGATTTAATTTTGTGCCGAGCTTTAGCGAAGTACCTTCTCGGTAAAGAGAAAATTTCTGTCCAAAAATTTTACATAACTGCAAACCAAAATAACAGTGTTTTAAATAGTTAATTTCTTGTTTTGAAACAGTTCACTGTTATGTATATAGCAATATTTAAAGGTTGCAATTAATTATTAATTTCCCTTTTTATGATCAAAGTGTTCCTAAAATAATAAATAATTTAACTATCGCATACAATAAATACAGATTTAAACAGGAAGAAGGAAAAAAGAAAAAAAGGTAATAATTAATTTTATAATATTATTTAAAAAAAGAAATTCCCTCAATATAAAAATGTGAAAATGTGAAAATCGGTAAAGGATTTCCGGGCTTATGATCGGACATACAGAAAGACAGACAGACAAACAGAGATTTTAAACTTTATTTATAAAGATGATAAATTTGTTTAAAGTCTCAATTGGAAATATTAACTTAATTTTAACTCAATTAAATCAATTGAAATCAAGGTAGTCAAAATTTGTAATCAACATTTCAGCTGCTCGTCTGTCCCGTGGATTTCTTGAATTTATCAGTTTGGTTGATCTTGCCAAACCAGTAGAAAAGGAGGAGAAAAAGAGGTGAAATTATGGATGAAAGGAACTGCACAGTAATCTTAATTTCAAGTGATGGCCAATTCACAACGGTACCCTTAGCAACAATTTTTTGATCAAGTATGAAATAGATAGATATGTTTTATTTTAAAAACTGTTAATTTTGTCCAGATTATTAATCAGATGAAGATGTCAAGGGAACTGTTGAGAATAGAGCATTGTTATTTTAGCATGGAGGCTCACTTGAAATTATGCTAACAGTCTTTTTAATAAAATCAACAACTTTATTATTTTTACCGTTTAACTGAGGACAACATTTCACATTATATCTGACCTTGATAAAAAATTCTAAATTTTGAAAAGTAAATATTGTTTAGATAATATCCCTTATCTTAATCCTCTTTATTCAAGGCAGGATATGTTTTAGTAAAATCCTAACCCTCAATAAACATTAAACATGTTCCAATCTAGGTGAGAAATGAAAAAAAGAGCTTAAACTTGTTTAGTGCTCTTGATACAGATGAAGTATGTACTATATGGAGACTAAAAACATTTAAACAATTGTGGTTTATAACTTTGTTCCGATATAATTATACAAAGTACAAAAAACCTACAACTTTTAAGAACTACAACAGATCAAAGTACGACTAATCTAATACTATTAAACGGCAAATAAAGCTTAAATTGTACACACGACTTTTTCAGTACTTTTAATACAAAGTAAAGTATAAACTGAATACAATTTAACAGACAAGCGGAATAATTATTGTCTAAGTTAGTTCCTCAATAGTGAGTGAAGTGAAGTAAAGGGATCAAGTCGATTAAGCAATTGGTCCTCAAATTTAAGTGCCCAAATAAGATATCGAGATTAAGCGTTCAAGGATAACAATATCCACTTAAAAGTTCTTATATCATGCACTAATCTAGAAAAATGCATGAAGTTCAAATATATATTAAGGAATTTTAGTAACAAACAATTTAGGACTAACAATTTTATGACTTCTATGTACTAAGAAATGTATAAAATTATTTTCTCAGGAGTACTAAAGATCAAAGTACGCCCAACCTGGAGGTGGTTACTGAACCTGCTGAGTCCTCATCTAATATTTCAGATGAATCACCAGTTATAAGGTAATTTTTTTAAATTTGTTTTGAAAAATTTATTTCATAACAATGATGCCATGTTAAGACATTGAAGTCCAGAAGACCTTAGGGGTTTGCTCATTAATATCAATCCATATACACAATTCTAAAGTTTTCAGTTCTGCATAAACTGCAACTTTACATCAAGTTATTTAAGACTCCATATTTTTTTTAAAAAGCGCCATGAAAATCTAAAACTCTATTAGACAAAGACGACCGGTGGAGCGAAGGGAGAGAAGAACAACGGTTGGTACAGAAGCTGGACTTCTCGGCCTTCATCACTCCTTATCTACGAAAACAGGGTACACATTATGGAGCGTTTATATGGCTTCCACTGAAAGTTTTCGCGTAAATTTGCTCGTGAATTTTTCAAAATTTTGCGCGAAATTAATTTTTTTAATTTATGAGGCATCAAACAACAAATCTATCCATAAAATATGCTGGAAAGTTTTCAATGGCTTCGTGTAATTATTCAATTGAAAAGCTCCCTATCTGTAGCATTCCATTATCAGTAAGTTAAGAGAGGCGACAAGTCCATCTATAAATATTAATATTAGTAGAAGGAAGACGACAACTCCATCTATAAATGGCGACTTTTCTATGAGCACACCTTCTCTAACCCTAGCGGGGAAGGTAATGAATTCGACTTTTCCGAATTATAAAATCAAAAATATATTTTTTTAAATTAAATTTTGAATGATATTTTCAGACTGATATCCCTCCACGTTCAAGACCGCAAACATCAAAGTACGTTTTAATAATAATTAAATTAAATAAAAATATTTGCATATTTTTCAAGTCCTCATACAGAGAAATGTTTTTAAGAATGCACCTCCCCCTCCGTCCCCATAATTACTAAGGTCAAAGAATACAAAAAAAAACCTAAGAATTATAAATAATATTTTCTATTCTTATGTTGAATATTGGATAATTAATTATTTTATTAATTAATATATAAGAGTATGTGTAGTATAATTGCAGCTTGACATTTTATATATTTTCTTCAATATTGAACACACTTTCCGCTTGCAAACACATGCATAAACATTAAACAGATATTAAGAATTATCTTACAGGGTGATTCTTAAATATTTATTAAGTGTTATACGGGGTGCCTCAAAAAAAATATCAAGTACTATTATTATACAAGGTGCCCCCTAAGCACGCAGATGCACTAAGACCCATACAACTGTAGAATTGGTAGGCAACGTTAAGCTATCCTTCTTGTATAAAATTTAGTTTTAAAGCAAATAATTTGCCTATTGACTTATTAGATCACTTATTAAGTGAAATGGGTCTGTTTACACTGCACAATTGCTGTGTCTTATGCTCAATGACATAACTTGATTTTTTTAAAAGTCATCATACAACTTTTCTCTATATTATAAATGTTGATTTATAACAAATAGTTGTACCATTAGCAGTACTTATTAAGCAAAATGAAGATATGTTCATTACTAGCAGTTGTTGTGTTTCATCTTCATTAGTCATTCATATCCAACGTAGATTATAGAGTTAGAGTGATGATGTACGCTAATCCTTTACTAATTTTACAGGCCATAAACTATACAGAGAGTGTACCGCATATTTGTTTATTATAAGTTGATTCTTGCCTAACCTATAGTATATCAATATTAGTAAACAGTTGTAAGTGTACAGTACAGCTAGCCCCCTTGTTCATATCATAACTTGAGTCTTTCAGTCGGAATCAAGGAGTAAGAAATAGAAGGGAGATACAACTGACGCGGCCCGACCTACCATATGATTATACATGCTTTGCAGACGGGTACTCCATTTGTATAAGAAATATTCAGAATATATTATATATGCCGTAATTGTACATCAAACAAATATTTCAAAATAAGAAGTACCGTCTCCAAAGCATGTACATATAATCATATGGTAGGACTGGCCGCGTCACTTATATCTCCTTTCTATTCCATACTCCTTGTTCGGAATCTTGGTCCACTGTCGTATAGCTCCAACTGTAAATCAATTTATTCAGGGACGTATTCAGAGGGGGCTAAGCCCCCCTGGACCAGTGAAATATATTGATTTCAGGGGGTTTTCAGACCCCAACGAGTGCTGAGCCCCCCCCCCNGCCCCTGAATTTATTATATAAAAAACAGGGGGGGGGGACTATGTCTTTGTATGGTTCAAGAGTGTTTCAAAGATGAATGTTAATGTTTACAAAGAAAAAGAAAAAATATTATATAGTGGTATTTTTATTTCTATCCAATGTCTCTGTAAAGATGAAATGAGAAGAGCACTGGTTAATTCATGATTTTCACGTACACTCCCTTTAAGAAGAGAAGCACCTGTAGTGCCAAGGGTGCAAGCCCCCCCTCTGCCTCAATGGAAGTCTGTGCTGGATACACGGATACAGATGGATGTGGATACAATGTTTCAGAATATTATGACCGACAGCGACCTCTATAGAGCTTGGATTGTAAGTACAATATATAGATAGATAGATAGATAGATAGATAGATAGATAGATAGATAGATAGATAGATAGATAGATAGATAGATAGATAGATAGATAGATAGATAGATAGATAGATAGATAGATAGATAGATAGATAGATAGATAGATAGATAGATAGATAGATAGATAGATAGATAGATAGATAGATAGATAGATAGATAGATAGATAGATAGATAGATAGATAGATAGATAGATAGATAGATAGATAGNTGAAATATTATTTAGAAATATCCTACTCTAAAGGGACTGTCGTTCTTATTTAATGAGGACCATGCCCAATTCACAACAGTATCCTAATCAATAAACTTGAAGATCTCTTTTTTAGCATCTAATGTTTAGAATTTTGACATTTTTCTTCATTCTTTTATGAATAAATTAATCAATTTTCAATGTCAAAACCATGTCAGTCTCTTTAAGGGTACAGTTGTGAAGCAAACATGCCACTCTATAAGTAGAGAATCATTCGGAATTACGTCTACATTCCCTTTAATGGCATAAATGTAGCCGTCTCCGAAAAAGAGATATCCTTTTTGATGCATCTATTCTTGTTTACAAATTCCGCCCAGAGATACCTGGTTTCAATATGTACGTAGAATACGCAACTGCATTTAACTTTCCTTGCATTATAACCTTGGAAATGATTGATTTGCATGATTTGCTTACTGTGCACAGTATACAGCTTTCTCTACAGCTTAAAGTCGACTCGCAACTTCCAATGAACCAGTGTACTGTAGAAATAAGAGGAAAATCAATTCCTTTGTTTGTTGACAGAGGAGAGGAAGGCCAGCCACGACAATTTCTACTCCAAACCACATTCTCCTCATTTTCTCGTCCCGAGCCACCTCGAAATACTCGTCCTTCCAATATTATTTTTTTAAACAGTCCAATCCTCCAATATAAATCTGTTTTTTAAGAATTGGCCACGTTAAGGCATTTATGAAATATTGAATTTTTGCAAATCAAAAAAGAATAGTTTCATTAGAATTAAAGTTTTCGAGTTCAATGTCCTCAAAACTGTTTACCTTTTACGCGCAAATAATTCATAGTTTATAGAATTTAAAATCTTTTTTATTTATTACTAGCTGAAGGGCCCAGCATTAGGCAACATATATATATATGTTACGCGAGCCATGCTGCGTGTAGAAAGTCTGCTTGTCACCCCTGGGTATTTCTGAGTTCTCCCTGAAGATCTGTACGGAATGTATTGTNCTATTGATTATCAAATAGAACCAAGCAGATCAGTTTCTTCGCCACTGGAAATAGATTACTCTGAGGTATTTTGGAAATTTAAACAGTGTTTTTTTTACGTATTTTTACGTCTTTCATATTTATAAAAACAAAAGCAGAGATTTGACATTTCATATCTAGGACATTCTATAGTTCGGACATTCATAGACAGAGAAGGATCTGTGAACGAGAAAATGAGGAGAATCTGGCTAAGGCGAGAAATTGTTGTGGCTAGCCTTCCTCCCCTCGTTGACCGTTAAAAATGAACGGACATTTTCTAATTTATGCTGTTTTCCATTTGTTTAAAACCAATATTTGACAAAGTTGTTCGTTGATGTTCATTCCATACGAAACTTTGCCTGTTAATCTTTATCATTTCTTTTTAGAACTGTGAGCTTTGAAGTAACAAAGAACTTTGGAATAACTTCAGCAAATATAAAAGTTAACCAGATTTTTGTAAGTTAACCAGATATTTGTAAGTTAACTAGATTTTTGTAAGTTTTTTTTAAAGGAGAGTTCGAAAATTTTCCTTTTCAAGTGCAAGTCCATTTTGATCTAAAATTTGCATTGAATTTGCCTAAAATCCAAAATTGGTTTTTAAAGCTTTAAAGCTCGGTATCGTGTGTTAACATTTTACTACGACGTCAGCGGTCAGCATATACACCAATAAAAAATGGTTTACAGAAAAGGTTATAAATAATACAGAGGCTGGCATATATTTTAATACAATATCCGTTACTGAATTGCAACATAATCGGTGTATTTAAATGAATTGTCTGAAATATTATTATTTTACCCTTTCAGTAACCGACATTATACTAATTTATATGCTGAACCCTGTATTCAAGGCAGGACTAGGACAATGTTTACTACATTTTTATGATAAAATTAGTTCGAGTTGATGACGTCATTCATTGACCTTGTAGAATTGTAAACAGATCCATCCACTATCCTTCAGATATACATCGTTTGTGTGAACGAACGAAATTTTTGCGAACGATCGAAATTTTTGCGAACGATAAATAAAACAATGGAGGAACGACCGGGAATGTTCAAAGAAATGAAAAAGATAGTTTTGCTAATGAATTAACAAATTTTCCGAATTATTTTGAAAATCCAGTAGTTTTTTGCTGAATGAACGTTTTTTTCGAACAAACTTTAAAAAACGATATTTTTTAATCGAACGAACAACTTCTTTGGACAAACTTTTGAAAACCGGTAGTTCTTTACTGAAAAAAACTAACGAAATAGATGGAAAGGGAACTAAAATATATAGAACGAACGAAATTATTTTTTTGGACGATTGAAAAAAACGAATGAAATAGGTCGTTCACGATTGACGAATGAACGAAATGAAAAAAACAAACTCAGACATCTCAATACTCTCCAGAGTTCTACTGATACCCTCTTAGTTACTTGATTAAAAATTGAATAATTTTTTTTTAAGGTTGACGGCAGATGGTGAAAAAACTACGAAATTACAGGTGTTTTTTAGAAAAATAAAATTTCAGATTTAACAATTTTAATATTTACTCATCAATAAAAGTTTAGATTAAAAAACAAAGCACTTTTGCTAACTTTCTCTGTAGTAGTGGTGTCCATAAAAACTATTAAAAGATTTTTTTCTGAGTTGGCAACCCGGATTTAAACTATTAATGTTTCTAAATAACAACAAAAACATACCAACATAATTAATTTAGGTCTAAAATAATGATTTCTATCTCTCAGGTTGTGACAGAGCAAGAGTTTATAAAATCTACTTTTCTGAAGGTTATATTTTTTAACACGATTGATAATAATTTTACGTATGGTTTTCTTATACTCATGATTATATTATGTCGAAATCCACGTTATTTACACGGCTGACAAACTTACGTTCCAAAATCTTTATTTTTTTATGTAGAAACAATTCAAAGCTATTGTTTCATTTCTGTTATTTTGTTTCCAGGTATAATATTTCTGAGAGGTCAGATACAAAGTTTACTTTCCTTTTTAAAAACTTTTGGGTTCAACATTTAAATGTCGTTTTCCAACGTTCTAAATCTCATATTTCAGAGTAAGATAGAATCTGAATTCTGGGCCCTTTATAAGAAGAATATGAGTTTATTGGAACAAATGCTGGAAAACCAGGTTCCCCAACAAGAAAAACCCGCCAAATTAAAACCCAAATCAGCTGGTAAAGTGGCGCCATCTATTGATTATCAAATAGAACCAAGCAGATCAGTTTCTTCGCCACTGGAAATAGATTACTCTGAGGTATTTTGGAAATTTAAACAGTGTTTTTTTACGTCTTTTTACGTCTTTCATATTTATAAAAAAACCTGTATATGAAATGTCCTTTCTGTGGAATGTCCTCTCTTTTGAATTGTTCTGTCTGTCCATCAAATTTCTATTCTATGAATATGAAATGACTTATCATTGAAATGTCCTGTCTTTGAAATTTCCTGAGTGTGGAAATGTCATGTCTATCAAATATCCTGTCTGTGAAATGTCCTGTCAGGATTTTGAAGTTTGTAACCTGTCGCTAAAAGTATATTTACCAGATATTCATATAGATTATAAGTATTACAGTTGCAAAATAAATAACAAAATACAAAATTAAATGTTTGTTGAGAAAATATTCAAAAACCTCCTAAAATAATAAATTCTCCAAATATAATAAATTATACCAAATTAATTTCTAAATTAATCGTAGATGTGGAGAATAATGAACAGTCTTATTATTCTTCTAATTTTGTCCCTGATGGTTATGGCCATATTCAAGATTGCGCATACACTATTTTGATGAGATTCTATATGATTGTTATAAGATTCTATCAAAGTTTTATTTTATTAAATCAAATTTCTATAGATTCTATCAAAGCTATATATAAAAACAACAGTATAACCTCGTACTATAACCTCGTTGAGTACAACTCAAATTTCCATGTTTTAGATTGACTACGATAGAACGCGTGTTTATTCCAAAAGAATAACAGAAAACAGACATTTTCAAGTGGCCTCCATCCAGACCATTCTCTTGTTATATTTATGCAAGTGCCATACAGAGCGTTTTATATCATTTTGGATTTTCTCCAAGCTCAAACTTCAAAATACGCACAGATTACTATATTTCCTGCATTCAACTTTTTTTACAATTAAATATCGATTATTATTAACTAATGCCCTGAACTTTTTAAAAACATTTAAGTTTTAATAATTACAATTATGATTTATTTTAAACGGGCATGTTTTAATAAAAGTAGAACGAAGACGACTAGAGAATTTCACAGTTTTTTTTGTCTCACTGCATACTGTACACTGCAGGAAACTCTAGTGGATTTCGAGTACCGAGCCGACTTTTGATCAGCTAGAGAATGCTGTACAGTACGAGTACAGACCTTATATTGCAAAACGGGAAAAATATGCCAAATGAAAGAGCCCCTTTTGTGAAATTTATGTGTGTAGAATCCAATATGATGTAGGACACCCTGTTATTTGTAAAAAACAAAATACGAGTGCCCTGCAGTGCCAAAATTACGAGTGCCCTGCAGTGCAAAAAGTATGAGTGCCCTGCAGTGCCAAAAATGATTACTATGGGCATACCATTGTAATCTTTTATGATGCTTTGATAAAAAAAAATAATATTTTAGTTTTCTAAAATTCAATAAATATTAGTACATTACATAAAGTGAAGTAATCTCTGGTTGGGTGTTTGTTTGTCTGTTTTTGTGTTTGTTTGTTTGTGTCCATTCATTAATTTGCCTCAGTTTTTGACGAAGAATTTCAGTAGAACCGGGCAGCAGAATATTCTAATCTAAGCAATTAGTTAGTTGGAGCATTTTACTCAATGATGGTTGACTAGAGAAAGTTCAGTTTACAGGCAAAGCTGGATTCCCAAACTTTTGTAATTAATAAAGCTATATTTTATGTTTTAACAATATCTTTAAACTTCTTTTGATCCTAGAACAATGAGAATTTAAGATTAGTATTACCCCAGAAAATTACGACTTAGACTTTAATTTCTTAACTTTAACGCTACACATTTGGTGCTGGCGCGGCGGTGTAAAGTCTAATGACATATGTTTCCATTATAGGATTCCTAAACAATTCAAAATATGTTTTATGTACATACAGGGTTACCCAAACATTATAAGGCTTGGCTTGGTTTCTTCAATGATTTGTCAGACACGGAAAGAAGTTCATATGTTGCAGGGAATCATGCTTATTAAGTCTCATTCTTTGTGGGTAACTCTGTATTGCACAGTCTAGCGGACCAGACTTATTGAAGGTTATGTGAGTACGTTGATTGATAGATAGATAGATAGATATTTATCATTAAAGTACATTATTTTACATAGATATATATTCTTTAAACTAACATTTTAATGTTCACCCATTAGATAATTATTATTTTTTGTAAAACAATGACAATATAAAAGTCTTTAAACTTTTAGCTGTATTTCCTTTCTTCAAAATAAAACACAAAATATCTGTTTTTATATCTGATATCCATTTACAGGGTAATAAATAAAATATCAGCGTATTATCTAATAAAAATGATTTACATGTTTCAATTTTTTTGCTTCGGTAAATATTCTAAATTGAACCCTTTTTGGGAATTTTTAGTTTTATGTATGTCTATGTATCTACTTGTTTTTTCATTTCTATATTTCCGCCCAGTTTTCTTTATTTCCGGAAACCCTACTTTGATCTCAAAGATTGAAAGAATATTGGATTTCCGGAAATTTAAAAGTTTTAACATATAGTTAGATATCTGATAGAGCCGACCATTTTGTATAAATGGATAAAAGGATTTTTATAGAAATATCGAGTTTATGGCCACCCATGATTTTTTAAATTAGGTTTGGTAAGCTAAGATCTCTTGATCAATAAATATCTCTGAGGATTTTGTAAATCATAATTTGTTATAACAAATGTCACAAGAAATACATCAATTCAAAATATATATTATACTAGCTCTTACTGTTTACTACAAGGTGTCCCAACAAACATGGGAATTCAGTGACGAATTCGATATCGTCTTTTTAAATAATTCTTTGGTTTAGTATAGTGATACCTACTGAGAAAGCTGTAATCTGTAAGAGTTTGGTCTGCTATGTTCACATTGTGTTTGTTTATGTTTTGATTGCATACGGTTGTGCTTAGTAAAACAAGAAAATTGCAGTATACAAACAGATTAAACTTGTCCGTCATCACTGTTCATCTTGCGGAGACATTATAGACAGTAGTCACATCTTTACAGTCTTTTACCCTTCTTATAAAATAAACTCTAGCAGACATGACAATATATTATGGGTTTTGAAATTAGGAATTACAATGCTAATTCATAACAAAGACGATATCGAATTCGTCACTGAATTCCCATGTTTTTTTGGGACACCCTGTATGTTACTGTAAATACCATTCAGTAAAATGATTATTTGATAGTGCAAAACGTCGGTAAAGTTTTTGCAATTTGTAGCAGTCTTGAATTTCATTTAACCTTATTTACCTTTATCAAGGTAAGTCTAAGAAAAACCACAGGCCAGATTTTATGAATATTAAGATGTAGCTGAACCTCAAAGACGTAGTAAACCACTCCTCTTGTGAGCCGGGTCACGCTGAATAGAAGGGGTTCGATCACAACAAATCCTACGCGGTTTAAATGTCTCATCTTTTACTATTTCTGGCCCATGATTGTCTAAAAGTAAAAATGATAAATCATTTAACTGTTTAAGGTATTCGATTACCTTTAAAGACCAATAACTTTTCCTATAAAGGGAGTGACCGGCAATGTATGGTAGTTGAACTGAGATTGTAGTATTGTTGAGAAATTGTTTAGGATTTATTTGAGACATATAAAACGTTTTAATTATGTATAGTTACTGAGTTTGAGTGCAAAGTCGACGTTACAAATCCTCCATTTTGGTGGCAACATTTTGAGAAGCGTTTTTTTAAATTATTATATAACGCCGACAAAAAATGTAACAAAAATTCTACAGTGAAATAATTAGATGTTTAGGAACAAAAAATAAAAATTTGTCAATAAATTAATGTTAGAATCAATTATTTCTTTTTAATCATTATATTGAATTTCTTGTTCTTTACGAATTTGTTCGCAGATTTCTTAAAATTCATCAAATGTCGTCTTTTCAATGAAAAATCCCAGGAACTCTACAGAAAATGTTTAAGAACAATGAGACATCATAAAACCAATAATAACCCAATTATAGTTAATTTTGTTTTCTAAACAACTAAGTAGTTTACTGTAGAAGTTTTGTTACATTTCTCGTCGTTGTTACTGAATAATTATTAAAAACCCGATTCTCCAAATCATCCCTCTAAAATGGACAACCTATAAAGGTTTTAAAGATTGAATTTGCGTTCTTGCTGAACAAATATGCACCGTAAAAATGTATGATATAGTAATAAATATTGTAGTTTACTCAGTAGTATTCTCAGTTCAACTACCATACATTGCCGGTCACTCCCTTTATGCATTGCTTTTACAGTGACAATATAAGGTGGGAATATTTTTATTAATCAATTTATCAATATTGTGCTGATATCTATATATTTATAAATCACATTAACACTATGGGATACTGTTGCTATTTTTGTACTATGCAATTAATTATGTTGTCAAGAAATATGGAACCGTTTTTTGATTCAGGGCTCAAAGTACCAGTCAAGTATACTCTGTCCCATTTCTTTTTTTTAACTTAAAGGAATTTTAAACTTATATTTAAATTGGGGTTTCTATTGGGCTGTAGTATTTTCACTTTTTCACGTTCTTAAACACTTTGCGCCAAGTCTAGTTATGCTTATGAGGATATGTTTAATTGCTTAAAACTCGAAATAGTTTTAATTATTTTGAAATTTTGCATGTGGTTTTATAAACCGGGTTTACAGTATTCTAGAAAAATTGCACGTTGTTTGTTATAACCGGTTTTACAATATTCTAGAAAGTTTGCACGTGGTCTTCATTCTTGTCTCTCCTGGCTTTCTTCCATCAGCTGACAAGTCAGGCTGCTCAGCCTGTACAGCCCCTAAAATTGAGATTTGCATTACAATTGCATGCTTTGTTCCTCTCTGATTGTTCCCTCTAGTATTAATCATAAACCCCAAACTTTTTGAAATAAAAATATAATTATAAGCTTGAAAAAACAGCGTTAAAACTAAGGACAATAAACTAAAAAGAGTTTATTTAGAAAAAATATAAACAAAACTGACAATAATTAAATTCTACAAATTATAGGGAGATTATTATTATTCATCATTTTTTTTCATTGAAGAATTGCAAATTTTATGGCTTTTTAAATTTAGCACTTAACTTTAAAGAAACCTATTTCTTTAAGCCAAGGTTAAAAGATCATCCCTAAGTAGTGGAAAAAATCAAGTGCCGATTTGAAATTAAAGAATTTATTGATCTTAAATAATTGTGAATTCTGAACAAAGTTTAAGAAGCAATGTACATGAAATTGAATTTATTCACGATGCTTAATTTTTCAAAGTTTAATTTCTATCGATATGTTCATCTAAATATATAGCTAAATTTTAAGGGATATTAAGTTTTTTTAAATATCACATCCAAAAATATTTTAGAATGAAAATGTTGTGGTCAATTTTCTGGATATTATATATTTTATGGATAATATTTCTTGGACATTAAATAAGTCATTTTTTTTTACTTTAACACAATTAATTGATTATTTCTTTAAAACTTTGCGGAAAGTATTCATAATTCCACAAATGTACAAAACAAAACTTTGTCTTTCTGTTGTTTTAGAGGAAAAAATCAATTCTATTCTGGCTAATTCCTCCTCGAAAATATTTTGAATGTCGTTATAATAAAAAAAAAAAAATCCTTGATTTGCAACTATACCCTGAAAACCTTATTCTGATAAAAAATCTGTTTTTAGCGCATAAATGAAAATCATTTAAAAAACAAAAACATGGCCATCTAATTGAAAATTGCTCTGAAAAATGTTTTAAGGGTACCGTTGTGATTAGCACATGCCACTTTATCAAAGTTGGGTCACTTTAACTATGTTTACAGTCCTTAGATTTATAAAGTTCCTAATTAAAAAATTTGGGGTATTATGTGCACTTTTAAATGATGAAAAATCCCTTATTTAAACAGTCTTTTGTTTACCTTTATCCCACTCGAACACTAATTAATATTTTAATTAAATTAAAAATTATTTAAAAATGGGACACTAATCTATAAAGTTCATACAGAGGTCTTGATTTTTTCACAATCATTAGGGGCAATTAGTTTTTTTTTTAAATGGGCTTTTATAAGAAACTAATTTGGCGTTGCAAGCTAAAAATTCTCTAGGCGAAAAATAAAGCTTCCGTTTGAGTGGGTTTAGTGAACTTTAAACGCATTCACTCGTTCTTCAGTCTGAGAGATGGGTGAGTTAGGTTTTTTTTTTTTTTGAAGTGAACGTTCATCCTTTTGAAACGACCCAATTCGAAATTTTTTCATCGTTCAAAAATATATTGATACCATTTTTCCATAAAATTATCGTTCATTTTCCATATATTTCGTTCGTTTTCTCACTATACGATCGTTCGGTAAGTCTTTTGGAAAATTTGTTTGTTCAGTAAAAAATTACTTTTAAATCGTTCTTTTTTTTCATTTGTTTAAAACGGTTTTTTTCCTTTCTCTGAACGATCCAGGTCGTTCGTCCATCGTTTATTTTTTTTCTGCAACTTACACCATTTTTCACGAAATATTTGGTTCGTTCTCAAAATGTTCGTGCGTTCACAAAAACAATGTCCATCTCTAACTATACAGAGCTGAAAGTACAGTCAGTTTCCGTTCGAAAGAATTTATCAAAAGTCGTCTTGACAATTTTTCAATACTGACTATTTTGCGCAAATCTCAGTAATTGCGAGAATATATAAATAGCCATGAATATGAGGGAACATTTTTGAAGAGCTCCATATAATCATTCAATTAAAAAACTAAATATCTGCAACATTCCATTATCAGAAAGTGAAGAATACAACATTTGATGAAATCTTTTGATGTATGGCTTTTATTGGGTTTACCTGTATTAGAAAATGTTAAGACAAATCATATGAAATAATATTTCGAACAAAAGTTTTTTATATTTTGCAAAATTGACCCTTCACACGAAACCCGGGTTCCGACACTTACATTTCGGCCTTGGGCAGATCTAGGTCCATTTTACCGGTTCGGATCATGCATCAATTGGTGGCGGTAAATTTGAAGATGATTTTTATGGTCGAGGTAAATATTATTACCTGGCGAGGCCATTGCCTTGAGAAGAAAGAGCTTCTGCATCTGCCTGAGTTCAACTGCTTGCTGCCGAGTTCTTTCTCTTTTCCTCATTGCCACCTCATTCCGCCACATTCTAGAACAATGAAGACGACTTTGCAATACAAGTTTTGATTTCTAACTAGTTTTTTCATATTTATAGTTTACAAGTAAACCAAGAGAAGCTGTTAATTGGCACATTCTTTTCGCTTCTGTGTTTATGTGAAATAATTATGTTTGAAAGCTTGGTCGAAAACAAACTTGAAATCGAAAGTTGTCTTCCTTGTATTGAAATAATCGACGACTATTAAATTAGATTGAATATTTAATTAGATAGGATTTCAAAAACTAATTATTCAAAACATGTTCCCGAAACTGTTAAATCCACGTGGCGTATCCAAAACCGTTAAATCCACGTGGCATATCCAAAACCGTTAAATCCACCTGGCGTATCCAAAACCGTTAAATCCACGTGGCATATCAAAAAGCGTTAAATCCACATGGCAAATCCAAAACCGTTAAATCCACGTGGCGTATCCAAAACCGTTAAATCCACGTGGCGTATCCAAAACCGTTAAATCCACCTGGCGTATCCAAAACCGTTAAATCCACGTGGCATATCCAAAACCGTTAAATCCTCGACGTGGCGAATCCAAAACTGTTAAATCTACGTGGTGTATCCAAAACCGTTAAATCCACGTGGCATATCCAAACCGTTAAATCTACGTGGCGTATCCAAAACCATTAAATCCGCGTGGCGTATCCAAAACCGTTAAATCCACGTGGCATATCCAAAACCATTAAATCCACGTGGCATATCCAAAACCGTTAAATCCACGTGGCATATCCAAAACCGTTAAATCCACGTGGCATATCCAAAACTGTTAAATCCACGTGGTGTATCCAAAACCGTTAAATCCATGTGGCATATCCAAAACCGTTAAATCCACGTGGCGTATCCAAAACCGTTAAATCCACGTGGCATATCCAAAACTGTTAAATCCACGTGGTGTATCCAAAACCGTTAAATCCATGTGGCTTATCCAAAACCGTTAAATCCACATGGCGTATCCAAAACCGTTAAATCCACGTGGCGTATCCAAAACGATTAAAATAAAGCATTTAAAGGAATACTCCTTAAACTATCATTATTAAGATATCCATGTCTTAAAAAGTATTAAATTCTGTCAGTTTCCTACATATCTCTAAAGCCTAAATTCTGAAGTTACTATACCATGTGTGAGAAACCACATAATTAATTTTTAGCTAAAAAATAAGGATATTTTGCATGTTCACCCCAGATCAGACATCAGTTTAAAGTTCAAAGGACTATACTCCATAAATTGAGAGCTGAACTTAGTTTGTAATTAAATAATTTAATTGGATTTCATACCTGTTTTTATAGTACTGTGCAAAGCTGTTTACAACTATAGGAATAGGAAGAGTTAGGATGAATACTCCGGATAGGGCACAGAATCCACCTAGATAATAATTAAAACAAAATTTTTTTTTTGCCGATTATGACGATTTTTCATATTGACATGAAATTAAATATGCAGACCTGACACGAAGTTCGGTCCTTAACCTTATCGGCTTATTGGTTTCAATGAAAAATTACTGAAATAGCTTAAAGACTGTTGAATTATAGACCAAAAGAAAACTGAAACCGTATGCGGTGATTAAAACGGATTTTTTATTCATATAACTTTGTTAGATCTACATTTCAAGTAAAATTAAATCTGACACGTCTTTATAATGATAGCCCCTCTTATTGAAAATCTATTTAGAAGGAAAAAGTCTTGAACTTTAAATATGCAACCAACAAAATTTTGCTTTTTTCAAACTTGGGCGTGAATCATAACTAGATAAGTTAAAAGGTTAGATTGATTAGGGACGATAGAAAAATTAAGGACAAATAAATTATTTACATTTCTCACACAAATCTAAGGGTGTCTTCCTTTCAATTTAAACTTTGATTGATAAATATTCATTATTAATTATAACAATAATTTTCTTAAGATAGAATAAAATACAAAATGTAAAAATGAAAACTTGGACAAAAAATGGGGTACATTGTAGTCACATAAACATTAATTTGTTTGATCAACAGTTATAACAATAATTTTCTTAAAATAGTATAAAATATAAAATCACTTTGAACTAGAGAGACGGAATATTAGTTCAAAATAATGCTACATTGCTGGTACCACTTTGTGACCTTGTAGCTCCTCTAGATTTGATTCTATACACAAGAATGAGAAAAAACCAATTTAACTAATTACATTACATATTAGAAATTCAAAACGTTTTTGTTTTCAATATCTCTCCAATGAAAGGAGTAACAATTGAAAAATTGCAACTTACTTTATTTTTTAGCGTAAATTTGTAAATGTTTTTTTACCTATCATTTTCCCGAGTAAAGTTTCCGGGTTAAGATCATAACCCACGGTTGTGAGGGTCATTAGCCCCCACCAAAATGACTCCACAAAGGTCCATGTGTGGTTATTACCGGATAAATACTGAAATAAAGGAACAAGATTATCTGTGTCTTCGCAAACAGTGTCAGGAATTATTGGATGGTTGGAGTGACACAGCTATGTTTGGTTCAAAGGATTTGAGCCTTTGCCACAAACTCTGATTTTCTAATCTTAGACTTTTTTAGACATTTCAAACTATAATTCTGTCAGATTAAAGCAAAGATATAGGAATTAGAAAATTTAAAATTGTGACAAAAACTCAATTCCTTTGTCAGAAAGTTCTGCTTATTGATACATGGATACCCACAAAAGATGAGACTGAAAAGACGACATAAAACTCTTTAAATCTGACGATTTCAAGGTTCAAACAAATCTTCTGCTTTAAATATAATCTTGTTATGGTTTATTCAATGAAGACTAAAAAGGTAAAGTAAGAAAAAAGTTTACAGTTGCTGGGAATCATAAACATAAGGAAGCAGATGGTCGTTTCTGAATTCTAATCCTTTGTGGGTAACCCTGTATCTCACCATGTAATGTATATAGCTGAAACTTATTTTATCTGAAATTTCGAATGAAGAGGACATAGAAAGATCAAAAGTACACATTAATGCAAAAGATGCAACTTGAAAATAACAATATTGACTGAATTTTTTATTTGACAAAACTTTTGGACTTCTTTTCTTAAAATACAATATTCTAAGCATTGAATTAAAATCTTTAAAAGTTAATTTAAACCCCCTTTTTCACAGAACTAACAGAGATTAAAATCCTTTGAAGTTTATTCTAGAATTCCTCAAAGTTTTCAAACAACCTTCTTCATGCTGTTCAGCCCAAATAATATTTTTTTAAATATTTAAATTTTGAACAAAAGATTTTATATAATGTTTATTTTCCTTCCTCTGAAGTTTCAAACATCAAACTCTAAAACTTAAACTTTTAATTATTTTCAAACCTTTAATTCAGATTATTGAAATTCATGTATGACATCATAAAACCCACAACTATTATTAAAGGGACTGTACAGCCGTGATTTTTAAGCAACTTTCCATAACAATACTACCCTCTATCGCTAGAGTTGACTATGTAAATTAATAGTAATTTAAGCACCATTTTAGAGATAAACATACGGATTACTCTGACGTCGATGATCAGACGACGGTTTACGGGTACGTTGTGAATTGGTCATGCCACTTTATGAACGGAAGGTCACTTGATATTTCGCATTCAGTCCCTTTAAAGTAAATTGCATTTATTTAAATTGAAAGTGGTTAAATATTTATATTATTTCATCTTGTCTGCTCTTCTAAAAAAATGCATCATTATAAGTCTATAAACGAGAGTAATTTAATGGAAACAAAAATCGCAATTGGAAGTTTCGCAGATTTTTCTCCTTTAATTTATGAATTTGTAAAATGTAGCGAACCTATTGAGGGGTAAACTTTTAAACTTTTACAGTACAAAAAACCTTATTTAGATGGTTTAATAATGGATACCTAAATTTTTCCACTTTATATATGATAATGTGAACAAGAAAAAAGATAATGATAACTTTAGATTTGCATGCTTGAAATAGTAATTTAGAATGGGTTGATAAAATGTTTTGGAAAAGAATATAAGTTATATAATATGTGTGAAGAATGTAATATAATATATGTGAAGAGAATCCACGCATGTTTACTGTTTTATCTAGGATTAAAGTGTATTCTTGTCCAACAGGTAAAATTCGAAATATAGCATATATTACAGAAGAGACATTCATAATACATAAAGGGGACTAATAGTTCACTTTTTAAACATAAAGATTTCACTAGTTTAATGTTTCTCTGTTTCTAATTAGCAACTGAAAATGGGTTTCCAATAAACCCATAAATAAATAAAATTATGATGCGATATACAGGGTGTCTCACGAAACATGACAGTCTTATTACAGAAAAATTGATTTCAAAATAAAAAATATTTGAGTAAAAAATATATTTTTTAACGAAATAAACTGCGAAAAGTTTTTTTATATTTAATAGAGTATATGGAAGAAGACATTCAAAACTATTCATCAACTGTCATGTTTCGTGAAACACCCTGTACTTTCATGGTTACCGTTCAATTAACTCACTTTTCCCCTCTAATTTATATTGTATATTATGAGATAAAACTGCGTAAATACTATGTATAAAATACATACTATGTATAAAATGCCGTTTTCTAATTTTCAATTTGTAAATTAATCCACTTAAATTAATTTATTTCCAACATTACTTGTTTTGGAAATAGAAAATTTGTTTTTAAATTTTCTCAAACAACCTGAAAAGGAAAATAATGGAAAAAATCTAGCAGTCAGAGTTCAAACCTTTTGGACTGAACTTGGAATCCAACGCGGAGACTTTTAGTTTGAAATGATGAAGTGCTTAATCCGCGAAAATAATTTTCTGATTTGACACTATTTTCATGCATGTCATCTTTTAAGAAATCTGAGCCAGCGATTTAAAAGCTTCCACTTGAGTCTAAATTCCTCCGACCCAGGTTTAAGGCTTAATCTTAGGCCCAACCTATGAATCAGCTGAAGACAGCTTTTGTCACGTGAGCGACAGCTGACAGCTCGACTGAAGGAGTTGGGCCAAATAAAAAGAAGACCTTGGTTGGTTTTAGTGGAGAATTAGACTTAAAGTTGAGTCCATTTCTAATCAAATTCATTTAACTCGGTGGAAAATTAGACTTAAAGTTGAGTCCAATTCTAATCAAATCCATTTAACTCGGTGGTAAATTAGTTTCAACTTGAACCAGAAGGCTCGAGTCTTAATTTAGTCATATTGACAGTCCCAATTAACTTTTAATCGCAGGCTCTGCGATTAACTTCATTCGTTGGACCACAAAAGACACGATTTACGAGCTGAAAATGAATTTGGAGTAAAAGAAGAACTCCTCTGATTAAAAATACAAAAGTTTCTACAGACTCTTAATTTAGCGCTTAGGTTGACTAAAAGCATTTGAGAGAAAATAGATTATCAAGTACAATAGGTGGCAACAGAGAGATGGATCAATTATCCACGACGTCACAAGTGTTAAATATAACAAGGAAACCGAAATGTTCTTACTTACATAAATTGACTTGTTTTCTAAGATTAAATAAAAAAGTGTAAAAACAGACAACAAAGAACGCATCAAATTGCACTTATTTTAATGTAAGATAAGTTTATTCTAAAATTTATCACTATTATTAATAATTTTGTCGGAGACAAAAACTATAAGTTGACACTTGTGACGTAAAAAACAACTGTACTGAGAGTGTACAAATTCTACGTTGCCATCTATTGTATACTAGAATCTATTTGTGTGAAAGAGTCAGTTCAAGATTTTATTTCCAATATTTACATTTATAAAGATTTAAAATCTTGAAATACTTCTAGAATATATCTCAGAGGGGCTGTAAGCGTAATTTTAATTGACCTTTCACTTAAAGAATGTATATCCTCCGATTTACAAAGGTACTTTTTAAACCTCACTTCACATTTTTTCCTTGAAAATCTAGAATATTATATTTCCGACAATTAAAGAGGTTTTTTTAAATAAAAAAATAGTCTGTCATCGTAGAACAGTCAGTTAGTCAAAAAGTACCATTGTAAATTGGGAATGCCCCTCTTAAAATGGAAGAACATTTAAAATACGACGTAAATTCCCTTTAATTAGGTTTGACTAACTATCTAGCTAGCTATCAGTATTCCCCCTTGCCTGTGCAGAATCATTCTGATTTGACTTGAAATGAAAATTATTATTTTTGGGAAAAGTTGGGTTCAAAAACATAAAAATATAATAAAATTATTGAAGAGAACAAAACCAAGAAATGAAGGGAAACAGAAATAACATTGATATAATGTTTAACTACGTTATGTACATAACATGTACATGTGTACTAGTGTAACATGAATAGTGTAACATGAATAGTGTAACATCATGTATAGTGTGTTGAAATTCAAGCCTAATAAGATCATGACTTTCAATTGGGAAAAGGGTTCGATTTTTTTATGATTAAGCAACGTATACCTTTAAAAACATTTGTTTGATGATTTTCATATTTTGTGATTTGTAAAGTGTACAAATACTTTTGAAATTGAGCTATCCTTGTTTTTTATTTGAAATTTTACTTAGCCACATATTTAAAAAACGTTTAAGAATTTAAAGATATTTTACACCGGATTTACAACGGTACCCTTAGAATTTTGTCTGTGCAAAAAATGTTTTTTCGATTTAAAATGGTCAATGATGTTGTTTCTCAATTACAGTGACTTGGGTATTTATGCAACAGAGACAAGAAAGAAAATTAGCAGAAAATAGAAAAATGACAATGTATACAAGATAAAGTGTAAAAATGACAATGTATACAAGATAAAGTTTAAAAATGACAATGTATACAAGATAAAGTGTAAAAGGGTACCTTTGATAATCAGGCATGAATTTATTTAACTGACAGGTCATTTGACGGCTAGGGTCCCTTTTATTAATTGAAAAAGTACTTACAGGGTGATACACGATTATAACTGATGTTTCTGTAGTGGAATTCTTTTCAGCAAAGTAAACTAAAAATATAAATATAATTCTATAAAACAAAGGATTTTTAAATCGCTTTAAAAATATCTCAAAAAATCCTTCTTATAGGCAGAGAAAAATATCGTGTTAGATGATTAAAGAAAAATGTTTAAGAAATATACTAAAATAGGCTCTATTTGGGAGCATCTTCTCTTTGATACAATATAAACAATAACAAAAAAGTTTGCGGACTTAAATATATTTTTTCGTAGATTTTCCAAATTTGTGAAGAGAAACTTTCTGAGCATCCATGTAAAGTAAACCTTCCCTGGGGTCACGTAAGTTACTTGATCGGATCAGCCGTTCTTACGTTTATAAAATACAAACATGACAGACAAGCAAAGTATATATTTATTTATATAGATAGATAACAAAGAGCTTAATTCAATATAATTTATAACAAAAGGTTAAAGTTCTTGAGCTATCCTTTAAATACAATGAGTCTATCAGTCCAAGTTAAGATAAGCTAAAAAATGTAAGAATATATCCAACCTAATATAAAAATATGAGAGTATATTCAATCTAAGCTAGAAAATGTACAAATACATCCAATCTAACCTAGAAAATGTAAGAATTTATCCAATCTAAACTAGAAAATGTAAGAATATATCCAACCTAATATAAAAATCTAAGAATATATTAAATCTAAGCTAGAAAATGTAAAAACACATCCATCTAAACTAGAAAATGTAAGAATTTATACAACCTCAGCTAGAAAATTTAGGATATATCCAACCTAAGTTAGAAAACGTAAGAATATATACAATCTAAGCTAGAAAATGTAAGAATATATCCAATCTAAGCTAGAAAATGTAAGAATATATCTAACCTAAGCTAGAAAATGTAAGAATATATCTAACCTAATCTTGAAATTGTAAGAATATATGCAACCTAAGTTAGAAAATGTAAGAATATATCCAATCTAAGCTAGAAAATGTAAGAATATATCCAATCTAAGCTAGAAAATGTAAGAATATATCCAACCTAAGCTAGACAATGTAAGAATATATCCAATCTAAGCTAGAAAATGTAAGAATATATCCAACCTAAGCTAGAAAATGTAAGAATATATCTAACCTAAGCTAGAAAATGTAAGAATATATCTAACCTAATCTTGAAATTGTAAGAATATATCCAACCTAAGCTAGAAAATGTAAGAATATATCCAATCTAAGCTAGAAAATGTAAGAATGTATCCAATTTAAGCTAAAAAAAATGTAAGAATATATCTAACCTAATCTTGAAATTGTAAAAATATATCCAACCTAAGCTAGAAAATGTAAGAATATATCCAACCTAAGCTAGAAAATGTAAGAGTATATCTAACCTAAGCTAGAAAATGTAAGAATATATCCAACCCAAGCTAGAATATGTAAGAATATATCAAACCTAAGCTAGAAAATGTAAGAATATATCCAACCTAAGCTAGAAAATGTAAGGATAGCAACAACAACCAGTAAAAATAGAAGACCCAGTTCCTAAAAATATTTATAATCCGTAATAAAAATCACAATTTACAGAGTTACACAGAGCAATATCATAATTTTATTAACTTAATAACTATTGATAAAACTGTTATTTTAGTTCGCAGTGTTATAAAGGCTTGATCCTTCTCGATAAAGAACAAATTTAAGTCCAAAAACTTAATGGCACGTCGTGCCAAAATAATAGTGTTATAGCTATTTTATAAAACACTTAATTGTGTACTTGCCTTATTCTAATGGTTGTTTCTAGATCTAATAAGCTTTGAAAAAAAGCATTAGATCAAAATATAAAGTTGATTTTGATTTTATTTTCATTTCAATTGAAAAAAAAATATTTTGGAAATATCCTAAACTTTTATAGCACGTTCATTATAAAATTGACGATGAAGTGAGGAAGAATGAGAAAGTACACAATAGTTTTAAAAAAGAAGTTTTGAAATTTGTTGGTTCTTTAAAGGATTTACTTTTTTTAAGAGGATCTAAAATAATTAAGATGCCAATGTCCAGTTCACAACGGTACCCTTGAAACCTTTATATGATCAAATGTGGAAGAAATTTTCGTTTTACTAGGCTTGAAAGTGTGTAAATCTGAGAGTGCATACAGTGAAACCCTTAATAACGAATACATCGAAAGAATTCATTAAATGTTGTATTCTTCACTTTCTGATAATGGAATGTTGCAGATATTTAGTTTTTAACTAAATGATTATAAGGAACTCTTTAAAACTGTTCCCGCATATTCATGGCTATTTATTTATTTTCGCAAATACTGAAATTTACGTAATATAGTATAAAACTCATTGAAAAATTGTCAAGACGACATTTGATAAATTCTTCCGATGTATTCTTTATTAAGGGTTTCACGTTATCTTTTCCTACGCTAGAAATGCGTATAATGTGGAGAAACCTCAATTGAAAATAGTCAGTTTTCCAAATTATAAACATTTCTATTTAATTCAAACTTGATCAGACAACCCTTTTAAAGGTACAGTTGGGATTCAGGTATTTCAATCTTAGCAAGTGGGGTCACTTTAAACTACGCTTACAGTTCCTTTATGTACAGTTGTGATGAATTGTTAAGATCTTTTGTTTGAAACATTTAAATTTAAAAATTTAAGAAAATTTCGATTTTTTTCAAAACAAACCAAAAACCTGTGCCCGTCCCTACTAACTTTATATGCTTGTTGTAGAGTATAGAAGAGTGACTGGAGACCAGCAAAGTGTCGAACTAGTTTATAAATTCGTAGAATTCTCATAACCTGGAAATAAATATTCAGATTAACAAAGTAAGGAAAGGAGAGAAGGAGAAGAATAATGGGAGGGAGGAAAGGAGAAGAATAATGGGAGGGAGGAAAGGAGAGAAGGAGAAGAATAATGGGAGGGAAGAAAGGAGAGAAGGAGAAGAATAATGGGAGGGAGGAAAGGGGAGGAGAAGAATAATGGGAGGGAGGAAAATACTGCTGACCTATCTGGATTCATTCAACTCAACAGAAGATAAATATCACAAGTTTTTATTCAAACTAAAAACCTTTTCTAGATATTTTAATTTACAGATTGGTTCAGATCACCATTCACAAATTCATCGTGAAGGAAGATCTTAATCTTTTTGTTCGAGAAAAAAGGGACTGTTGGCGAAATTCTAAATAATCCTCAATTTACAAAATTTATTAATTATCAATGAGAAAGAAAAAATCGTAACTTGATAATATAGGATCACTTGAAATTTAGTCGATAGTCCCTGTAATCCTTGTTTAACAATTTAGATTTTTAATAATTTTTAAAAATTTTCAATTCTTGCATATTTACCTTGACTAATCGAACGATCTTTCCAGCTTTCCCGATGATCTCAAAGTCTTCTAGTCCCTCCAGAAGGATTGATAGATAGAAGGGGATGATTGCAAAAAGATCGATTAAATTCATTGGACCCTGAAATAGATTGATCATATTCATTGGACCCTAGAAATAGGTCACTTAAACTCATTAGACACTAGAAATAGATCAATTAAATTCAATGGACTCTGAAATAATTTGATCATATTCATTGGACCCTAGAAATAGATCAATTAAATTCAATGGGCTCTGAAATAATTTGATCATATAAATTGGACCCTAGAAATAGGTCAATTAAATTAATTGAACCCTGAAATAATTTAATTATATTCATTGGACCCTAGACTTAGGTCAATTATGTTCGTTGGACCCTAGAAATAGATCAATCAAATTCATTGAAACCTAAAATCGAAGCCAAACAACATTTTTTCCAAATGACAAATGATAACACTGAAGACAGTTGGATATACAAATTTGTTCAATTCAAGTTCCATAAAAATGTGCTATTTTTTTTTGAAAATCCGCGAGATATAAAATGAGACCTGTTTTGTCGGTCTAAAATGTTACTTAGCTGCCTTGGAACAATGAAGAAATTTTGTATACCCAAAATCTTGAAATTGTGAGCAAAAATTCGGGATACAAGTCGCTCACAACTGATTAAATTATAGTTGAGATTCATGAAACCCTAACAATAGATTACCGGACTTTTATCCTTAATCGATAAAAATTGTCCAAGGAATTGAGTTTTTGCCGCAAAACTCAAATTTTCGAATCCTGATATCTGTGCAACCGAATGATTTAAACCTTTAATACATCAAACTTTGAATATTTAATCTAACAGAATTCATTGTTTGAAATATCTAGGATTAGAAAATCAGAGTTTGTGGCAAAAACTAAATTCCTTTAAAGTCTAAATCAATACATTATTAGATAAAATATCAAAAAAGAAATAATTAGCTATAAATCAATCAATAAATAAACCCAGGTAAATCTATGATTAAACTGACCTTAATGAATTTAAATTCTAAATCAATAAATTATTAAATAAAGTATCGATAAAAGAAATAATTAGCTATATGTTAATCAATAAATCAACCCAGGTAAATCTATGATTAAACTGACCTTTATGAATTTAAATTTGCGGGGGCTGGCGCAAAGGCGTACCAAGTATTCAACAGTAAAGAATGCTGTATCGACGAAAACGCAAAAATTCCATCTTTTTGCTTAAAAATACATTTTATAATCCAAAGCTCTCAGGAGAATCCCTAAGTTCAAAATGTTTGTGTATTATGGGTAAAATTACATTTTTTGGATATTTAAGATTTTTTGTGTGTTTCCTATGGAGAAATTATCAATCACATCTATTGTCTGAATTATCACGGGGTACTCAAATTCACCCTAAAAAGAAAATTAAGCATTTACCATTAACAGAACTTAATTATTGCCTCAAATATGAAATTTCAGTATTCAGAATAGTTATCCTAAAATAGCTATTTAACAGCCTTCTGGTCAAATTCAGCCTTTTTTGGACCATTTCGGCATTGTAGTTTAAACTCAAATTTGAAGCTTTTTTAAATGTACCACAATTTTTTAAATCGTTAGACTATATTAAATGTAAGTGCAGGTCAAAAAGTTCTTGTAAAAAACAATAAAATTCCTCTCCCAAGTCCCCGCACCTTGTCGTTCTCCTGCAGCTCGTCTATGGTGGAGATGACGAATGTACAGGTTGAGATTACCACCATGGTTAACGAGAAAAAGGCCATAAATCTAAATGTAAACATGAAAATAAACAGAAGTCATAACTTTTGTTTAGTAAATCTCTGTAGCATGCACAATGCCATCTAGTATTAATTTAATCTTCCGTATGTGTACGATTAGCCCAAACAAACAGGTTGATCTGTCTGTGTATAAATGTACATAGTTAAAATCTGAATAATAAAAATTGCCATACTTATCACATAAATAAATATAAAAATAACAAAACCCACAAAATTTCTTATACTCATTTATTGATTTTATTATACCTTTGATTTCCAAATTTTTTCAGGATCAATTTGGATTGGGTCATTGAAGGCCATATGGAACCTTTTCTAACGTTTTTTAAATTGTTTATCTTTCTTCTTTACAGCTTCAGTGAAGGTTTTGTTGGAAATGACATATATTCAAAATTCTTATGTTTATTATATTACAGACCAACATAACCAGTATAGAAAACACCTTCCATGATATAGCGTTTGACTTTTAATGTTTTACTGTCAGTATGATTTAACTTGATTTATCCATAATTCTTGGTGATTCAAGTAAAATTAGAATCAAGTTGAGTTTTCCTTAAAACTAGATCAAGCAGAGATATTTACATCAATTAAGACAATTTTTCAAATCAAACAGAATTCTATTTGATTTCAATGAACAAGAAACAAGAAACCCTAGCCAGGAGATAGACAGTTCCAAATTTTACCGCAAGAGTTCTCTGCACGTTTGATTTAAAATTCAAAGTCATAACTAGCTGCTTGTGATGTCCAAGGGTACTCCATTGTATTTACCTTGCAGCTTGTGATGTCCAAGGGTACTCCATTGTATTCCAAAGCCAAGATCTCCATTTTCCAAAACAATCACTTCCAAAATCTTCTTCATCAGCTAGTTCCAATTCTTTCTTCTACACTCCACTCAAACCATTAGTTTTTTTTTCTTTTATGAAACTGTTGTGCCCTTAAATTATTCATTTTCAGTTCATGCTGAATTAACAAGCTGTGACTGTTATCAACAATATGATCAATTAAGCATAATTTTTCTCTTTTTCTCTGTAAGTTTTAAGATTCTTGAATTATAATCCAAAACTATATTGAATTCCAAATGAATAAATCTTGAGCTACATTCACATTGTGTCAAGAAAAGTTTTCTAAAAAATACCTAAAAAGCTAATATCTTGTGATAATACTGTTTTGAATCAGGCATTGACATTTTACAACAATAAATGGTTGTTACACAAGCCATGTCGCGTCCCTAGAGTCTATGGAACGCCCCTGCTCAATGGGGAATTCTTGTTCGCCCCTGTGGCGAGAGAGTATTCTGTACAGATGTTTCTGGAAGGAGTTGAATACGGGGAGAAACCTGTTTTATTTTATATGTTTTGATTTTACTGCGCAAGCGCAGTTTGTGTATTGGACGGATTTATATTAAAACGTTTTTTCCTAGTATATAGTTAGAATCCGTAAAGTGTGCTAATATTTCGTGCTGAAAACCCTGCGAATGACTGTGGTAAATATATTTAATTGTTATTTTCATTTTATTCAATGTTTTCAAGGAAAGTTCCAAAGTATTTACTTCTTTTATTCAATATGTACTCTTGAGAAATGTTTTTGTAAGTAATCATATGATAAATAGTGGGGTATTCATGGTTTTTTAATGCCTGAGGGATACTTTATTTGTTTCTTGTACCCTCAATGCTTTTTCCATGAGAAATAAATGTTCTTTCTTCATTAGACTGAAGCTGTTAATCTGAAATAAAGCTCAAGCCCTATCCGGTGTATTTATTCAACATGAGGAGGATTGAGCAACGGAGTGCTTACGGTTCGGTTCAAAGGAGTTCAACTTGGTACTATTTTTATATAAACTAGGGCAATGCCAGTTGCGAAACAATGGTTGTAATAATTAAGTAAAATTAAGTTAGTATTTCATGGTTTGAAGGTTTCCTTAGCGGCAATATCTCCTTCTTTCTCATTTTGGCAAACCTTGAGCAAGCATGAAAAAAGGTCAGGGGTATATATTTTCAAGGATGACTCCCCCTCCATCCATATCAGTTAGGTATCATGAGTTAGGGAAGGCACAGCACACCATTTTTTTGTCCACACCACAAATGACGTCAAACTTGCCATTATTTCTCCTAAATCGCAACTTTTTTGTTCAGGCCTTGCTTCTGTGCTTTCAAAAGAATTTGTTTATGCCTTGAAATATTTTTTTTAAGTTTAGGCAATGATGCATGGTTATTTAATATGAGTTAGTTTTGTGTAAAATGCACTTTGTTTGAAAAATAAAACTATATTTAACCCTAGTTCAGCAAAAAAATGGAAAATATTTGTACCTCTACTATTTTTCGTCCGGACCACACCTATTTTTGTCTGGGCCACACACTTTTCTGTTGTTTCCTTATTTCCGTAGACTGCAAATGGTAAATTTTGACGTCGGTGGTCGGACAAAAAAAATTAATGTGCCTTCTCTCCCTCCTAACGATTCACATGAAGCTTATCCTCAAAATGACCTCCCTTATATTGAGTTGAAAAAGAGGTATTTTCAATAACAATGTTTAATGCAGTTTTATGCACTTTTACCAAGTTTTGATAAATATCTACAAAATAAATTAATAGATAAATAAATAAAGAAATTTATTCTTTGCCACAAACTCAATTTTTCTAATTACTATACATTATGTATTTTTGCAACCTGATGAGGTTTCATCAAATAGATTTCATTTTTTGAAATGTCTGAGGTCTACGACACTTTGTTGCAACAATATAGAGTTAGGAAAATCAGAATTTGGGGCAAATATACTTAATTTTTTTATTATTTTATTATTTTTTGTTATGTTTTTTCCTCTATTTGTAACATCAAAATCAATCAATTTGTTACGTTCAAAATTATAATTCAACTGCTATACTATCAAAAAACTAAATTCTTTGGCTACATCTTATAGTCCAATGAGCTCTGTAACAAAAAGTGATACATTTCACATCTAAGCTTAGTTCTAAATTTAATTTTAGCAGTAAAAATCAACAATTGATAGATATTGAATTATTTGTAAAGTGTTAAATTACTTCTATTTGGGGATAGAATTTCAGAGCACAGCAGGGTTCCATTATTAACTCGTCTGAAATATATATTTAAAGATAATATGAATGAAGCCAGAAATTTTGTGTTGTAAATTTCGAACTCAATCATTGATTTCCTTCCATATATCTATATCTAATGTGGGCACTTTTAAATTCGAGGATAAATGCTTAATTCCTCAACTAAAGTTATTAATGCTGGGTATAACCATTAAACATGCCACGCCTCGAGATATCGAAAAGAAATTGAATTGCAAAAGATGTAGATCAATGTTTGATCCCGAAATTCACAGAACAAAAGTTTTGATTTTAAATCAAATTATTCATTTTGTTAGGGTTAACATATTGCATGCTAAAAGGTTGTCCTAATAAATATTCAGAAGATCATCTGAATACAAAACTTTTGCCATTTATGACACATAAGCCTCTAATGACTTGTCAAATACTGTTCAAGATTCATTTTTGATAAGAAAACTTTTCTAAAATTCTTTGTTGAAGAAGTTGAAAAGTTTCTCAGAGTTTTGTAAGGTTAGAGACATGGAAATTGATAGTTTCAAACTTCAGTTTCACAATTTTATAGATTCAGAAGAACGGATATATAGGGGCAGGGGAGGAGGGAGATGCCATATCCTTCATATCCTGAGTTTTGACTGACTATTGACTGACTTTAGACTGACTTTTGACTGACTTTTGACTGACTTTTGATTGACTATTGACTGAATTTTGATCGACTATTGACTGAGTTTTAACTGAATATTGACTGACTTTAGACTGACTTTAGACTGACTTTAGACTGACTGTAGACTGACTATAGACTGACTTTAGACTGACTTTAGACTGACTCTAGAATGACTCTAGACTGACTTTAGACTCACTTTAGACTGACTTTAGAATGACTTTAGACTGACTTTAGACTGACTATTGACTGAATTTAGACTGACTTTAGACTGACTTTTGACTGACTTTTGACTGACTTTTGACTGACTTTAGACTGTCTTTTGACTGTTTTTTGACTGTCTTTTATAAGACTTTTGACCAACTTCTGACTGACTTTTGACTGACCTATTACCCAGTACTCTAGATCTCGTTGTAATACTAGTGCGCATCCTGTTCCAGAAACATGAAAATATCCACTTCTGCCGGTCAACACACAACAGGATTATATATTTTTTAAAGAAAGAAAGAAATTTTCTACAAACTCTGATTTTCTAATCCCTCTTTCTTTGCAACACAATGTCGAAAATCTTAAATATTTTGAATAGGGTGTCCACGAAAAAGTAGATTCTCTTGCCCAACTGTTTGGTGTTTTACCACGAAATGACTTTTTTGCACAACATTTTGCATTCATTTTGTATCAACAAAACATATTTTGCAAAAAAAATTGCGCATTCATTCGAAAAAAATATTGCACAAAATTACGCATGAATATAGAATTTAAGTCATAATTTTGCAATAGACAAATTATTATCTTGTTTGTCTCTCTGCTTGTTTGTTATTTATTACCTTCGGCTGGAACAAATTGTCTTAAAATTGTGTGCAAGACACTCTGAGTGAGTAATTCATTCATTTTCTGAATTCGTTTCTCAAAGTTTAGCAAAATAGCGCCTCGAAATAACAAACAAGTTGAAAAAACGAAATAGCACAAAACAACGAAATACGCGAAAACCAACATTTTCTTCAGAATTTGCACGAAATAGCTTTTGCGCATCTTTGCACAATTATTGCACAATTTTTGTGCAAATAATTTCTATTGGAAACCCTAATTTGACATCATAAATTCTGTTAAATAAAATAATCTAATAGAATCTAATATAAAAGAATTGCATTCTAAGGTTGCAAAGATAAAGGGATTAGAACATTTGAGTTTGTGGGAAAGACTCAATTCCTTATTTCCTTTAATCATATACATTGGATGAGACTTTAATGACAACATGAAAGTTCTAAGTTTATCAAGAAATAAAGAAAATTATTTTAAAAATTCAGACTATCGTCCTGAAGTCTTATTCTTTTTGGTTAACCTTGTAGTCTGTACCTTAATTCTTTAAGAAAACATCCAAATTTTTATACATCATGAAAATCAAAAGTATTTTTACAGGTTTAAAAATTCACCACCAAAATAATCTTCTAATAAATTTGTAAAACATTTTTTTTATTTTGCATAATTTTTATGAACCAAACTCAGTTTCAATAGTTTTATTTTAGAAAATTCATAAATTTTTGAGGAAACACTTTTTTGATCTGTTATTGTTGTTCCTATGCATCTCTAGAATTGCATCAAAATTTTCAGGATTCTAAAATTTTACAAAAGGTAAAAAAAACATGTTAAAAAAATATATTTAAACACTTTTTTTACTGGGGGAGTTTGACATTTTAAAAGCCAAGGATTAGAAATTGTTTTCCATTCTAATTTAGCAAATAAAAACCCACACTTCTGAACATGTAATATTTTGAAATTTTGAAAAAACTTTTTAAATTTGATGGGATAAATATTGATAGAGGAGGGGGGGGATTTTTTATAGAAAATATATACCCTTGACAACAAACCTTATCAAAGAAGTATTCTGGAGGGTCCCCCGGCACAAACTCATCACAGTATTCAAGAATATTCTAAAAATTATCCCGATTTTAATTATTAATTTTTTAAAAATCAAAATCTCTATGTATTAATTAAAGAACGTTTTACTCATTATACAAACCAAAATTAAAGTACTCTCTTGACTAATTATATTCCAAATACAAAAGCAAAGTAAAAATTAAAATTGAAATATAAATAATAAAAAGGTAAGAGTGTTTCGAAAGTTTGCATAATATCATGTTTAGATAAAAGAAAAATCCATTTTGATTAAAAGTAAATCTTTGCAATACCTAAAATTTTTTTTTCTTGTATTTGCTCTGAACCAACTAAAATGAAAGATATTGCATTGAAATGTATCATTTACTCTCAGACAAATTAGAATCAATAGAAATTTAAACCCCCGAGGGATTCAATGATAAATAATTTTTGTTTGTTTGAATGTCCGATCATAACTCAGGAACCTTTTGACCAATTTGCCTCAAATTTAGTTTTGGGGGACTCGGTAAGAACACAAGAATGTTCTTAGTTTGGTTCAGAAATTATAAATTAAGTGGGTTGATTTTTTAAAATTTGCGAAAATTTTTTTTAAAAAACAACAATTAAAAGTTAGAATCGAAGATGGATGAAAAGCGCCCTGGAAGCCTAGTATTGTATATTGTATGTATATTGTATGTATATTGTATATATATTGTATGTATATTTTATGTATATTGTATGTATATTGTATGTATATTGTATGTATATTGTATGTATATTGCATGTATATTGTTTGTATATTGTATGTATATTGTATGTATATTGTATGTATATTGTATATATATTGTATGTATATTGTATGTATATTGTATGTATATTGTATATTCTGATTCGAGAATAAGAAATCAGAATTCCTGAATGCTTGAAGCTCTCATTAATTTTCCCAGTCTGCATGGTATTCATTCATTCATTCATTCATTCATCCTACAGCAAAATGGTCAACTTAAGTATTTTATTATAATTGTCCCTGACCAATTTTCTGAAAAAAAGTTCATATAACTTTGTGTGTGCGAATTTCGCATTATTTGCATTTGTGCTAAAAAATGCTAATTGCTAAAAATTGTGCATTTTTCTAGAAACTTCGCATAATTTGGTTTCGCATGTTTTTTTTCAAAACAACTTAATTCGAAAATTTTGCAATTTATCGCGAAATTGTTGCATATCTTGTTTTGCTTTTATACGAAATTCTGCATCGTTTACGTTGCCTTTCGCAAAATTCATTTTCGCAAAAAACGCGAAATTTCGAGAAAAAGTTTGTTCAATAAGAAACAAATTTTCGTGTAATTTTACATTTTTTCGTGAAAGTTTTCGTTCAATGGAAACCTTAATTGATACATCCAGTGGTGAACAAGTATTTGGTATTTGTCCCCACAATGCATCAATGTGTTCAGACTGAAGAAAAATATTTTTCTGTGAATATGAAAATGGTAAATAATTTATATCGAACCAAATTTTTCACAATTTAGCGCGAAAAATATTATGATTTAACCATTGTCTCAGTTAAATTTAAACTCTCCGCTGCTGCATCGTCAAAATCTTTTATTAAGAGACCAGATTTTATAAATGAAGTGGCAGACGTAGTTCAACCAGTTTCTTTAAAGGAATTAAGTCTTTGCCACTAACTCAAATTTTCTTATCCTGATGGAGTAAACCTTTGATATTTAAAACTTAGAATGTTTGAGAATTCATAAGTTGAAATATATAGGGACGTCTACGACATTTGGTTAGAAAACATATGAAAATTAGAAAATTAGAGTTTGTGGCAAAGACTCGATTCCTTTCTTTTATGTCGCTATTATTGTCCAATGTCCTCTGTATGGATAATTATCAAGAGTTACTCCTTGATGCATCAATGGGGGTTTGCGACGTGTGTTTTTTTTTTTGCTCTTCATATGGGACTAACACTGAATAAAAGAATACAGAGTGTACATGTAGATTAATCAATGAATAAATGAATTCCTTGTTGTTGGGTATCTTAAAAGACAGTTTCTCTGCGCTATAAATCTAAACAAACAGATTTGTACAACGTATTTCATAGTTTACCTTTAAAAGGTTAAGACGTTGTTGAACATTTTTATGGAATTTCTCATATTTGTGACTCGCTACAGCTTTTTACTTCTTTATCCTTACAACATAATTATTTGCATAGACCTTGGAAAATTTGCTCTCGAGGCAGAAGAACAAATTAACCCATTAAAAAGCCACATTACAGGTCGTCACTCAACATTAAAGTCTCAACTTTTCTGAAATTCAATGAAATGTTCTTAAATGTTTAGACAATTTTTAGTTTTTAATCATTCTCATTCAATAATCTGTAATGTTGGTATTAAAACAGGTTTTGTCTAAATTCCGGAATTTTTTTTTTGCTTGCGTGAATTTGGAGTTGTAATTTGAAGTTGTTTGATGCGAGGCCGTCTAGAATTTCACAAAATTGAAAAGTTTAGTTAATTACAGAATTTCCAATCTATAACATAAACTAAAAATATTTGGAGTAAGGGATGGGGGGTTGGTACCCCCTTACCCGTCCAGAGGAAATCTTTTCTCCTCCTCCTTTACCTTTCCCCGCCTACATCCAGAATGACACATCTAAAAAAATATCTTTATTTAAAGTTAACCAATATACTACATTTCAAAAGTAATTTAATATTTAAAGCTAGCCAATATACTACCTTTTAAAAGTACTATAATGTTTAAAGCTAACCAATACTACGTTTCAAAAGTACTTTAATATTTAAAGCTAACCAATACTACGTTTCAAAAGTACTTTAATATTTAAAGCTAACCAATACTACGTTTCAAAAGTACTTTAATATTTAAANAAATAAAAGTATATTGCCAACAGGACTCAGTCCCGAAAATGGATAGGATCGACTCGAACAGTGCATCCTGATCAACACTACTATGGTCGGCAGCTACTTTCATGTTTAAAAGGAACCTTTTTAACTTATTATTATACAGAATGATAAAAGAAGTTTTTAAATTTCACAAACAAAGTTTTGAAATAAAAAACAAATGGCCTCCATTCTAATTTTTCATAAAAGTTTTTTTTTCTTAAATGATGCAAATTACAGATATTTATGTTTTAGTGTGCATTTTACCTTATTTGTTCTCGTTCACGAATAACTGCCTGAAAAAGGAAAAATTGAAAATTGTTTCTTTATTCAGCCAAAGAGAGTGAAAACAGTTTCAATCATTTATTACTTAAATAACGCCTTTTTAATAAGATTCTTTGTGCATGCTATCCCCTTGAATCATCTATAGAACTTTCTGAATAAAACGTCACACAAAAGTATAGGTAGTTAATTTTTTTATATTTACTCTACCTTGATGTTACTTCCAAAAAAGAATTTTCCAGGAGCCAAAGGATGCCAGATCATTAAAAATGTTTAAAAGCATGCTTGACGCACACTATATTAACAACTAATCCCACAACTATTGTGCCAGGTCCAGGGAGTGTTGAATTACTTGATTACTTTCTACGAACGATGACCTGACCTCTGGACTGTGCGGGCCACTCCAGCTATCCTCAACATGCTCCTACCTGGAGTTCTGAGGATAACCACACAAGTATCCAAGTATCAAGTAAGCATATATTGGTACAGGATAAATTGTTAATACATTATTTTTCCAAATTGCAGAAAATGTGCAGATTTCCTTTGGTCGTGCTTTCTTCTTCTTTCTAATCTCTTTATCAACATCATCCTGGGACCAGAATTAATGAATTTGAGCTGCAGTGTGTACCATGAAACATGACAGTAGCAAGATGAACTGAAAGTTTTATTTGGTCCTTAAAATAATCTGCGACATTTATTATAACCTTAGAAGTAAAATTCTCAAGGTAATAATTACTAAATGACCCTAGTCTTGGCATTTCCAAAATGTGGTCTACCTTTTTTGTGCTTTCAATATTATCGGAGAACAATTTTGTTAAGATTTCGAGATATTTGGACAATTTTGGTTTTTTAATAAAATTGATATCTGAACAAAATTCTCAATATCTCCGATAATATTGACAGCACAAAAAAGGCAGACCACATTTTGGAAATGCCAGGACCAGAATTTTGTGGTGATTGTTTTAATAATTAAATATGTAAAAGTAGGTTGTCGACTAAATTCAAACTTCAGAGACGAGTTTTAACTATAGTCTTGCTACCGTCATGTTTCGTTGCTACCCTGTATTGTAGTCGCTAAACTACCGCTATACCTCCGGTTCATCTGCTAATCTGTAGTGCTAATGAGAAGTTTACATCTATTGGACATGGCCAGATCCTGAATCCCCGATTCAATATATGTTGTACATGGTTGAACCGTCTCTAGACCTGGCTCAAATTCATTAAATCCTGTTCCTGCATAAAGTATCTGTGTGGGTTGGTATTCACCCCATCCTCATCCGCCTCCTCCATCTCATCCTGCTCCTCATCCTCATCCTCCTCTCGGTATTCAACATCATCATCTAAACCATGTTGTGTTCTGACATACAGTGAGTACCAGAATAGTCAGACGACATTATTCAATACTTAATTGATGTTGTTACAAAGCAAATAGTTCACCAATAAGTATAACTATTAAGCCTAAAAGTAGTTTTCTTATTTGAATAATACTATAAATAAAAGTATATTGCCAACAGGACTCAGTCCCGAAAATGGATAGGATCGACTCGAACAGTGCATCCTGATCAACACTGCTATGGTCGGCAGCTCCCAGCTTATCATGGCTCACAACTGGCTCATCAAAACTCAAAATTCCAAACCCTTTAGCTGATAAATTATTTTCTTTTCTCGTTTAACAAACTTTCCTAAAATGATCTTATTCCAGAGTTTTCTGGTTTTCACTGGTTCATGACAAGTTACAAGGGTTACCCATAAAGTATGCTCTTTTGATGACGACCAACACGAGTTTCTGTGCCGAATAAAGTTATTTAAAGATATTTATATTTATACAATAGTACTCTCCATTTGTCTATCTGTCTATTATTTGTTTGGATGTCCCATGATAACTCTTAAACCCCTTGACCATATTTGTCTCAAATTTTAAATGGAAAACTCAATAGAACCACGTGAATGTTCTTAGCCTGGTTGTCTTCTATAGGGAATACTACAGGCAAAGCTGAGTTCCCAAGCTTGTACAAAATAATATTTCATATGATGAAACATGTTTATAACAGTTACAGGAAACTATGAATTTTCGAATTTTCGTGTCATCCTGTGTGGGTAACCCTTTATCTCTATTTTGTGGGGAAATTAACAACAAAAAGAAGGATCTATGACATTGTCTTAATAGGACTGGGGGGAAAAGTTTAATAAAGCTAGTGTGAGAATTGCTTAGATTTTCAGATAAAAAAATTTCTCCGTTGATAAACTTTCCAATCATTAAAAAATGTAATTCCTCAAAATGAAAGTAAAAACAATCGATAAAGAATAATTGTTTCTCCTCCAATAGTTTGGAAATCTTTTTAAAGGGAAAATACAGATACTTAAAAAAATGTTAAACATTTATATATATAAAACCCGTTTCCGAGATACGCTTATCATCTTATGATAATATTCAGTAGATTTTTAAAAACTCAAAACTAAAAATGTTCAATGAATACTGGACTGATTCTGTAATATTTAAAATAATATTTAACCAAAATTAATTGGAGTTGGAGTTTGGAACATCATTATCTAGAAAAAATAGGAAAATTGGTATCTGAACATCACTTGAAGTTACGCCGGCACTCCCTTTAATGGACATCATAAGATTTCATGAGAATCTGGATCAGACAGCCAAATAATTAGTTACAAGGGTATTCTGGTATTGAGATGTACGGAGTAATAAACAATTAGTTTTTCAGCCATTTTTTGTAAATATATTTAATGCAAACTGAACTGTTTAACTATTCTATAAGCAAGAAAACTAATTTATCTATTTCATAATTAGATAAAAGCGTTTGTTTACTTTGAAATTATTGCCATTACATAAACAATTGTTTGTAATTTGATGTAAATGTAACGTTGTTTAAACATGGTGTATGTGAAAAATGACGAAAATGTGTAAATGTTTATTACTGATAATTTCTCTATTGCTCATTAAAAGCAAGAAATGCGCAATCAATATCGTTAGTTTTAAAAAAAAGTACCTGTTCTTTAGCTCCAGTTGCAAACCTTGTAAGGGATTCACGTCTTGTCCCTAATATATTTCCCATACAGTGGTCAGCAAAATAAAGAAGAAAACAAAGACAGAGATCTACCCTTTATTCAACTATATACGAATGCGTCGAAAAATTATCGATGATTACACAGGGAAATGTCGTCTTGACAATTTTTCAAATAGCCATGAATATGCGGGAACAGTGTTAAAGAGTTCTATATAATCATTTAATTAAAAAAACTAAATATCTGCAACATTTCATTATCAGATAGTGAAGAATACGACATTTGATGAATTCTTTCGATGTATTCGTTATTAAGGGTTTCACTGCAGGTTGTAATTTCTGAATGATTTCTTTGGAATTAAATTGATTTTTTTACAATCCAAGTTGAATTTTGCAACTTTCCGAATTTGTATGGATGCTACGTTCTTCAGCATCCATACAAAGCTTTCAATGGTTGCGTTGTGGATCGGACATTCCTTTGGTGCAGGTGTCGTTTCAACTATTGAAAATTAGGATTTTGAAATAAAATAGAGCTTTTTATATAATGTCGTCCTTGCAATAGATTTTTGTCTAAAAAATGTTTAACAATGGCAATCATTGTAAATCTTTTAAAAGCAAACAATTATTATGCTTAATACAATCCCTGCCATACAAAAAAATTATAAGCTTCAAAACTCAAGTCCTTTGTAGTTTGAACTGTGTTTTGGATTGACCTATACATATTTTCAATTTTAGGATATGAGCCTTTGCCACAACCTCTGATTTTAAAATCCCCATATATTTGCAGCCTGTGGCCGAATTTAAAGAATTTGAGCGGTGGTTTATATTTAAGCCGTGGCTTAAATATGGTTGGTTCCACTTAAAATTGTATCAAATGATTCAAGATTTAAGCCGGCGCTTAATTTAAACCGGGTTTTGGCAGATTTAAACCGCGGCTCAAATTCTTTAAATTCCATCTCTGGTGTCGTAGACCTTAGATTTTTCAAACTTTAAATTCTGTTAGAACAAATAATCTCAGTTGGAAGAATCAACATTTTTGTACCATCAGGTTGTAAAAAAATAGCCATTAAAAAATTTGAGGCGTGGCAAAGACATCCTTCTGAACAATTTCATTCATTTCAGAAAACCTACGTTTTATACTATCCGTACAGTAGGGGGAGGAATCCATTCCATTTTCTCTGTTCTTCTCATGTTTGTACATTTTCTCAAATTCCAGCCACTCTTCCATGATCTTATTCTCAGTCTCCTTTTTCTCCGGATTTCCGTTATATTCTTCTCTTTTCCGCATTTTTATCTTATGTTCTTCCGGGGTCTTCGGTTCCGGAAAATTCTGTTCCGTATTGTTTTGTTCCAAAATATCAACTTGTTGTTCTTCATCTTCATCTTTTTCATCCAGTTCTCCTACAGATGGGTCGTTTTTAGCCATTATTTTCTTTCAACATCAAAATTTGCAAGAACAACAATTTTTCAAAAAAAAATTATTTTAAACATTTGTTAGTTAATGTTCCGTGATCTAATTTTATTTTTCAAAATATACATACAGTGAGACCTATAAAATTGTAGAAGGAAGGACGACTATTAAACTAAAATAATAATTTCAAATAATCCAATGAACACATTGTTACGATTGTACATTTGGTTTGGTTTGTAAACACTTAATGTTTTGGATTTTAAAGCCACGGCAAAAGTATGATTACTCTTACCAATTTAGTTTAGTTTAGTTTAACAAAGTTTGTTTTAATTTTTGAAGATGTTTTTGAGCTTTAAAATAAAATAACAAAGTTTAACAGATTTCCTAATTTTTCTGATAGTTAAAATTAATTCACCTGGGTCACTGCTTGTAAGTCCGTTTTGAAGCAATGATCTGAAAATTATTTGATAAAAATACATAGAGATCATAAAAATATATCTACATAGAAATTATAAAAATATATCTACATAGAGATTATAAAAATATATCTACATAGAGATTATAAAAATAGGTCTACATAGAGATTATAAAAATATATCTACATAGAGATTATAAAAATATATCTACATAGAGATTATAAAAAAGATCTACATAGTGACTATAAAAATAGATCTACATAAATAGAGATTATTAAGTTTTGAGTTTAAGATGTTTAAAACAGAGGTTTAAACTTTTCTCTGAGTATAATCTATATAATAAAACAAAACATTCGTATATATTCCCTCTGGCCGGCTAAACGGCTGAACCGAATGGGCTGAAGTTTTTTGTGGACACTACTGGATGGCCTGGGGTGACTAAGACTAAAAATATTCGAATTTTTTTTCAATTTTTCATTGTTTTAATTTTTTTCACCAATTTTTTTACTGGCAATGCCCCGGGACCTTCAAATAGACGTTTTCTATAGCTTTCCCTAATTGTTTCTTAATTTAAACCTCTTAGTGAATCGAAAATGTCACTCTATGAACAGAAGTTCCCTTAAATGTAATTATATTTCCCTTTTTCCCTTTTAGTAAAATGAATGCATCATCATAAAGTTTTGAGCATAAACCTTTGAACTGAAATATTCCTTTTGTAACTTAACCTTAGAACTCTTCCTTTACCAAATTACCACTGAAAATCAAACACACGGTGAAAGTATCGTTGGGATTTTAAAGGAACTGTGTGCGTTATTTTACCCGACCTTCCGTTTAAAAGATGAAAATCCTCGATTCACAATGGTACCCTGTAAAGGAAGACAAACCTTTTCTGCAGAAACTGCAGAAACCCTTGTAATTGTTTATTCGCAAATTATTTAATATTTACGAATACAATATATTAATATTCAAGTGAAATAAAAAGAGAGAAAAACACTGAGTTCTCTGTCATCGATCACCAGTTAAAGGGTACCGCTGTGAATTAGGAATGTCTATCAAAATAAGAATGTTTAAAGTAATATTTTGATTTTAGTTTAATCTTACCTTAAGTTTTTACAATGGAGATCTATCTGATAAACTGTTAAAAAGCTTCTTCTTCTTAATTCAGATCTTTTTCATGTACAAAATTCATTTTGCAATTATAGGGATTTAAATTGTATATATGCACGGTAACATGTGGAATTTCAGAGTTGAAAATTTAGTTCAATTTTAAAGTTTTAGTTCATTTTCAAGAATTAGATAAAACGGGCTAATTATCTAGATATATTAGATAACGGTGTTTTTTTTTATTTTTTTTATGACTATTTATAACATCCCTTCATTGTTAAAAAAAAGGGAAAATATTTAACTTAATTACAAATTGATAATTAATTAAAATTATGTCTTTTATTCTTTTTTAAGCAAAATTTAGTGCCAGAAAACAAAGCGGTGAAACCATATAAATGCTAGTGATGAGGAATAATAATAATAATTTTGCATTATTCCTTTCTTCTGGTGGCACTAGATCGGACACCAACAGCTGATCGCTTGGTGTCAAGGATAACTGGTTTTCAGAACTCAGCTGATTATCAGAGATCAGCTGATCCTCCAACGTCAGCTGATTCTCAAGAAGGAATTCAGTCTCCTCTTCATCAGTTTTGTCCAAGCTTTGCTTTCGGAACAGTGAATCTGGTTTTAGGAAAAAATTCTGTTAAAACAAATTTGTCAGATTTTCTAATTCCTATATCTAAACAACCCAGCTTTGTGGGCCATAGATATTTTAAACTGTAAATTGTGTTAGATATAAAATAATCTAAGTTTGAAATATCAAAGGTTTCCACCATAAGATTGCAGATATATAGGGATTAGAAAATTGTATAACTGGATAAATTTGTTTTCTCATACATGTGCATAAAATCAAATCTGACGCTACAAAGTCACAAAGTCATACCAGTAATCTTCTGTATCTAAATTTTGGTGTCCAACAGAATTATACAGTGCAGAAATTCAGTTGAAACCTTATTCAAGGGAATGAAAGAATGAACTTTTTATGAAATTTTGAGAAAAGATTAAAAACATTTATATTTAACAAATTTAAATTAACTTTTTACTTGTGATTTCTTCAAATTTTCAAATTATCAAATGATTCAAAAGCATACTTTTGTTAGGCCGGAATGTTGGAGAGGAAAATGCGGCAAGACGACCCACGTGAATGGAACTACTTCTGAAACAATTAATTTTTGGCGATTATCTAAACATCATCATCATCATCATCATCATCATGGATTTAATGTATTTAAATACCTATTATTTCAGACATAAAATATTTTAGAAAAATCAAGCAAACTTTATAACGTTTATTTAAAAAAAATATTATTACTTTCAATTATAGTACTCGAAACGCTATTTTTAACAATATTTTCTGTTCTTGTTTTATATTTGTGTATATTTTACACAAGGAAATTTTTTCTGTCATTCCAATTCCAATACACATTTTGTCAGATTTTTGTTAAATGAAGGAAAAGAACATTCCTTTTTGTATAGATCCTAAAGGAAGATATACAGGGGTCTATATTATTCCATCTGATCAATCCCATTGTTGATTGATTGATATTTGGGGCAGAAATAAACCATGTTGTTATTGAAAACAATTGGAAGTATAATGTCAAGTTGCAGAAAAAATTCCATACTGCAGAATGTTTACTGCAACTGCAAGGGAGTGTTTATTTTTCTGTATATCATAATTTATCTCTTATATTATTAGATACTAATATTTACATCTTTTAACACCTCAAATGCAGTACACATTTCTGAAGTGTAGTATACGTACACAAAAACTTGTTAAAGTTCACAATGACATATAATGTGTACTTTCATGCCCCTAAATGTACTTTCAACCCCGATCCCGTTTGGGATCAGAAATGGAATTATATGGACCCCTGATATTATGAATTAAAGAAGAACGCACTATGACGTAAACAATTGGAAGCACATTGTGGTGGCACGTTAATTGGAGGAAACGCATTAAATATAATTTCAAGCGAACCCTACTTTAAAGTTTAAAAGTGTTCAATTCTGATAATTCCTCTATGTTTTCCTGCAACAGAAATGCAGGAGTCACTTTTGTGGAGAAATCTTTTTTGAAAATAATCAGTTTTCTAAATTATAAACATTGATTTCTAATTTATAGTTTATCAGACAAAGCTGATAAGGAAACCGTTGTGTGTGAATCGGGCTTTGCCATCTTTGCATGGAGTGTTATTTAAAATTACGCTTACAGTCTCTTTAAGAAATTTGAGAAGGTATTATTAAGGATGCTCAAAAGAGCTACAGTGATAATCATAAAATTCTGAATTAGGAAGAGGACTTTTAGAATCCAGTTACAATCTTTAACTAAATTAGTGATTTAATAAGTGTCTATAAGTAAAAATAATTGCTTTATAACAACATTAAATAAACTTAAGTATGTCGTCTTCCTGTTCCATTGTTTTCTGGTTCACTTTAATTAATTAAGGATGTCTAAAATTATCCATATCTAATGTTATAAGTTTGAAAAGCAAATTTTATCTAAATCTGAAGTGTTGAAAATTCTTTGTCTATGCGTATTAAACTTAGGCATAAATTTGCTACAAACATGCCACAAGTGTTTTTGTACCATTATATATACGAAATTTTTTAAGATAATTTTATAGAAAAAATGCATGAAAATTGGCATCAACAACTACAATACACAACACAGGCATACATAAGTGCATAATATGATATGTATAATTACCTTGAAAGGCCGACTCCGTAAGCACTAGAGTTTATTCTAAAAATAAATAATTATAAAATTTATCAAATCAGACTAAAATATCAAAAGGAAGTTATTGGAGGGGATACAAAACGCCCAAAAACAAAATGTCCAATAACAAAAAGTCCAATAAAAAAGACCCAAAATTACACATCACCCAAAAACAAAACGCCCAATGTTACAAATCGTCCAAAAACAAAACACCCAAATAACAAAACACCAAAGATAACAAAAAGCCCAAAATTACAAAATGTCCAAGGTTATAAAATATCCAAAGTTACAACTTTTTGGTCATTTTGTACTATTTTTATTATTGAAAAGGTCTTGAACATTGATACAACTTTCTATAGCTGTCTGTATCTATGTGCCATGTGGGTTAAAAATCCTTACTTACTAACAAACTAACTACTAAGTTACAAAATGTACAAAGTTACAAAATGTAACCCTTCAAGTGACTTTCCATTGAAAAAAGGGCATGCCCGAATCACAACAGTACCTTTGACACCTTAATCTGATCAATTATGTGGAAGGTTGTTTTTCTATAATCTGAAAATGTGTTTATTTCTGATATATTTCATAATTTAGAAATAAAGATGAATATCTAATTCATACTTGATCGGACATAGCTTTTCATGGTACACCGCTGTGAATCGGACATGTCACTTTATCATTGGAGTGTCACCTGAAATTAACGTGTACAGTCCCTTTAAATACAACTACATGAACATACCATGTTACGTCACATCACATCAAATCAAATATTATTTATTTACGCAGAAACATAACATTAAATAATATAAATCAATGTTAAGGGCCAAGGGGTAGATTAATTGATTTATGTTCTGCGTCTGGAGAACTGCTGTAGCTGTAGCTGTTTTCGTATCAGCTCCCCAGTTCCTCGAAAAAAAAGAGATGAAAAACATAGATACGTTATTGGCGGTGTGGTGGTGAATGGTTTTGCTCATGAAGATGGATTTGAAAGAGGAGAACAGGGACCTATCAGCTTCAACTATGATTTGTAAATATTAATTAATCAGGACAATCTGGGCTCCAATAAATTACGTTACATAATTCAATATTCAAAGAGTTAGTATGTACAAATACTTTAACAGAAAATACAAGAAAAAAACGATTCATTATTTTTGTTGATAAAAAGCCGTCTTTAAATTTTGAATTCTTATAGTGACCACTGTTTATGATTACTTTAAAAAGTTCTTTTGCAGTATACATGATGTATGAATTTTAATTTTTAACAGTTATGTAAAGTATTTCAAAGTCAGGACTTTGAAATAATAAAGAAAAGATAAAGAACTTCTTTATAATGAAGTGAGAACCAGAAAACTGTGGAATAGATGTCGTCATTGTTCTTCCTTTTTCTTAGAAATAACGTTAAAAATTTTGTAATTTGTAATTGTTTCAACTGATATAATTCTGAAGGGCACTTTTTAATATAAATATTTCAGTTGCAAATTTTAAAATCCTTTGCGACATTATCTATAGGGTTGCGAGCCCTGAGAATTCCGTGCACAATTCGAGAACATTTGAACGCAATTCCGCGCAATAGAATGCGGATTTGAAACCCTACTTTAAATACGATATGTGAAATATCGTATTTAAAGGAAAAAGAACACGATAAGAATTTCACTCTTTTCTTCCTGACAAGAACTTAAAGCATGAATATATTTCGTTTTCTTCTGAGAGATTAGTCAAAATTCTTAAAATTTAAAATTTTAGCAAGTTCAGCCAAGGGAGGTAAATTGCTGAATATCAGCAAACTAAAAATTAAATTAAATCTCAAATTAAGCTCTTTAGGATATTTAAATATCATTCTATGTATTGGGTGTTTGTTTGTTTGTCTGTAATCAGTAAACGTAAAAACAGCTAAACCGATCAGGCTCACATTTATTTTGTAGAACTCCACATTACAAAAGGGAAGGTTTATGTCAAATTTAAATTAACTAGGCTTTTAGGGCGCTTCGCGCCCATCTTCTATTTAAATTGTGAACATGTTCTTTTTTTACATTTTAAAACAAAGAAGAAAAAAATTTTGCGGATTTTTAAAAAAAATTCGAGGATTTTCAAGAATTTAATTTTTTTTTACAAAATTAAAAACCTTTAAAACACATTTTTTAAAAAATTTTATCATTCATAAACCTTCCCTGTGGTCACGTGATGTCCCACAAAAAATTTGGGCCCGATCGGTTCAGCCGTTTTGACGTTTATTGGATACAAACAAACAAACAGACAGACAAGCCAAACTTATATATAGATGTGTATACAAAAATCGATTTCTTTCAAATGTTTGAAATCTTTAACCGACGAGAACAGGAAAATCCGCGAAATATTTTTTCGTTCTTGTTGAAAATGTCCGAGAAGAAAGATTTGCAGACAGATCATTTCCAAAAAAAAAGAAAAATGAACATATTTCCAAAAATATCCGAACAAATTGATTTTAAGTTTGCAAGTAACCGGTTTGATTTGACAATGATAAGATTACTTTTTTATTCATTAATTGTTGTTTATATATATACCAAACTCTATCAGTTGATTCTAATTAGGTTTGAAGTTCCAGGGATAAAAAGGCTCGTTTAAACGAACGAGTTTTCTGAACGAATTTGAAGAAAAAACGGTTTTTACTGCACAAAAGATTTACTGAACAATCGTTCATTGAGAAAAACGAACAGCATAGATGGAAAATTAAAGATAATTTTGAGAACGAACGAAATAATTTTTTTTAACGAACGAAATATATGCCGTTCACGAACTATGAACAAACGAAATGAAAAAAGCAGAACGTGCCGATCTCTAATATTCATGCATAAAATTTTTTTAAAATTTTTCTTCAAAGAAACATAAATTCTTACCCACTAAGACTAAATCTTCTGTGCTTGTCGAAATTTATCGGAAATTTCTTTCTGGATCCGAAAGCCTAAGAAAGGTATTAATCTATATTATAAAGGGAAGGGGAATGGGAGGGGGAATGGGAAGGGGAATGGGAGGGGGAATGGGAGGAAAATGAGACTTGTAATAACATCATCCTCTTTTCATCTTATTCTTTGGTTATGACAAGAAGCAATTGTATTCTTAAATGAATATTCTATGTAATCCAAACTAAACTATTCGGTTATAGTTCTCTGACCAAAGAAATAATAGGTTTTAGTGGTAAGGTGGGGTAATAGATTTTTTCTGTGCAAACTACTTGATTCTACTATATTGATTTAAATAAATTAACTAAAATAATTTCTTTTTTAATATGTTATAATATGAGAAAGAATGCAATGCCCGATTGTAAATGATATTTAAGCTTAATTAAACCTCAAGATTTATGATTTTAAATTGCGGATTCTCCAAAAAATTTACGGATTTTTCAAAATCGGCGATAGCTGCCTTATTGTTATTTAAATAATAGGGGTACAATTGTTTTGGAGTATGTAACCCTCAAAAATAAGAGAGTACTGAAGGTGGCAGTTTATTTAAAAAAAAAATAACAAAATTTACTCTTGGTGAATCCATCTGTAGTGTTCGTGCTTCAAGACTTAAACCAGAACCATTCTCTACAGTTTGCATTTTATCTTAATGTTAGACATGTCGATTCAATAAATTAGGAATGCAAGTCTTTGCCGCAAATTCAAATTTTCAAATCCCTATATCTTTAGCAACCTGATGATTTAAACCTTTGATATTTCAAACTTAGATTATTTAATATAACATAATTCACAGTTTGAAACATCTTAGGTCTGCAAAATTGGGTTGTAAAAATAAATCAGAGTTTGGGGGAAAGATGTAGATATGTTGATTTTAAATATTCATAAATAAACTGATGTTAAATGTACATATTTTTAGATGTTGATTTTAGACATTTGCTTTCTAATACTCATAGACAATTTGATTTAAGACAATTTGATTTTGTTGACTGTCGATTCTAAACAATGGTAGACATGTGGATTCGTATCCTATTTCCATCTATATCCAAGGGCACAAGAAAACTATAAGTGTATCTGTATCATATATCTTTTTATCTTCCTGGGTACTAGAGTGTAGCTATAATCCTATATCCATCTATCTCCAAGGATACAAGGATACTGTAATGTATCCGTGTACTATATACATCTATCTCCAAGGATACTAGGATACTAGCATGTATCTGTATCCTATATTCTCCAAGGATACAAGGATGCTAGCATGTATCTAAATCCTATATCCATCTATCTCCAAGGATACAAGGATACTAGAATGTATCTGTAAACTATATCCTCCAAGAATACAAGGATACTTTAATGTATCTGTAATCTGTATCCTATATACATCTATCTCCAAGGATACAAGAATACTAGAATGTATCTATATCTAATATACATCTATCTCCAAGGATACAAGGATACTAGAATGCATCTATATCCTATATACATCTATCTCCAAGGATACGAGATACTAAAATGTATCTGTATCCTATATCCTCCAAGGATACAAGGATACTAGAATGTATCTATATCCTATATCCATCTATCTCCAAGGATACAAGGAAACTAGAGAATATTTGACGGAGATATATTCTCGGTCCTGGGACTCCTGAGTCTACATTATATCTGCGTTCATACTGTTCATTCTTTATCCTGTTTCATTCGTTACTTGTTTACTCCGTTTCATTATTTTTCTCTTTTATTCATTCATCAGTTCCACTCTTAATCTTTTTCAATCCTTACTCATTTCATTCCTTCATCAGTTCCTTTCTTTATCTTTTTCAATCCGTACTCATTTCATTCCTACATCAGTTCCATTCTTTATCTTTTTCAATCCGTACTCATTTCATTCCTACATCAGTTCCATTCTTTATCTTTTTCAATCCGTACTCATTTTATTCATTTATCAGTTCCATTATTTATCTTTTTCAATCCGTACTCATTTTATTCATTTATCAGTTCCATTCTTTATCTTTTTCAATCCTTACTCATTTCATTCCTTCATCAGTTCCATTCTTTATCTTTTTCAATCCTTACTCATTTTATTCCTTCATCAGTTCCATTCTTTATCTTTTTCAATCCGTACTCATTTCATTCCTTCATCAGTTCCTTTCTTTATCTTTTTCAATCCTATTCATTCGTAAAATTTAATTTTTACACACACTTTATTTAAAAACTACCGGTAAAACAACTTACTTCATGAATATGAAATAATAAACATATACACTATACAGGGTGTTCCACATCATATTGGATCGTTTAAAGCTAGCACTAGGTTGAGATTTCTGGGATTAATCAGAAAATTTAAAAATAATAAATACTTTTGAAAAATTGTAGATTACTTGAATATTGTAGATTACTTGAATATCGTCTTAATATTTCACAGTTCAGTGGGACCCACAGAATCTAGGTAATGATCTTGAAATGGTAAATAGGTTCCCCCGGTCTATTAGAGCAATTTATCAATATGTAATCAGTGGTATTCTTTGTGTATCTTTTTATTTTGTTGGAAAATAAAAATAGATATGAAGGATACAAAACAAATCTACATAGTAGAATAAATCATATTATTGTATTCGACCAGTCACAAGTTTGCCATAACAGTTCGCTTTAAAGTAAATGGTGTTGCAATTTCCAGTGCCCCTGTATTTAAAGAAGGCCACGACGGATTCACAACGATACCTTTTAATCTGTTCTTGACTATAATAACGTGGAAGATATCGTCGATATTCTAACTTTAAATGTTTCACAAGATATCTACAAGTAACTTTAACAGTGAAACCAAAACTTTTGAAAACCATTTAATTCATGTTTTCTTGATCAGACATAACTTTTCAGGGTATGATTGTGAATCAGGTACGCCAATCAATGCATTGAGGATCGATTGAAATTACGTCTACAGTCCCTTTAATGAAAAAGTTCATAATACTTTGATAGTATCTCATAAATCTTTGATAGGACTTCATAAAACTTCTAGAAGAAAAAACTTTTATACTTCATTTATTCTTACGAGTTATTTATCATTGGTTTAAAACTCGACATTTTCTCCTTCGAAGTGATTCAAAAGGTTGCAGGCTCTCACGCTAAAATCAAAGAGAATTTGCCAATTACTTTCAAATCAAAGGCCAAGGTGTTGCAACACTTTAAACTCACTCCAGTCTTAAATTCATTCCATTTTTCAGAACAGTCAGGATCCACGTGCCTGGAACAGAACAGTCAGGATCCACGTGCCTGGATCAGAACAGTCAGGATCCACGTGCCTGGAACAGAACAGTCAGGATGTGCCTGGAACAGAACAGTCAGGATCCACGTGCCTGGAACAGAACAGTCAGGATCCACGTGCCTGGAAAACAGAGAAGAAGTTAAATGCCTCATTAAAAAAAAATTTCAGTTGAGTAGTGTTTACCTGATCCAATTAAAAATTTCTTGTTCTTGTTAATCAATAATTAGTTTGGGTATAAATGTTGACTAGGTTAGAACTATATAGAGGAATAAATTATTCAGCAGTTTTCTTCTTTCTTTCATCTTTAGACTATAGACTTATAGTTTACATTAGAACTTTCTGGTTTTATCCAACCTTTCTCCTTTATTATCCATCCTTTCTTCTTTTTTTCATCTTATAGACTTATACTTTGCATTGGAACTTTCAGGTTTTATCCAACCTTTCTCCTTTATTATCCATCCTTTCTTCTTCCTTTCATCTTATAGACTTATAGTTTGCATTGGAACTTTCAGGTTTTATCCAAACTTTCTTTTTAATTATCCATTCTTTCTTCTTTCTTTCATCTTATAGACTTATAGTTTACATTGGAACTTTCAGGTTTTATCCAACCTTTCTCCTTTATTATCCAACCTTTCTTCTTTCTTTCATCTTTTAGATTTATAGTTTACATTGGAACTTTCAGGTTTTATCCAAACTTTCTCCTTTATTATCCAACCTTTCTTCTTTCTTTCATCTTTTAGACTTATAGTTTACATTGGAACTTTCAGGTTTCATCCAACCTTTCTCCTTTATTATCCATCCTTTCTTTTTTCTTATCCAACCTTTCTTCTCTTTTCCAACCCTTCTTCTTTTCTATCCATCCGTTTTCCTTTCTTATCCAACCTTTCTCCTTTCTCTTCCAACCGTTCTCTCTCTTTTCTTATCCATCCTTTCTTCTTTCTTATCCAACATTTCTCGTTTCTTTAAACTTTAGACTATAGACTTATTGTTTTCATTTGCACTTTCAGTTTTTAATCAACCTTTATCCTCCTTATTCAACCTTTCTTCTTTCTTATCCAACCTTTCTTCTTTCTTATCCAAACTTTCCTCTTTATTATCCAACCTTTCTTCTTTCTTTTCCAACTTCTCTCCTTTCTTATCTACCCTTCTTTCTTATCCAACAACCTCTCTCCTTTCTTATCCGACCTTTCCCCTTTCTTATCCAAACTTTCTCTTTTCTTATCCAACCTCTCTTCTTTCTTATCAAACCTTTTCTTCTTTCTTTTTCATCCTTTCTCCTTTCTTATCTACCCTTTCTTCTTTCTTATCCAACCTTTCTTCTTTCTTATCGAACCTTTCTTTTTTCTAATCGAACCTTGCTCCTTTCTTATCTAACCTTTCTCCAGTGGCAGGATGGATTGAATGTTGTAAATAAAAGCCATTTAAAAAGAAAATTTTTTTTTTATAAAAGCAAAAGGGGTTCGCTAAAGTCAAGCGATGCCCTCTGCTAAACAATCCAGAGATGATTTCAAGGATGTAAAGGATTGAAAGATTTAAGCCTCCAAAATGTTCCAGAAGAAATTCTGCGCCAATACATTTTTCAAAGTGTATAATTTATAAACTAAATTATGAAAACTATGAAGATAGCCAACCCTACCCTTGCAACCACTCAACCTAATTGTTTGGATGGATGTTTTATCTTTCTCTAATCTTCATTCTACTCTTTTATCTCATTTATTAACTTCCTATATCCTGTGCTTAAAGGGACAGTAGACGTAGTTTCAAATGATCTTCCTCTTTCAGGGTTACCCACAAAGCACTCCTGTATGCCGAGTCCATTAGCGCCTGATCCAATCAGGGTTCAGTCATGTGTTTGTTGTCTATTCTGAATCAATAGAAATAGTATGGCGGTAACATCTATCTTTCTATCTATCTCATTATCCAATTGGAGAAATGAATCCTTCAATCGGTGCTATAACAGTAAATGGAAATATTTACTTCTACTGAAACTATAGTGAAAAAATGAGACTTTATTAACGACCTTAAACAATTTCAAAGTTTAATTTAACTACTCTCTTTCAACGAGATATTAGAAGATTTGACATAGATATAAACACGTTCACAGTTGGAAGGAAACAATAAATTTAAGAAAAAAGACGGAAGTAATTCCGTACAGTCGTCTTTGAAGTCTCATCCTTTATCATTAACATCCTTAAAAGCCATTTGTCTGTGAAAGAGAATGAACGAGATTTTCTTATCATAAATCGAGGTTTTATAGAATTAATTTCTCTGTTGAATGAAATAACGTCTATATTCCCTTTAAGCTCTTCTATCTCTCTCTATAGTCTAGCTGCTTTATGCTAATATAAAAATCTATGTGGAAACTCAAACACAACTCAATAGTTCAGATTATTCTCCCCCCCCCCCTTCTTCACAGGGGGACCCAAAGCACATTGGAATTTAGTATACGTCGGTTATTTAGTCTGAGCAAACTTTTCCGGTAACAGAGTAGCTCAGTATTCCCTTTAAAACGGTAAGGCTGTACGTCGTGGAATTTATAAAACGTTGTCTGCCAAAACTGCACAATTGACGGATATGAAAAGATATTTAGCCAAATTTTTAAACCAATTTGAAGGGACCGTTCACTTATTTGGGTATGTTCAGGGTTAACTAAATAGCCTATTAGCTATGTATTGGTATTAGTCTTACTTTTCAAAAACAACTGTGGCCGGAGAAAAAACGATTTATCTTTCAGAATTCAGAATAACTTTTTTATAGACACTATTTGATGCTTTTTTGTCAGTCATGTATTTTTGAAAATTTTAAAATTTTGATTATATTTATACCCTAGTCGTTTATATTGGGACACCATGTACGTATATTAATACAATTATACCATAGATGTTTAAGATAGGGCGAAGAGCAAATGCTTTGGCGATTATATTATCAGGACGGTGGACCAGATTTAATGAGATATTAAAGGGACTGTACGCCTAATTTCAACTGACCCTCAGTGCACAGATATCAATGCCCAATTTACAAGGATGTCTTTTATCTGATTAAAAATTTGGAAGATATGGAATGAAATGATATTAACCCTATTCCCGCTGGGGGGAAGCGTATCCTGGTTTTCAAGTACCCCAGCGGGGATAGGGTTAAAGGTATCCTTCTCATCCTGCCACTGATTACCTAATAATCTCCTACCTCCCAATTAACTCCCTGCCTATCCTATACCATAATTTGATGTGCGCATCCAATCATATTCACTATCATTAACTTAGGGCCAACCAATCATGGTTAGGCGGGTCCAAACTGCAGTAAATTAAGATTGCTTATTAGTAATCTCATTCTTTGCAGTTGAAAGAAAAATCTGAAAAACATGTAGTTACTAATTGAATAAAGGTTTAAAAGGAATACTTGTGAATCCGGCAAACATGAAATCGGGAGGTTTTCTAGACTGCAGAGTACATCTCTAGTTCTCTCTCAATAGTCCAGACTGCAGAGTACAGCTCTAGTTCTATCTCAATAGTCCGTGAGAAATATGTTAAACATAACAAACACAAAGTCTCTGTTTCTAAATCGATTATAAAACCTAATTCAGAATTTAAGGGACTGTAAGAGTAAATGCAAAGATGACATTCCCAATGCCAGAGCTGTGAACTCTTGTATTTTTGATATCGACAAATTTCGATATGTAATCTTTATTCGATATACCGCATGGTAATAGTACCTGTGGCCGAATTTAAAGAATTTGAGCGGCGGTTTAAATTTAAGCCGCGGTTTAAATATGGTTGGTTCCACTTAAAATGGTATCAAATGTTTCAAGATTTAAGCCGGCGCTAAATTTAAACCGGGTTTTGGCGGATTTTGACGGATTTAAACCGCGGCTCAAATTCTTTAAATTCCATCTCTGGAGGAATAACTGAAATAAAATGATTGGGCGTTGATTCCCAAATTAAGTGCCCACATTGCATATCGAGTTCAAACTATCAGGAACACATTTATATTAAGATACGAAACTTTCCACACCGTTTTATATTGGAATTGTTCTGTTATTTCACATCAGTTTTGATTAAAAAGTCATTTTAATTCCTACGTTTGTCGGCACAACTTTTAGCTTAAAAAGCCGATTTAAAGCTGTAATGTAAAAATAACTAAAAAAGACATCATTGAATAAAAAATCTGTATTTGAAACTTATATATATGAAAATACATAATTTGATGATCGAAATGATTGAGCGAAAAAAAAACACAGCCTTTAAATCAGTCTTGACACAATTGATATTTTGTAAATGAAATTCTGAAACATATCACTGGAATGTCTGTGATTGTGAAATGAGACAGATATACAACGATTAATAAACATTTTAGTACTTCAGTATTTGAAAACTTCAAATAAGATTACTTTTGTGTTTCTTAAAATACTTAAACTTGCTAAATAATATTGTACCAATCAAGGAGGTAAAGAACTAAAAGGAGAAAATAAAACGGGTTGCTTACATTTTAAGATTTGTTAGAAACTAGTTTTAATATAAACAATAACAAAGGTTGGAAACAAAGCTCAGATTCTTGGACAGAACATGAGTATCTACTGTTGTTTGCTTATAATTTAACTAGTTTCAAAGCTGTTCTAATACGTCACCATAGAATGTAAACAACCCAGGGTGTATATTATTTTGAAAAACCACTCCCCCCCCCCTAAAAGTTGAGTATGTTTTTTCAGGAATCTTTCCGCTGAATTAGAAAAAAGTGAATAAATTTGTGAGTAAAAATATGAAAAAGGATGAAAAACCTTGCCGTTTGATGACTAGTTACCCCCCCCCCCCCTCCAGATCTTCAAATATTTAATTCTTAATAATAAACATCCCTGTAACAACCTTTATCTCTTATATTTCTAGGAATAGATTGGCATAAAAATTAATTATGTAAGTTATTGTAGTCTCTGCATCCCATTCACAAATCGTAAACTCTTCCTTCAAATATATTTTAGAAAATATAGTACTGGTATTAAGATCATGCTTGAAACATGTTCCTTCATTATTCTCTTTATTTCTTCTTTTTCTTCATCTCTGTGTCTGATACTTTCTTTTTCTTCATCTCTGTGTCTGCTTCTTTCTTTTTCTTCTCATTCTTCGGTTTCTTCTTAGACTCCAGCTCGGGCCAGTTCCTGAAATACAGCCTCGTAAGTCGTAGTGAAGGTCTGTTTTAAGTTATAAGACATGTTGCTTTTATCACTTTTTGCAAAATTTTTACCTTGACTGAAGATATTCACCAAAACAAGTAGTCAAATATTTTTCCGTTTTTCATTTTGAAAAATCGTTTTGGCTAAAATCTTAAACCAGAGAAAATAATTAAAATAAAGTCATAAAGCAAAATTTCGAGAATACAATTTTGCAATGTGTTTAACAAAAAACATCTTTGTTGAGAAGTTAAACGTAAAAAACTATCTCAAAACGGACATTAAAACTGACTTAAAAACTGACTTGAAAACGGACTTCAAAACTGACATCTAAACGGGCTTCAAAACGGACTTCATAACGGACTTCAAAACGGATTTCAAAACTGACTTCAAAGCGGTCATCAAAATGGACTTCAAAACAGACTTAGAAATAAACTCCAAAACTGATATAAAAACTGACATCTAAACGGACTTCAAAATGGACTTCATAACGAACTTCACAACAGACTTCTAAACGGATTTAAAACAAATTTCTAAACGGACTTAAAAACGGACTTTTAAACGGACTTCAAAACAGAATTCAAAACGGACATCAAAATGGACTTTTAAACGGATTTAAAACGGATTTCAAAACAGACTTCAAAACGGACTTCAAAACGGACTTCAAAATGGACTTCAAAACAGACTTCAAAACGGACTTCAAAACGGACTTCAAAACGGACTTCAAAACAGACTGCAAAACGGACTTCAAAACGGACTTCAAAACAGACTTCAAAAGGGACTTCAAAACGGACTTCAAAACAGACTTCAAAACGGACTTCAAAACAGACTTCAAAAGGGACTTCAAAACGGACTTCAAAACAGACTTCAAAACAGACTTCAAAACAGACTTCAAAACGGACTTCAAAACGGACTTCAAAACGGACTTCAAAACAGACTTCAAAACAGACTTCAAAACAGACTTCAAAACGGACTTCAAAACGGACTTCAAAACAGACTTCAAAACAGACTTCAAAACAGACTTCAAAACAGACTTCAAAACGGACTTCAAAACGGACTTCAAAACAGACTTCAAAACCTGACAATTGAGAGAAGACTAAAAGGTTGGCTTTGATCTTTCAGAACTAGCGTATTATATTTTGCATGATTCTTAAATCAATTATTCTTAAACATTTCTGTTTTTTGTACTTTCCAAAACATTGAACACATGATGAATTTCGTTCCTATTTCAAAATAAGAGAAAAACTAAAATTATCTAATTAGTAACCTTTTTTCCTTGTCCTTTTGTCTAACAAAAATCCTTATAAATTTAAATGTTAAGATGGTCGGAGAAACTATGATGTTTTCTCAAAAACGGTTTAATTTAGAATATTGGGAAACCTTGGCATTAAAATTAAAGAAGAAGAAGAGTTTGAAAATATGAAATTTGTTTAACTTACTGAGCTCCAGGTTGGGATGGAACTGATCTTCTTGGTACTTCATCCTCCTCCCCCCACTCCTCATTCTCCTCCTTATATACAAAATTATAAACAGAGCTGGAACTCTTGTATTAAGATTAATGCTTCATGCTTTAGTTAATCTGCAGATTAATTTATCTTTATTCGATATTCCAAAGTGGTAAGTGTTCCCTTGAGAAAAAGCTAAAATGAAGAGATTAACCATTGATCTTCAAATTAGAAGTGCCCACAAAGATATCGATATCAAGCGATTATGAGTATACAACACAAAAGTTCCCGGCTTAGGATGCATTTTTGTGGGGCATCTAAATATATATATTTTTATATGTGTATTGTGTATGCCCAGTAAACGTCACAACGGCTACAATGACACAAGTCTGAACTTTTTGTGGTAACCCACGTGACCCAGGGAAATGACCGGTATAAATATTTCATTTTGCTTTAAACACTACGGATTTTTTTTCTTTCTTGGAAATCCAACATTAAAAAACGGAAAAATCTGCGAAATCTTACATTACGATAACGATAATAATATTAATAATGAAAACAATATTAGTAATAATAATAATAATAATAATAATTATAAGACTGATAATAATGATAATAATGATAATAATGATAACAAAGAAATTATCATGAAATTAATAATAAAATTATAATGCAATAATAATGATAAGAATGAAAATATTGATAATAATGATGATAATGACAATAATGACAATAATGACAATAATGATAATAATGACAATAATGATAATAATGACAATAATGATAATAATAATAATAATAATGATAATAATGACAATAATGACAATAATGACAATAATGACAATAATGATAATAATGCCAATAATGATAATAATGATAATAATGACAATAATGACAATAATGATAATAATGACAATAATGACAATAATGACAATAATGACAATAATGACTATGATGACAATAATGATAATAATGATAATAATGACAATAATGACAATAATGACAATAATGACAATAATGACGATAATGACAATAATGACAATAATGATAATAATGATAATAATGATAATATTGATAATATTGATAATATTGAAAATAATGATGATAATGACAATAATGACAATAATGACAAAAATGATAATAATGATAATAATGATAATAATGATTATAATGATAATAATGATAATAATTATGGCATTGTCCAGGGTACAATTATTAACTAACCTTGGTTGGATCCTGTTTCCAAATAAGAATAGTTGACGCCATCCCAGATAACAAAAACTCTCCTAGTATACAAATGTATAGGTTTCAGAATCCCCCTTTTTTGTCATATTTTGTTAAAAATAATGACAAATAAAACTTTTAAACGATAACTGAACCTTTTAATTCTTACTAAACATCAACATACTCCATTAATCCTAACTTACAATGATTAAAAAAATCCCTTGTTGAACTTTTAAAGGAACTCTAAGCGTAATGTTAAGGATCTCAAGTGAAGTGATCCTCCTACGTGAAAAAGGGGAGGTTACTACCTGTTGGGCTGAACTGATTGAGAGGTATAATTTTATCCAATCCTGGTTGATGAAGGTTTAATAAACATTCACCGGATTCTGGATACATACAAACCATCATATTTTATGCTAGAACCTACAATCTACATAGTCTCAATACCAGAGTAAAAGTCGTCTTTTTCAAGATTTAAATTAAGAAAAACTGACTTAACATTTAAACAAAATTGATTTAAAATTACAAAATGTCCACAGAAACATTGGGAAGAAATGTGCTAATATTTAAAAAAAATCTTAATCTTCGTCTTTTTTGTTTGCTTTACTTTTATATTTCAAAGTATAAAAAAAACCGTTTTATAAAACTTACAGGCTATGTTTAAGAAACCAAAGAAAAAAAACAGATGATTTTGCCTGAATCATAGAAGTCGATTGTTCTCCTCTCTCCGTCCTAATTAATAATATTAAAAAATTAAAAGACAAGAAGAAATATAAAAATTAAGCCAAATAAAAGCAAGATTATGATAAGAGCTGGACCAAGACCAAGTCCAAGACAGAGACTGAGACCAAGACCAACAGCAAGACCAAGAATGAGTTTAAGAGCAAGACCAAGACTGTGTTCAAGAGCATGAGCAAGACCAAGAAAGGGGTGTATATTAGTTCTGAGACTCATATTTTTACAGGGTTACGCAGTGCGGGGAACCTTAATTTTTTTTTTTTTTGGGGGGGGATTTAAGTTTTGACATGAAAATAAGCGAAAAAAAGAAATATCATTTGAAATTATTCTTTTGTTTAAAAAATTAGCATAATTTCTTTTCAGTCTTCTTGCCTTCTCTTTTCCCCTTTTTCCTATTTTTCTTCAAGTCCAAGAGAGAAACTAAGCCCAAAGAAAATATTAAGTCCATAACTAAGACTGTAAAAAGACCAAGACTATAAAAAAGACCAAGGCTACGACTTAGTATTGAGACCATAAATAAAACTAAGACTTTTTTTCCTAAAAAGACTAAATCCACCTGATATCCAGGAAATTTAGGGTCTGGATATCTGCCAACTACAGGTATATCCAGCAAGGGATACCAGGTAGCCTAGAATATTAATAAAATACTACTTGAAACAAAATTTGATAATAAGATAAAGGTATGGGAAAGGACCCAATGCAGTGTATGTCAAAGCGTAATTTCCAGTAAACATCTCAGAAAAGATGACAACGCACGATTCACAATGGTACCCATATAAGTTGTCTATTCAAGTATGAGTTAGACATCAATATTTGTAATTTAAAAAAAGAGAATGTTTTCATCTGTGGGTTCTCTACAAAAGTCACTTTCGCATTTCTACTGCGGGAAAACATATAATTATCAAAAAATTGAATTAAACCTAAAAATACGACAATACCCTCCACATTAATGATCATATATTGCTTTCAAGGGTACCAATGTGAATCTGACATTGCTTTCTTTGCATTGCTAACGGTCCCTTTAAGAGGATCCAGGAAAAGTGTGATTTTGGATTTTCAATATGACTTTAATTATAAAGGGTTTCGTTTTCTACCTTAATAGCTGTAAGATGCTGGAACTGTCGATGAGGATGAGGAATAATACGTGCTAAATCCCAGCCAGGTCCCTTTATTATTCATACATTATATCCCTGCTATTCTTTATATCCATGATATCATTTATATGGTAACCTTTATAATCCTGGTATCCTTTATATGCCTGGTATCCTTCATATCCCTAGTATCCTTTATATGCCTAACCTAACCTTTTTATCCCTGGTCTCCTTTATTTTCCTTGTATCCCTTGTATCCCTGACATCCTTTATACCCCTGATATCCCTGGTATCCCTGGTATTCCTGGTATCCCTGGTATCACTGGTGTTCCTGGTATCCCTAACATTCCTGGTGCCCATGGTATCCCTGGAATCCTTGATATCCATTGTATCCCTGATATCCCTGGTATCCCTGGCATCCTTGATATCCCTGGTACTCCTAGTTTCCCTGATATCCATTGTATCCGTTGTATCCCTTGTTTCTCTTGTATTTCTGGTATCTCTAGTATCCCTGGAATATCCCTGGTATCTCCAGGGTATCCCTGGTATCCCCAGGGTATCCCCAGGGTATCCCTGTATCCTTAGTATCCCTGGTATCCCCCTGTTTTAACCTGATAAACACGAATCTGTGAGTTCTGATCAGTGGTCAGTAACTTATCTCCACTCATACTAGGAGGAAAAAAGAATATCTTCATTATTAACACATTTACTGTTTTCTTTTCTCATCTTTCCGGAGAATTGGGAAACAGTAGAGGGGGAATTGTTAAACGGCGAACAACAAAAATGATTGCTCAGGATCGGCTCACTTGCCATGCTTGCCGCTTAGTTTGATCTCATTTTGTTTACAATAAAACTAACTACGGAGGTGCCTAATACGTCACAGTATACTGTAAGCAAGCCATATTCCTGAATCTATAGTTCTAGGCTGATTGTATTTATTTATCTTTCTACTCATCTACCTGGAGAAAAAGGCCGAGTTGACCGGTAGATCATGTTCCAGAACAGCTAGAGTTGATGTCTTGTCCTAATATTATTATCATCATTATTATAAGTTCTCCTCAAATCTATTTAATTGAAATATTTTGCTATCATTATTGAAATTAGGTGGAAAAAATAATCAAAACAGCCAAGAGCTATTTTCCACCTTATTGCTTTATACTTGTACTGTTAAAATAATCATCAATTTGTAATTGTGAACTCGTTCTGTACACAGATACATGTATTTTAGCAATACACTTTATCTATTTTATTTATCTATATACAGCAGATGATGTTCCAGAACAGCTGGAGTTGAAGTCTTGTCCTAATATTATTATCATCATCATTATCAATTCATATACAGCAGATGATGTTTCAGAACAGCTAGAGTTGAAGTCTCTGTCGGTAACCCTGATTGTATATGATAGCAGGCGAGACCGTATAAATTTAGGATGTTGTGGCTTAAATAAAATTTTGACATCCCCCCTGGGAGCATATAAATAAAACCAGTGCCACCACGTCTCTGATAACCTTGATACCTTGATTATATAATATTACATAGGGGTGTGGCGGAAGACGACTCAATATGAAGAGGCTGAAGCCGGATATTCGGACGCGGCAAGATGAACATTCTATTCCTGCCACGTCACCTTGATATATGTTTTCGATTAAGATAAATTAAGTTAAAAAATTTAGTCAATAAAGTATTTCTTTAAACCTCGACGCGTATTATTGAGCGTAGCCAAATTGGTGACCCCGAGTTTCGATCCTATAGACTGTCCGTTTGCAACACTATAGACTGTTTTTTAAGCTACTCGCTCAAGTGATAATGCCAAAGGACGGTGATAATGTCCTGGTCCGAGCCGAACCAAGCTCGTTGGACCTGTTAAACACAGTGTCAGTTAAAGTTCCAGCTTTTTGGCCAGATTCCGCAGAAGCCTGGTTCGTTCAAGTCGAGGCCCAGTTCGCGCTCAAGGGAGTGACCGTCAGCCTCACGAAGTTCTATTATTGCGTCTCGGCCTTCAATCAAGAGACCGCCAACCAAGTCCTGGATCTGATCAAGTCTCCTCCGTCCTCTGAACCTTATGAAGCCTTGAAGCACCGATTGTTGAAGCTTTTCGCCCTGGACGATTTTCAACGGTATGAAGCAATCTCTAGTTTACCATTGTCAGGAGATATGAAGCCTTCCAAGCTGNCTGTACTGTACTGTACTGTACTGTACTGTACTGTACTGTACTGTACTGTACTGTACTGTACTGTACTGTACTGTACTGTACTGTACTGTACTGTACTGTACTGTACTGAACTGTACTGTACTTTAATGTACTGTACTGTATTGTATTGTACCGTACTGTTACCTGTCACTAAACTGTACAAAGTTACATTTAGATTTATGGAGACGTTTATTCCAAATCTCGTTTCCGTCCAGACTTAGTAGGGTCACCTCACCATTATTCCTGTATTTTAAATATTTAGACAAACACAAATCAGTATTTGAGATTTGGATCCGGATACAGAAAAACAAACCGACACATCAGACACATCATACACCTTATGATCCTTCAAATATGAATGCATTGTCATTCAAAGTTTATCAAATAATTGGAAATTAGATGATGAGTTAACTCAGTATTCAACTTCAGGCATTATCTACTCGCGCTTTCTCTTATAGGGACTGTAGACGTAATGTTACCCCCAAACAAATTCACACCAGCACCCTTGAAATCAATTATAAAAAGTGTTCAAACCACAATTAAAAATGATGAGTTTTTAGTTATAAAAGTAAGGATATCTTAATTATTTTTGATCAGCCAAAGATATTAAGGTATTGTTGTGAATCAAAAATTCATCACTTCTATCAAATCTTTGAAATAAAATCGATAAAAGGGGCTGTAAGCGTAATTTCAAGTCATCCTCTATTTAGATGGCACTGCCCGATTTACAATGGTACCCTTGAAACCTTAATCTGATCAAAATTGTGCAAGAATCCGTTTTTTCTGACTCAAAAAGTGTTTAATTCTGTAAGTTTCTTAATTACCTCCTGGAGAAATTTGAAATTACGCTTCCAGTCCCTTTAAGTAAAAAATTAGAAGAAATAAAAGTGTAAGAGCTGACCTGCCGGCTAGAATTGTTTTCCCTGAGAAGCTGACGTCTAATCCAGTATACCACTTACTCCAATCATTAGTCTGCAGGTATTCTAAATAGAACAATAATAATAATAATAATACAAGTTAGTAGAAAGCAGTTGAGGAGTTAACACCTCCTCTTTTTCTGAGAGAAAGCTGTAAAATATTTGACTAGGGCCGAATACCTTATAGAACTTGTTGAACAAGAAACCTTTTAGGTTCCAGTTTGATTAGTGTTGATGTTAAAAGTCTACTAGAAACAACGAGAATGGGATTGGACCTTTTGATGAGTGCGAAATGTGGATATCAAGTCTACTAGAAACATCGAGAATGGGTTTACTTTACACCCTTTGATTAGTGTTGATATTAAAAGTCTGCTAGAAACAACGAGAATGGTATTAGACCCTTTGATTAGTGTTGATATTAAAAGTCTACTAGAAACAACGAGAATGGGATTAGATCCTTTGATGAGTGCGAAATGTGGATATCAAGTCTACTAGAAACATCGAGAATGGGTTTACTTTACACCCTTTGATTAGTGTTGATATTAAATGTCAAGTCTACTAGAAACATCGAGAATGGGTTTAAACCCTTTGATTAGTGTTGATATTAAAAGTCTACTAGAAACAACGAGAATGGGATTAGACCCTTTAATGAGTGCGAAATGTGGATGTCAAGTCTACCTGCAACATCGAGAATAGGGTTAGACCCTTTGATTAGTGTGGATGTTAAGTCTACTAGAAACATCAAGAATGGATTTGCACTCTTTGATGTGCTGAAAAAGTCTGTATGCAGTTAGTATGTGTTTCAATTATGAGCTGACTTGTTCTAAATATTGCTCACATTTTATTATTACTAAAATTTGATACTTTTCCCGAATCAACATATTTAAGTGCCCGACTAGATATTTTAGAAATAGCAGGTTTATGAAATAAGAGATTATTTAGGACAATGAATATTTCTAATATTATTCATTTATTTCAAAACAAATTTAAACTACACCGTTACTATAAGTAATATGTATTTATTTCAATGTGTGTGAATAAATCTTTAATAATAACAACAATAATAACAATAATAATAACAACAACAACAATAATAATAATAATGATAATAATAATAATTACAAACCTTCTCTATGACTTGTCTCAAAATCGTGCAATCCAACAGTACCATCTATACTTGCAAAATACAGTCTACAGAACACCCATGTTTAAAAAACATCATCAAGTTCTAAAACTGATAAAAATAAAAAAATATTTTCAGTAAATGTTTGAGTGAAAAAAAATGTTAAAGACTGACTCCGAATTAAGTTCGTATTCGATCGCTACAAATTTTACTTCATGTTAAATTAATAAGTTGCATTACACCACTCAAACAGCAACTCATCTTAGGTTATTTAAAACTGATCATTCAAATATTCCAATACATAAAATCCAAATTTTATTCGGGGTATTTGAATGTAGTTAGCATTTCAAATATTTTCTAGTATTTTTAACCTTATTTTTCGTCGAAAACTTGTTCTTACAACTGGAGCTTGATTTTCGAATGTTTTTTAAGAAAGTGTCGTCTTTGCTAATTAAACCCATCGAAATGAATATTTTCAATAGTTAAATTAACAACGAATCAAAATTTAATTTGAAACAAATTAAATTTTTTTAATTATCTACTCGCCAATTCTTTTATTAAAATGTTTCCGTTAATGATTTTGAAGTGTGAGGTTTTGCAGCTTAATCCATCTTAGTTTTGCCAACTGTTGAGTGTTTAAACGTTGGTATTCTCCTGTTCGGTGATATCTCGTCAAACTTCAAGGATTGGATGGAACCACCAGGACCTCGACCCTCATACTTTCCAACCCAATCCTCACTAGATCCAACCAAACATTCATTATAACCATAAGAGGACAAAATTTTTAATCTTAATCCTGTGACTTTAGCATTAGGAGGTTTAACGCGATGGTTTTACCTTATAGTGCCATGGATACTTCATTGCTGATTTAAGAAATTAAACCTCGAAGTTGCACGAACTAAGAGCTATTCTATGCAAAATTTTGCGTTTAAACTTGAACTAAATTAATAACGTTTTAATGTCGTCTTTCTATTCTGTTTCTCACTGTACACAACAAAATTAAACAACTTAAAACATCATTTATAAAGAAGGAAAATATGACAAAAAGAATATTTGCCTAATTTTGTCCTCGAAAAGGTCCTTGAACACGTCCCAGAGGACAAGATCTCCCCATTTACTGCCTACACAGGCCAAACCAGGCTTAGTCGGGTGCCAGCAAATCGAGGTTATACGACTGAACATCAATGTTAAATACATATTATGACTTTAAAGAGAATTTTACATCAATCGTCTTCGCAAAATAAAAAAATTATGTTATTTCTAGTTTAAACCGGTTTGTTTCCATTTGGTCGTGCAGCAGAGTTTCATGCGACAGGATTTATCACATAATTTGTTTTTAATATCATATAGAAATATTGGATCTCAATAAAGCTTTACTTAAGATTGGTTTTAAGTGACAAATTTAAAATCTTCTTTAAACCAAACATTTTCTTGTAAGTGCACATTATTAAAAAAATATCATTCTGAAACCGACGTTAAGAAATTGTTGATCCAAGAAATCTAAAACGTGGTCTGTTACATCATCTTAAAATTGACTGAGATCCTACTTTTTGTCATTATAATTCTGGTATTTTAGTTGTTTTCAACTTTATCGGTTGTTTATTACAAACAAATTCAATGAAAATAAATACATGGACAAAGATAAAAGGTTGCTAAAGTAGTATGTACCATGTTCACTTCATTAAAAAAAAACATCTTAGTCGTTTAGCTATTTTCCTACGAATTTTTTCCTTTGACAGTTGTTTAAAGATTAAAGACGATCTCTCCACTGTCATGTTTAGTGGGAGCCCTGGACACTGTACACTGTACAGTGTACAGTGTACATGGGTAATTTCATTAAAAAGAGGGACAGCATCCAGAAATGACCATCTCCGATTTGGCTGTTATTTTATTTACAGCTTAATGCTCGAAAAAAAAATTTCATTTTAAATATTTTTTGGTATCTCTGGGATAGAAGTTACAGGAGGCATCAAAAATTTTAAAAATAGAAAAAACTTTATTTTAGTCATGTCACATGAACAAAAAGAGGACATTTTATGATTTTTAGGCCTTTAAGAGGCCCGCTCATACCACAGAAGCTCGATAGCCATAATTTTTTAATAAGCTAAATCAAAATTTATGTAAATATATTTGACAATAGATAAAATAATCGAATTGAACCTGTCAAATGGATTCCTGGTTCTCCAGACCTTGAACTCCTTCAATCTGTCCACCACGGTGCTCGTCATGCTGTCCGTGAACGCAACTGGCATTTTTAGCAATTAATCAATCAATTAATCAACCAACCATCCAAGCACCCAACCAACCATCCATTCAACCTTTCATCCAACCAATCGTCTAAGCATCCAATCATCCAACTAACCATCCAACAAACCATATAACCAATCAACCAACCATATCAACAACGATCCCAGCATCCAATCATACTAGCATTCCACCAACCAACCAACTAACCATCCATCCAGTTAGTCATCTAACCAACCATACTAGAACAAGAGATTATATTTTCAAGAAATAATTTTTCATGCTCTGGAGAAAAAATTAAGAATTTATCTTAAAAATGAAAGTTTTTCCGACTCTTTTTTTAAAATCATTTTATCCCAAAAACTCTTTCATTTTCATGTTAAATTTTTAACTTTAATAATTTATTTTTGGATAAGGGTTGTGGGCACTAGCTCACGCATACAAAATAAAAACGAAATATCAATAAATCTATTTCCAGTTTGTTATCAAAGTCTTTCTATTATTTTGTTCTGCTCAAGATTAGTTAAAAGTCATACACCCCAACGTTTTGTGTTGTGCCATTGTCTTAAAAACTTGACTATGGGTAACCCTGTAAACCATAGTGAACACTTATTTTGCGCGGGCTGATCTTGCTTCCTTTTTTTCCTTAGGCTTAACTATTTGGTTTGGTTAATAATATGATTTTTAATAATCGCATGAAGCGTTAATTTGCCAATGACTTGTAAATGTTAAATTAATTTTTCCTGTTTCCAGCGAAAAAAAAGCCTGAAAGATTTTTGCCGATTCTTGTTATCATACCAAACATGTGAAAAATAAGAGGTGGGGGGGAACGATTTTTCAAGAAAACGTAACCCCCTTTAATAGCACTATTCCAACCAATCACTCAATTCACCTCCAATCAGTCAGTGAACAAATTAATCAACTAACAAATCAACACCAAAAACCTTGGTTTGCCAAAATCCAAGACATTTATCAGTTTGTTTATATCAATAGTTCACCAAGTAAACAGTACAACACAAACAAACAAATTATCCAACCCGTAAACTTTGTCAAGAATAACTGATCTTTAAGCTACCTTTTTGAATGCGACCCGATTTGAGTTTGTCCATGAGTGTACAGAAATTTTTAACTCGACTCCCGTCATTGTTGTTCATAATTTCAGCATCTACACGCAGAAATCATTTTATGAAACTAAACTACTAGGCTTTTGTCAAAAGATTATAAAATCATTATGTCGATTTTATTGAATGTTGGAACTATGTGTAGCTTTTTATCAAATTGAAGCCAATTCATCTTAAAGCTAAAATAACAAAACAGTGCGCATTAACCTTCTGAAGTTAGGGGGGCACTTTAAATTTATTGTAAAAATAATACACTTCGAAAAATGTATTGGCGCTGAATTCAAGCAGCAATAGTTAAAGGGGCTGTAATCTTCATGCAAAGGTGGCAATTCATGGTTTACAACGGTACACTCAACACCTTAATCTGATCGGAAATGTGGAAAATTCAGTAGTTTTCTTTACTTGATACATGTTTAATTCTTATAACTTCTCCAATGTTTCTTATTAGCAAATTAAATGTCGAGTCACTTTCGCACAGAACCCGCAAAATAAACATTTTAAAGAAACAAAAACATGAATATCTTCTTCATTCTTAATCAGCCAACCTTTGCATGGAGCAAGGATGTAAAGAAAGGAAAGTTAATTGCTGATGCGTATACTCTGCGTACATACTGAAACCAGTTCTCTCTGGGCGGAATTTGTAAACAAGAATAGATGCATCAGTGTTCGTTTAGTATCAGAGGATAATTTTGATATTTCACATAATAGTTTCCTATGACCAGAATATTTAATTGATTTTTTTATGTGAAAGATGGATATCATGTCAGGCTTCGACATCCGTCTTGTGTTTACATTAGCCCAGAGACAGTACACTGCAACACAAAAGACGTGTACACTTCTGAAATAACTTTCCTTGCATTACATCCTTGGCATGGAGGGTCAATTTAAATTACGCCAGTCCTTTATAGAACTAAAATTTCGCAGATTTAATAGTTCGACATTGGTTTAGCATGTACTCATTTTTAAACTCTATATCTTTAGCAAATTCAGAGAAAGCAAAAAATTAAAAATGCGAAATATTGTTTTATATCATAAAATCCATATATCCCTGCAGTGAGAATGCTTTTAAAGTAAATAGCTTTGTTCTTGTCTCTAGTCTCCTGTGCACTTCCTTTCTTCTCTTTCTTCGACGCAGGTTCCGATTCTGGCGTCTTCTTAGGTTTCTTTTTGGCCGAAACTCCCTTGGGAGTTGTTGGATATTCTGTTGTATCTTCAGAGAAGTCTGAATCTGACTCGTTTTCTTCCTTTAAGATTCGCTTTTGAGCCTTTGCAGCTGCCTGGCGAATTTTGGTTGATTTACTTGTGGACGCAGTTGGTTCATTTTCGTCAGCTGCTGGATTCCCTGGTTTCGCGGATTTTTTGTTAGGAACCTTCTTATCTTTCTTTGAAACCGCTTCGGTTTCCGGAGTCTTACCTCCTTTGGGAGTTGTTGCATATTCTGTTGTATTTTCGGAAAAGTCTGAATCTGAATCTGAGTCGTTCTTATCCTTTAAGACTCGTTTCTGGGCCTTTGAAGCTCCCTGGCGGACTTTGGTGGATTTACTTGTAGACGGAGTTGGTTTATTTTCGTCAACTTCTAATTTTTTTGGTTTCGTGGTTTTTTTCGGAGGCATTTTTAAATTCTGAAAACTTTATTAATTACCGATTAAAAGCTGAGTTATTATTAGATAATAGGAACTTTACATGCTATACTATTTTTGCATTTCTACAGATCTAAAAAATACAAATTAGGTTAAAATTGATTTAATTATCAAATTTCAAGTCACCAGTGTTGGATTAAAGCACTTATTACATATCAATAAAAAGGTACAATTTTCGTAATTTACGACTGGAGTATTTAATAAAACTTTTGTTTTGCTTTGACATAATATTTATACATCTGTTATCAAAGACTACAACGGAAAAGATCATTAACTTTAAATGTAATTATCCGCGGCGCTCGGCCCTCTAGCCTGTCCTAGCCGCAGCGAGAGGGGGGGGGGGCAAAAATCGTTCTCTAGGTTAGACCCGAACTTCTTTTCCAATCTGGATTTTGGGCTGACAAGTGTCAAAATGCGCAAAAAGCAAAAAAAAATCAATATTATTCTTGTTTAAAATAAAGTTTCTTATAACACAATACTGACACGTTACATATCTAAATTCAAATAAATTAAAAAACTCATTATAATCATTTTTAATGTTGCAAAAGGAAAAGAAATATCGGAATTAAAAGGAAAATTGAAGAAATTTACACATTTCAATGATCAGTTAGCCTTTTTTGTGGGACTGCATTTACAGACACTCGACTCAAGTTCTGTTAAAAAGATAATTTTTGTAAAAAATATAGTAAATAGTGAATCTATGATTGCACTCTTCAAAGATTATTTTGAATAAAACATCTGTCCAACTTAAAGACATCAAAAATCTCTTCCTTTAACATTTTTAACTTATTTTATAAGCGAAAAAAGAGAATTGCATACAAAAATTAATTTACACGGTTTGATGAAAGAATATGAGAGCGGTTATTTGAGCAGGAAAAAATATTAATTTTCACAAAAAAAGGGCGCCACCTCCAGCGGTTCCTCTTTAACTTTTTTCTCTGTTTTTATCTGGATCAAGGCATCGGTCTCGTTTTGGTGGATTTGTGCGTTCCCGTTGGTTTGTGAACTTGGTCTCGATATTTTGGTTATACTGATCGACTTGTTCAGAGCAAGGGTCTGAAAACAAACAAACTAATTTATTTCAAGCAACATGTCATTTACCAAATTTACGGAAAAATAATGCATGTTAATTTCATACAAACCACAAGGAATAAGCTAAAAAAAATTCTAGGGAAAAATTCAATAGAAAAAAACTGATTGCATTATTGAGGTAAAAGGTCCATAAATCTCTTTAAAAAAGAAAAAATTTCCACAAAAAAACTATTTTCATTGAGGTCGGAACTCTTGTGTAAAATATCGTTAATCTTTAACCGATTGATCTCGATATTCAATGTAGGCTCTTTTAAATTAAGTTAATACTTTACCCCTAAGTTAAAGCTTTTGAAACTGCTGAGTATGACCACCACGAGATTTCGAATGTAAATTAAATTAATCCTTAGGTCATAATACGGAGATCAATGCTTAATCCTGAGATTCACAACATACAAGTAGAACTGGTGTCTGACTAGTTACCTTTTCATTTGAAGATCCGTTGGATTTCTCCTTACTAAGACTGAAGGTGTTCATAATCTGCAATCCATTGATACTACTCATTCCATTCATCTCCTCTTGGTTCCCTCCATTAACTCCATTCATTTGCATTGGGCTGCCTACATTCAATCCATTAATCTCCTCCCCCTCGTCCATGGTGGCACTAAATGCATTCAACAATCCTCCAAACTGAGGAGGAGGGATTTTTCGGACTCTGTCAACAAAAAATAATATTTTATTTTCGGACTCTGTCAACAAAAAATAATATTTTATATTCGGACTCTGTCAACAAAAAATAATATTTTTCGGACTCTGTCAACAAAAAATAATATTCTATTTTCGGACTCTGTCAACAAAAAATAATATTTTTCGGACTCTGTCAACAAAAAATAATATTTTTTTTTTTTGATTCAAAGTTGGATTTTCAAATATAAATGGTGCTAATTATTTGAAGGGGCAAAAACATGGTTATTAGGGTGACACACGTAGAAAACCAAACATTTTTGGGGTTCATATGTTATTTGGGTGATGTGGCCTAATATGAGCATTTTGTGAAAATTTCAGGTTGATCTGAGCATTGCATCAGGAAGAAGTTGTTTTCGAATTTTCGCCAAAACCTTGATTTTCGATGGAGGTCAATGACCTCCGATCACTAATTTTCTTTGAGATCCGTGAAGAGGGCCATTATTGAAGGCTGCATGCAACATCTTGGTCTGTTATCCTTATTTTTAGAACCAAATGCAGCCTGTACAAAATTTGGTGTCACAAAGTGTCGAATTGCTCATCTATTCTTAAAAAAACCGATTTTTTTCTGAATCTACTTCTTCCTTAGTATATTAAGTTGGAGCCAAAAATTTGCTTGCATTTTAATATTTAGGGTTGACACCACGCAGAAGTCCTATGCACCTTTAGATTTTATAATTTTCCTTTCTTCGCGTGTCACCCTAATGGTTATCTATTTCAAAATTGATTAGACAAAGCGCGGGTACCGTTGTAAATCGGACATTATTAAAAAAATCAATCAATTTGGGATTGAAAAAAGGATCATTTCCAAATGATCAAAAAATATTTATTTTCCTGTTCCGTTTAATCTTGACTGTTGGTTCTGGGTAATCCAGGTAGTTGTTGCTGAACTTCCTCTTATAGGCAACAAAGGTCATCATGTGCTTATTCAGCAAATGCGAGTTCACCTGCAAAATTCACATGCATTCAGGGGTGTATATTAGTTGTGAGAATGGTTAAAAAATAAATAAGGCCAGAAATGGCGGAACAAACAGTAAAATACCCTAATACTTCCTAAAAAGTGTGTAGCACATCTGGGAATTTTTTTTCAGGGGCACCCTACCCCAGAGGGCAAACAGAAAAATATACACCCATGCATGCATTACATGGAAACGTGAAAAAGGCTTGTAGAAACTTCAAGTGTGACATGCAACTTATACGCACCCATTAATGTGCCTTTTTATCTTTTGTCTGAGAAACAATGATGATGATACATCCCTTGTTTTCTATCTCAAAATTGATAATGATCTATTTGGGACACACGATAGAAAATGTTTAAGTTAAAAACTTAGCGAAACGATAATTTCTGATTCGTTTTTTTCATGTATTTTCTTTGCGTAAGAAAAGCAAATGTTGAGAAAAAAACCAATTTGAAACAAGTCCATTTTTGTGGAACCTAACATTAGTCTAACCCAGAGCCAATATTGTTATTGTCATTAATTTCGTTTTTATACCTTGTTATATTCGAAGAGAATTACAAGTCCACACAGCTCACACCTGAATATTAAATAAGATTATATTCTGTGTGTTGGTAACAAAGGCTAAAATAAAACTATAGTTTTTTCGTGATTGCATTATTTGAATAAACAGTATTTAAACAATTCAATCAATCAATTCATTAATTTGTTAATTATAGAATTATCAATCAAAAAATAAAATTAATTGCTTCATCAATCAATCAATAGCTTACCCAGTCAACTAAATTTTTTTTAATCAAATACCTGATGTACGTTTTCCTGACGTATTCTATGTTCCCGTGTTGGGCCCTGTAATCGGAAATCTTGATGTTGTGCCAGTTTTTTAAATGGCTCCTGCGTGATTAATATCAGTTTTGTCTTTAGTTCAGAAGTGTGTGTAAATTAGGGGGAGGGGTATTTAATTTTGCAATTTAGAACATGATAAATCCATAGGAAATGTTCTTCCGCATTCGTTGCAGCGAGCTGTCACCCCTTCGTTGAAGTTTGTTGTTATTCGTCGTTCTCCATTTCCATCATCTTCAAATTCAGATGGTTCTTCGGCGATTACAAGTCTACCCGCCTCCCCGCCGCCGTCCTGGTTGTCCAGGGTGATACAGGGGGTTTGAATCGGCGGATATGGACCTTGTGGACTCCGCCGTAGCTTAGGGTGACGGATAACGGGGGGCCGGGGGATGGTATGAGGGCGAGGAGCACTCAGGCGGAGCGGAGGCGGGGGCGGAAGCAAGATGTTTTGAGAGACTGGAGAGGGGCCATTGTTTGAACTGAAATAAATCAAAATTTACCAAATATTTATTCAAAATTAATTTTTCCAAAAGAGACATTTTCCCTGGACTGAATTTATGTTATAACTCAGAAAAAAGATTAAAGACTGGAGAAAAATATCAATACTTTAATTATTTAAGTAATTTACAAAAATAAAATACAAACTTTGAACAAAAAGGATAGTTTTTTTAAATACATTTTCAAACCTATTGCCGGAAAAGATAAGTTTAAAAAAAAAAGTTTTGTTACAGAAAATATTTCTTAAATTAGAAACACTATTACGTTGGGAACACTTTCAAAGTTTTATTTGTTTTCCCCTTGAAGTCATCTATTTTTCAAAATTCATTGAATTTTTTTTTTCAAACAAACAAACATTCAGGGACAAACAATTTGTGAAGAGAGAGGGGGTAGGGATACTTTTACAACAAAATATATATCCCTTGTAAGGTACAGGGTGTTTACTGTTTACACACATAAGGATGAGACTCCGGAGATGATTGTACTGTAAACTTGTTTATTTCATTAAAAAGAGATATTTAAGGCAGAGGACAAAAATTAACCTTGGAATTGTCATATTCAGATTTTCAGGTCGTATTTTCTTTACAGTTTCATCTTTGTGGGTAACTCTTTATATTTACCTGAATGTGTTTGAAAGAAACTGATCTCTGTATTGAGTAAATGAATAGCTGTGAGCTGATGAGAGATGGTAACACACAACTTTACTCTCAAACAACATCGCCTTGCCACACAGTTTACACCTATTAATACATTTTAAATGTAAATAAAGTATTTTAAAAACAATTCAATCAAATGGACATAAAATATTTTAAAAATCAATAACTTATATCAAAATTAAAACCAGCAGAACTAAGATTAACATTAAACCATTTGATAATTAACTGATTTATAAATTTTTACAAAATCCCCCATGCTCCCCCCCCCCCCCACGAAACATTAAAATCAAACAAAATCTAATGTGATTGAACTACAAAGCAAATACATAAAACCTTCATTTCGCAAATCAATCATTTAATCCATCTGAAGAACCTAATATTTCAGAAAAATAATACCATCTCCTAATGAGTGGCTAATTTAAAGAGGATCATTAAGATATGTGTCTTTTGAGTAACTTTGTTTCCCTGGAAAATGGACAAGCTAAATCTTTTCTTTAACAACATACAAGTCCTGAAACTTTACATATTTTGTTGAAGAAGACAACTGATTAATAGCACGGCTGAATGAAAAATGGAGAACTGTGTTAAATATTAGGCTAATTAGGAATGGAATATTGTCCTTGGTAAATTTCTATACCTAACCTACCTATGCCACTTGATGTGGGTATAAAATGGATCCCGGCCAAACTGCTGTTTATAAACCCTGAGATTGGATTTGTGCTGATGAATCAGATGGTTGGACATTGACTTGGGTTTCAACTCCGTTCCACAGATCTTAAAAGATTAAGATTAAGCTTAAGATTAAGATTAAGCTTGAGATTAAGGTTAAGCTTTAGATTAAGATTAAGCTTGTGATTAAGATTAAGCTTGAGATTAAGATTAAGCTTGAGATTAAGAGTGAGATTCATATTAAGATTAAGATTTAAATAAGATTGATATTGAGATTGAAATTGGGAATGAGAATAAGAAGCAGAAAGTTATTTAAAGAATAGGAATAGGATTAGAATTACTAATAGGATTAATAGGAATAGGAATGGGAATAGGTTTAACCCTAAACAGGCTGGGGGGGAAGCGTTTGGCGCCCCCCCTCTAGTTTTTGCCTTAGCACTCTCATTTTTGACATTATCACCTTAATTTTTTTTTGACTTAAATAGAAATTTAAAGGATTTTTGTGTATTTTTTTAAAGCATAGGATAGGGTACAGGGCCTAGCGGTAAAAAGTCCGATCTGTGTAAAAAAAATCTAAAATAGCCCATAACTTTTCTATGACTAAAGCTACAAGTATAACAACGATATTTTGAAAAGCCAAAAAACATGGATGTAGAAAACATGTGTCACACTTTGAAATTTGTTAAAATTTTTTTTTACATTTTTTTACCTTTTTAAGGCATTTTTTCAACCCTCCCTAGCACCCAAACTATAGTTCACGATTTTTTTTATAAGCTGGCCTTGAAAAATTAGCCCTAGCACTCTCATTTTTGACATTATCACCGTGATTTTTTTTTGACTTAAATAGAAATTTAAAAGATTTTTGTGTATTTTTTTTAAGCATAGGATAGGGTACAGGGCGGTAAAAAGTCCGATCTGTTTAAAAAAATCTAAAATAGCCCATAACTTTTCTATGACTAAAGCTACAAGTATAAAAACGATATTTTGAAAAGCAAAAAAACATGGATGTAGAAAAAATGTGTCACACTTTGAAATTTGTTGAAAAAATAAAATTTTTACATTTTTTTACCTTTTTAAGGCATTTTTTCAAACCTCCCTAGCACCCAAACTATAGTTCACGATCTATTTTTTTTATTAAGCTGGCCTTGAAAAATTTGGCTATGAACATGCATTTCAACCCTTTTTACCTATTCTCTAAGGCTTTTTTCTATACATAGTCTATGCATAGATTCAGACCCCCCAGCCTTTATAGAGAGTTAAGCATAAAACTAAGAATAAGAATAGGAATAATTTAAGAATAAACAACAAGAATGACATTAAAAAAAAAAAAATATTGTTCACCTGGCACTGGACTTGACACATTTGCATGGGATTATCAGTAAACATACTTTCATCCGCCCCATCCGCCCACACTCCGCCATATTGCCCCCCAGCATACTCCCCCTCTCCGCCTTCATACATCCCTTCTTCGCTACCCTCATACTCCCAGTCCCCAACTCCGCCCTCGATTATGTTTATATCCGGCTCAACGTCCATCATTTCCGGTTCTTCCGCCTCGTCAATCACAAGATTCTCTTCCCCGTCGGACTCCGCTATGTTTTCTGTAATGTCCGCTTGCGGAACTCTAGGTTCCGATTTTTTCTGTTTGGCGGCGCTGAGAATGGCAGAAAGCCCGCCAATCAGAAAATCTTGCACATAAACATCATACTTAGCGTCATGTCTGCATCACGAGAAAATTAAAAATTATTTTTTTTTTGGAAAAAGAGGATTTTTTTTGACTAAGAATTATGAGGGATGATTATATTTTAGAATTTTCCCACATTCCTAGTTTCGAGATGTTCTTTTAAGGATACCGGTTCAAACCTTAGCGTCTCGTTGCATAGTTTGCATCTAAACAAGATTATTCGAATAAGAATTCTAAATAATCAATCTTCCATTATTTGTCCTTTTAGAAAATAATTAGGAGGCTTCCATTTTTTCTGTTATTTATTTTCGCAAAATGATGAAAGGCAGCAACATAGAGCATAGAAGAAACACGTTATCTTTGTTTACATTAAGTGTACTGCAGTCTGCTGGGGAATAAAAAAAAACTCTTTTTTTAACAGAAAAATGCTTTATATTCATATATTTAATAATGTATTGTATCTTAGATTATGTGGAAGACTTGTACGTTGAAAAAAGGAGGGGGTAGGGGGTTTCTTAACATATGGTATGTAAGGAAAATGTGAAGGAAGGATTCTCTCCGTACTGTTTCTTGTATTCTGCTGACGATAAACCGTGGATCTTGCTGACATGACCATCTAGGGCACTAAAAATATATTAATCACAACCATACATTTCTTTGAACCATTTCCAGACAGATTTCTTAAATATCAACCGAAATTAAACTTAAATCCTTCAATTCAATGTTTAAGTTTACATATTGATTTCTAGATCAGCCTAAGTCAATTTTCTTATATGAAAAAAAAGTTTAAAATATAATATATAAGATAATGAAAAAATGGAAGAACGAAAGGATATTTGAAAGAAAGAAAAAATGAATGATGAAAGGATGAATGAATGAATGAATGAATACCTGCAGGTTACACTGATATTACAAACACTGCAATGGACCTGGCACATCTCATCAACACGATCTGTTACTTCAACGGTTGTCTAGAAAAATAATACAAGGGTAAATATTTACTAGAATAACCCCTCCAAACGTTCAACATTAAACGTTCAACGTTTAACGCCCTTTACAGATTATTTTTAATGCTTAATACAGTAAAAAATATGAACATTTTTTTATTATTCTAAAGTTACCTTTAAATGATGAAGGCAGTAGCTGACGGTGTCGATGTCATGACATTTCCTGAGATGATTTTTAAAATTCCAGAATTCGTACTCGATAATCTCATTGCACAGCCTACATCTTAACAAGTGGTCAAAGCTTATCAACGGTTTAAGTTTGGTGGAACATAACTATGTGACCATTCACACTGCTGAAATGGACCTTCAGGTTTCAATTCAAAACACCTCAACCTTTTCTTTAAATTATGTTTATATGCAGGCTACGGAGTTATATTCTAAATTTTGAGCAAATAAATTTTTCAGAAATTGAAGAAATCAAGTGCATTCACAGGTTTTAAATTAAACAAAAATTTCAAGGCTTTATTCTGCTTCTTATGGTTTTTTTTGACAATATTTTTTAAACGGTATATTACATGGTCTCCAAATTTTATTATTTTTCTTTAACAGTCATGAAACTTATTGTAGCAAAAAATCAAGCCCTAAGTCAACTGCCTGACTGTCAAAATGCGACCCGAAAAAGTTTTTTTTGATGTGATTTTTACTGATTTTACTTCAAAGTCTTTTTTAAGCAGTAATTGGGCAATTATACAGTTCACTTAAGGCTTTGATTTTTTTGCTAAAACATGTCCTATGACTGTTAAGGAAAATTCACAAAAATTGGGGACCCTGCCACCAACGGTTCTAAAAATATAGCAAAAAACACAGAATAATCTTGACTAATTTTTGAACCTGCAGTTACGATTGAGTTTAGACTTAAAAATGCACTTGATTTCTACAATTTCCTAAAAATGGAATTAATTAAAATTCCCTAGGTGGCATTTTCTGAAAATTTAGATTATAACTCAAAAGCCTGCATATTAATATATTCCGGAAAAAAATTAGGTGTTTTGACTTGAATCCTGATGATTCATTTTCAGCAGTGTGCATTTGACCATGACAGTTGACTAAGACCATAACCGTTGACCAAGACCGTTGACCATGACCGTTGACCATGACTGTTGACTATGACTGTTGACCATGACCTTGACCGTGGACCATGAACTGTGTTTACCTGTGGTAAGTAAGCCTTGTGTACACCATCTTTCCGTACTTTTCTTTGTACTCAAAATACTTCATCTTATGAACAGTACGTAAATGCCCTCTGAACAAATTTCAGAATACAATGTTGTTAAGTCAAAAATAAACTGTCGACACAAAATTTATTCAGATTTCTCGTAAAATATGGCAGTCTTGTTTAAAATGAAACTTCAGGGACAAGGGAAAATATTTTTTAACTGAATTATTACAATTTGTCCAAAGATTAATCCCCCCCCCCTAAAAAAAACCTGCAAAAGTTACCTGAACTCTCGCCTGTCTTTGTTACAAATCTCACAACGCACTAAAATTAGAAAATTTTGACTAACAATAATAACTAACATATGACACCCTCTGACCACCCATGAGTGTCCACAAAAAATTTCAGCCCAATCGGTCCAGCCATTTGGCCGGCTATACGCAAAATATATATAAATGTCTTGTTAAACTAAAAAGAATATCCTTGTAAAAACTACAACCTAAACCTAGTCTATTTCAAAATAATGTACAAGTAAGTAGAGGATCTCTACAGATATTTGCTGGGATTGATTCAATTACAAATCGTAATCGTCTTTCATATAGTATTTATTGAAAAAAAAGTAATAACTCTTCCCCTACCCCCTCCCGGCCCTAGTAAGCTATCTTTACGAAAACCGTTCACACTGAAAACTTAAAATTCTCCGTAAAACAATAACAGTTGAAAAAATCGCAGGCTATAGATACTTAAAAAACGTTTTACCTAGGCACATCAAATCCGGGTTATCCGTTATTATTCTTTCTTCTCTGATATTATCATCTTCTTTATCCTTTTTCTTTCTGTCATCCCCATTTCTAGGCTCTTCTATTCCTATGCTTTCAAGTTTAGAAGCTCCATTAATATTTGAGCGATCAGTACTAACTTTTTTCGAAGGATCTATAACATCCATCTTCTTAGAAGTTTCTTTGCTTGTAAGAGGATCTTCCAATGGTTTTTCGACTTCTATAGTTTCTTTAGTCTCCTCTACGTCTTCAAGAGGTTCAGGTATTGCGTCAGCTTGTTCTGTAGTTATGTCAAGAGTTGCGTCAATTGGTTCAGAAGTTGCGTCATTTGGTTTAGGTGTTTCATTTATTAGTTCATGAGTTGCATCATGTTGTTCAGGAGATTTTATAACTTCATTAGGAGTTTTGATAACAGCGTCAGCCATTTCTTCAACATCTTCAAGAACAACTTTAACAGCTTCAGGACTATCAGGAGTAGTTTTCAATACTTTAGAAGATTCTTTGGCAGCTTCAGAAGTTTCTTCACTTTCTCTAAGGTCTTCTCCAATTTTTTCCGAATTTTGAGGGATATTTCCGACTTCAGCGGGATCAGGAGGTCTTTCTAGTTCCGACTTATCGGTCGTAGGTGAAGCCATTATAGTTAGCGAACAGATCAATGTAAAAAATTTGTCAAAATCTGAAAAATTTACCTTTGTAAAAATTTGAAGTGGTTAAAAAATGATTTTTTTTTCTACATTAAATCAGGACAGATTTGAACAATAAATTATACAGATATGAAATAAGATTAAAGATCAACATTTTTAGAGAAAAGAAATATTTGTCTAGATAATACAACCCTACAATATACTTATAAACTGTGATTTACGTAGATAATGCAAAATATTGTCGTGTATTGTGAGGGGGGGGGGTGGAGTGCATGAGTCCTCAATTTGTAATCACTGCCACGCAAATCAGCAAAATGGATCTAAGATTAGGCTTATATGAACTATGTCATGTTTCTTAGCTTTTAGTTAACCAAGCCCATCTGCAAACGAATTAAACTTTAGTTTAAGCCAATACACATGCCATGAAACGGTAATTTCCTAATATACGATTTTTGGACCCCGTTTAAATGAACAAATTGATATNCGAAAATACGAACGTTTATATTCAATTATATTCTTATGAGAATGTTAATCATATTATAATATGTATTATGATCTTGATTTATCTCTAATAAATCTTACTTACTTACTTATATATAAGACATGGATATAATTGACAATGTGGCCGCAGCGCTCGGACCCCTAGCCTTTCCTTAAAAATTGTTAAACAAAATGTCATGTGTACAAAATTGACAGGAGGGAGGAGGGGTTTACAAATCATTTGATAGGACAGACCCTATGAAACCCCAATAAGTGTCGAAAAGAGTGTTGAAAATGCATTTAATTAAAATCTTAGAAATAAAGATTTACGGTGATTACAATTTGAGGTGGAAGAGATGGCAAGTTGAGGACTTCTGCAGCTCCCCCCCCCTCATAGTCGGAATGTTAAAGTTCCCATTTTACCAAAAATATATAATAAAATTTATTGAGAGAAATTCGAAATTAAAATCTTAATAAATAGAAAGGGGAAGGGATTTCAAGGGGAAATACTGATAATTTCCTATGGAACACTATATGGACCCCCTCCCGCCCGTTCTAGACGCGGCGCTCTGTCCCCTAGCCTGCCCTAGCCGCAGCGCTTAACCCAGACAGTGTCTTCACTAAACTGTATAAACTAATTTTGTTAAAAATTGTTGTAAGTCTTTTAAGCTTCCAATTCTATTTCTTAAATTGAATTTCGAGTTTATCAGAACTTATCAGGTTCTAATAATTTTAATCCTTAAAAAGAAACAATGGTGCAAAGCTATTGGATCTACAATAACCGCTCTCTCCACAGTCGTTTTATTTTTATGGTGCAAAGCTATAACTCTATGTTGATGATGCAAAACTATAATTTTGTCTTTCAAATATTTTCAACTCTTAAAAAGAAACAATGGTGCAAAGCTGTTGGTTCTTCAATAACATCTCTCTCCGCAATTGTCTCTATCCGTCTCAGAGAATGTTGCCTTTTGATATTATGCTTACCTGAAGCTTCCTTTAAGATTTTGCCAGTTCTTAAATTGCTGCTTCTTAAATTGCTGCTATTTTGGCACCGGTATTTTATTTTATTAATCTTTGCCGATATAGTTTTTTGTTGTTTTCGTCTACAAATTTATTAAAATCAAAAAATCAAAATGTACATATCGTTGATATATATATGAAGTTTATTGTTATTTGTTCCTGTACTTTTTGATCAATAAATAGATTTGAATAATAATAAAAATTGTTGAAATTAAAGGTCTGTCATGGCAGTAGCCCTCAGCCCCCTAGCCTGTCCGAGCCGCAGCGCTCGGCCCAGAAATTGTCCTAATCTAACCTTACCCTGGATTAATACAAAATAAAAATTAGTTGTTGAAANCGTATTCCTTTATTATTTTGTGACAAGCAAAGAATTCTTTTAGTTTTTAAAGTATTTTAAGAAGTATCTCAAAAATAAGTTTTTCCTTTAAAATAGTTTTTTTTTGTGTTTAGTGACCTTTAAAAATTTTTGGATTAAAACAGTGCGCGGCAGACGCACGTCAACAAAATAAAATCATTAAAAAACAAATTTTTGACAGAAATGGGAACTTTAAAGTTTTACCCTTTTCATTCCACTATTCAGCCGGTTTTTTGGAACTCTCTTGCACACAAAAAGTTAGAGGTAAGTATTTTTTTTAGTATTTTTTAGTATCAGTATTTTTATATGATATTTGATTAAGATTAATGAATTAAGATAATGTATTTAATTATTGAGACATTCATATTTTCAGTAATTTTATCGCTTTTAATATTACAAAATTTTAACCGTTAATTGTACACTCTTATTTTGGTTCGCGGTATTAAGTTTTTGGACAGAAATTTTCTCTGAATCGAGAAGGTTTAAGCCTTTCGAGAAAAGAGAAAATTTAAGTCCAAAAACTTTATAGCACGTCGTGCCAAAATAATTGTGTACAAATAGTTATTAACGGTTAAAATTTTGTCGTTTGTGTACTTTTCTTATTTCAAAATATAAAGTTTATTTCAGTTTTATTTTTATTTCAATTGAAAAAACTACTATGGAAATATCTTAAATTTTTGGAGAAAATCCGATGATTACTTTATAGCACGTTCATTATGAAATTCACGAGAGAAGAGAGTAAGATTGATAAAGATGGCATTTTGTAGTATGAATAATAAAATGAGAAACTTAGAATATTGATTTCATAAAAATTTCCGTAATTTTAAGATTTGATTATGTTTTGCTTAATTTTTTAGATTAGAAATATTCGTTTATATTATCCACGCTCTTCTTGTATGTTTGATGGGAGTAAACCCTGAACAATTCCTTATATTTCTTCCATTAATAGAGTGTTAAGTCCAATTCAGATCAGCATCCTATAAAATTATGTGAAGAGTTATGCAGTTAAGCCTATTCAGAAAGTTGTTATAATTTAATTAAGAAAATCTACAATTGTTAGCTTGGAAGCCTTGTACAAAAAGTTTAATGGGTACCTCTAAGAATCTGACATGCTCCTCTTTTTTTAAAATAAAAGATTACTTCAAGTAAATTCTCCAGTCCCTTTTAGCAACTCTGATAATGATACATTTTGTAGGAACTGAAGCTTTCTGAAACTCCCTTGAAGGTCTGGGGTTCGTTTACTAACACTGACTCACCTAAGTCTGGCTTGAGGTACATTTTCTTCCCCTTATAGATATCTCCAATCTTCACATGAAAAAAACATACTCCCTCCCCCCAGATATAAGGTATGTCTTCGTGGAGCTTAAATTCTTTGCAGAGCTTTATTCTATGATCAGTGTTTAAGGAGAAAATATTTAAAAACCTCNTGGAGCTTAAATTCTTTGCAGAGCTTTATTCTATGATCATTATTTATGCAAAATAATAAAAACATACAAAATTCAGTGTTTAAAGAGAAAATATTTGAAAACCTCCAAAAATAGAGGTTGTGGGAATATTTCCCCCCAATTCTAAAAAATTTTAAAATAGAAACTAAAGGGAAAAAAAAGGAAATGATATATAAATGGTATTAGGGAACAATTATCAAAGGGTGAAAAAACTTGTTAGTTTGTCTCTCCTAAATTAGAATGATTTTCGAAATATTTATTACAACCGAATTTCCACCAACTAGAAAAAGACCTAAACTAACCTATTACTGATTGTTTAATGTTTAGTCCCCGGTTGTGCCTTGAGTGGGACGGATTGGAAGAGAACGCCCCCAACTCCTGGACTCAGTTTGGAGTCAGGGACGGAGCGAACAGTTTTAACCTAAATTTCGTTCAAAATTGAATGAAACAATTTATAGTCCTTGATTTTAAAATTTTTATTTCAAAAAAGTACAAACTTTTCCTTTTATCCAATAATTAATTTTCATAAATATGTTTAGTTTTCTCGGATTTTCCCCAAATAACGCGGAGCTGTTTATTTGGTTATTTTCTTAAATTAAAGTTTTCGTGGATTTCCAGATTTTAACTGTTTTGTGACTGATATAGAGGAGAGGTTGTATTATGCAACACAATCGAATCCTTCAAGAAAATTGATAAAAATGCCTTTATGCAAAGGTGAGAAGGTTTGTTCCATTTTGAGAGAATAAATATTCCTGAAATTTGAAAATCTTGTGGGATATTATTTTTATAAATTGTCCTGGGACATAATGAACCAGAAGATTTTCAAATTACATGGAGACTTAACTAAATTCTGGATTTTTTACTAAATTTTGCGGATTTCAAGTTTTTTTTCGCGTTTTTTTCGGTTAAAAAACGAAGAAAATTATATAAGCAATTGCCTTGTATATAATTTGGAAAATTATATTTTAGCCGGGATTTAAATCGATTCAGTTTTTTTTTCAAATAAACTAAATTCAATAAAAATCTCGGCTACAATATAATTTCCAATATTATACACAAGACAGTTGCATAAATAGATAAACATTAACTTTGATGTAAAATAAAGTATAATAAATCAAGGGTTGAATAATAAATATTATTCAACCCTTGATTTAACAAATATCGATAACGAAGCACAACTCTACCCATAATATATAATCTTAATTTAATATGAATATTTATAATGGGTTTTCTTTCGACTCAAAATTACTTAGCAAAATTTGGAAAACAATTTAAATGTTGATAATTTTCTTACATCCGAATTAAATTTTAATAATTTCGAAGAAGAACTAATGTTACTTGATAAGGATCTGAGGTCACAGGATTTTGTTATAAACCTAATTGAAAATGTGAATTAAATAGAATTTAAAAATTTATGCTATTGATTTGAAGTAATTGATCCAGGCCTGGATAGTTAAATATTTCTCTATGTTGGCGGATATGTACTGATGAAGTAATTAAACTTGTCATAATTTTTAAGACCTCTTGAGGCATAGTTTTACTATTTTTTTTGTATTAGAAATATTTTCGAGTAGAATCATTTAGGGGTGTAAATTTTCTTAAATCACCCCACCCTCTTTGAAAATAATTTTTTAGGTTTTTTTCTCGCTAAATTAAGGAATTTTTTTATTGTATTTTCTATCAGGTTGGGAGAACAGATCTGGAATAAGATCGTTACTGGAGAGTTCTGGACTAATCCGTCCCTGCTCTCCTCCTTCTCCGTTCTAATGTTCGGAGATCTAAAGAAGTTCCAGTTTTATTACTGGTTTGCTTTCCCAGCCTTCAATATACCTTCATCCATCAGGTAAGGATCAAATTGTATTTTGCTTTAGAGAGAGAGGTGGCGGTGGGTTGTGTTTTATGAAATCTTAAGATTTAAAATCTTATTATTATTACTTGGCCTGTCTTTTTAAGGTTTGTATCCCAATAAACGCCATAACAACTAAATTATAGAACCTCATAGGACCTTAGGAGACGTTTAATGACCGGTCCAAAAAGAATTGTCTAAATAAATTCTAAAAGGAACTAAAACAGGGATATCTACGAAATCTTTAAGTGAAAAAATGGAAATCAATATTTTGAAGCTGGAAAAGAAATGAGTGCGAAGCATCTAGAAGCCCGGCATTTTAT